TCTCTCTCTCTCGCTCTCTCTCTCTCGCTCTCTCTCTCTCGCTCGATGGCCGACACACTGACTCTGCCTCGGTCGCATCGCTCGCAGCCAAGGTCCGCATCGTCAGCAGCATGGCCGACGATGGGCTCGAGGAGCGGTGGGAGAAGACGCACGGCGGCGAGAAAAAGGTGCGTCGCCACTCAGCCTTCTCTCGGCGCGAGTTAAGCCTGACCTCTCTCGCCTGCAGATCTTCACCATCCTGCCCGGCATGGGCTCGTTCGGCGACCGATACTTCCGCTCTGAGCACACGGACTGAGGCTCCCCTTTCTCGAGCTCGTCGACCACACCTCGTCCTTCTCTCTTTCCTCTCTCTCGTTCTCTCTATCTCTCTCGCATCGCAACACTCGTATCCCACTCATTGGCACATCCTATGCATTGTACAATCAGTTTACACAAGCCGCACTGCGTCTCGCCGCCCTCGTCGTCGTCGTCGTCGTCGTCGTCCGGCCTCGAGAGCCTCGCCCTCACTGTCCCTCGCCCTGCTGCGCCGGCTCGCCCTCGGCAGCCGCCAACTCCTGCGCAAAGGGCGTGCCCATCTGCGCCTCCTGCAGCGAGTGCGTGCCGTGCTCGGCGATCCAGTCCTCGGACGCCCAAACTGCGCGGCGACGAGGAGCGACGAGAGAAAGAGGGGGAGGGGGGAGGAGGCGAGAGAGGTCAGCTCGCATCCCGAGGTGCCGCACACCTTCTCCTCGACAGACAGTGAGAGGACAGAGAGAGAACGAGGACGCACTGGGCTTGTTGCTGCCGGCCAACTTGGCGCCCTTCTGCGGCTTGGCCTTGTTGACCTTGAGGACGCGCCCTCGGTTGCTCGGCCCGGGGAGCGAGTTCAGGTGCATGTTGTCGACGGCGTCGAGCGCCGCTTCGGGGCTCGCGAAGCTCACGAACGCGAACCCTTTGTGGCGCGAGCGGTGCTCTGGGTCCGAGGGGAGCTGGAGGTCGAGGATGGGGCCAAAGGGGATGAAGGCCGCGTGGAGCTGGGTCGCGGTCGTGTCGCCGGAGAAGCCGCCGACGTAGATGGTGCTCTGCGTGGAGAGGACGAGACGAGAGAGGGCGGGGAGGTCGGGCGAGAGATGAGGAAGTGGGAGAGGTCAGCGCGCGTGTGAGGGACGAGGGAGGGAGCGCAGGGCGCACATTTGCCTCTTTGGACGCCATCTTGACCAGCACGGCGAGTCTTGAGCAGCAGGCGCGGGTGCAGGAGGGAGAACGCCCTCGTCGAGTTGTCCGGCGACTGCTCTCCTCCGCTCGTGACCCTCGCTCTGCCGCCCTGTTCTCGTGCGGCGCTCTCGTTGGCGGGTCTGCAATGCAGCGCGTCCCTCTGTCGGGTCCGCTCCACTTGCTTGGCTCGTCGCTCTCGCCCGGCCTCGTCGCCCCGCTCAACTGCTCTCGACCTCGCTCAGCGGCGAAGTGAGGCTTTTGCTTCTGCGAGAGCCTCGCTGGGAAGTGCAGAGGGAGATGGACGGGCGAGAAGACCCACCACGAGCGGGTCGTCGCTCGTTGACGCTGCTCGCGCATCGGAAGGCTCCTTCGGCGGGCTCGAGAGATGGGAGGAGAGCGTGCCGTGGCGATGATTGCAACAAACAGGAGAGTCGACTTGTACAGGAGCGGGGGCAAAGGCGCGCGGACGAATACAGGACGTGTGACGGGTTCAGAAGCCTGCGCGAGGGACGAGAGGTGAGCGGGAACGCTCCCTGCGTCTTGCAGACGAGAGGGCTCGACGTACAGCATTGGCAGTCGAACGGGCACTCGGGCGTATCTGTGAAGGGCGGGGCAGTCAGGGTCTGGTCTCGGTGCGCGAGGACGGCGAGAGGAAGCGGGCGCACCTCCTCCGTGACCGATGTTGAGCTCGTCGAGGCTGTAGATGGGCAGGCCGTCCTCCGTCTTCTTGCCTGCGTGATCGGGACGGAGCAGAGTCAGTGCCGGGACCGAGCGCACGGTCAGGCGAGTGCGAGGGAGAGTGGGAGACTCACGAGTGCCGCGACTGTCCATGAAGCGCTCGTCCTCCTCTGCCGCCTTGCGCTCGGCCTCGGTAGCGTCGTCGCGCAGAGGCTTGGGCACGAGCGGTTGGGGCTTGTAGTACTCGATGGCCTTGCTCGTGTCGACGATGGTTTCCGGGACGCGCTTGGGCGGTGCGGCGGCGGCGGTAGTCGAAGGGAGAGCGGCCTCGGACGCTCCTTTAGGCGGTGCTGCTGCTGCCGCCGCCTGCTTGCCCTTCTTCCTGGGTGCGGCTGCTCCTTGCGCATTCGCAGGGCCGGGGAGGGTTGAGGTCGAGGCGGCGGCGGGTTTTGCGGCGGCGGTGCTCGAGGCTGCGGCCTTGGTGGGTTTGGCCGAGAAGATGTCGTCGATCTCGCTGGCGGTGCGCTTCTTTGCTGCGGCCATGGTGCGGCTCGGTGCAGAAGAGAGCGAGGGCAAGAGGGGAGACGAGCGAGCGCGAGAGTCGGCGGAGGGGAAGTGGGGAGGAGAAGCAGCTGCCGCAGCCCCTCTCTGGCCGGGTGCGACTCGCAGAGTGACACTGAGAGATCTGTAGAGTACACGAGCGCGCTCATCCACACGCAGAGTGGCGTCGAGAGCGGCTGGTTGCGACCAGCTCGTGCGGCCGCCTCGCTTCACACCTTCTTTCCACCTCGCCCCTCAGCGCAGGCTTGCTTGGAGGGAGCTCAGGCGTTGCTCAGCCAGCGTTTCGCACCAGTCGACCTCGAATCACCGCGCGCACGGCCTCGCCGTCGCCTCAAGGCTCTCCCCCCGCCGCTTCCATCAGCCGGTGCGTCGCACCCTCGTCCCTCGCCTCCTCTCAGCTCGCGAGCGTCCAGCCTGACCTTGCCCCATGCCTTGCACAGTCCTCCCGTCGGGCCGCCGACACTCGCACCCCGAGTCGAGCCCCGCCTTGCTCCGCTTCTCCGCGTCATCCACCGTCTCCCGCCTGTGCACCTCGCCCCCGACCAGCAGCCGCGATGGACCCGCACGTTCAGCCGACCTACGCCCACACGCGCGCCCTCCTCGCCTACCTGTTCTCGACCTATGGCCGCGGCAAGCACGGCAGCAGCCCGCCGCCGCCCTCGGCGCCCAACTCGAGCATGGCGCTCCTCGAGCTCAGCGTCCGCAAGCTCGCCCTCGCCCAGAGCCGAGCCGCCAGTGCCGCGTCGTCGTCCAAGGCCCCGAGCGAGACGAGCGCCAACACGGACGACGAGGACGCCGAGTCCAGCACGGGCAAGTCGGCCGCCGACGACCTGAGCGACGAGGACAAGTGCGCCCCCTCTCCCTCGTCTGTTTCTCCGTCAGGACGTACACGACCTGACTACCCGACCGACGACGCGCAGGACCAAGCTCGTCATCGACAAGCTCGAGGACCCGGACGTGGACGAGGACGAGATGCCCGACGCCATCAAGTCGACGCTCAACGCCCTCCTCGTGCTCCCCGACGCTGTACGTCGCAAGTTCGCTTTTCCTGCCTTCTGAGAACGTCCCTGACGAGATCCTCCTTCCCCAGGAATCCGTCAACCTCGACTCGCTCATTCTCGCCCTCCTCCACCGCCACCGCGAGGACCTGCGCCCGACGGGCAACCCGCTCCCGCCCCTGCCGAACCACGGCTCGACCACGCCGGGCTCTCGGCCGTCCCTGTCGCGCTCGTCGTCCATGCGGCGCGGGTTCCCGTCTGGCACCCTCACCCCGGGCGGCACCCAGGTCGCCTCGGGCGCACGCTCGCCGTCGCACTCGCCCTGGCACTCGCCAAAGCCCACCTCCCTTTCGCTCAACCCCAACTCGGCCGCGTTCAAGTTCTCGGCGGGCGCCAACGAGTTCCGGCCGGGCGGCAGCATGCCCGGTTCGGGACGAGCCTCGCCGTCGGTGCCCGGCACGCCGAGCGGCACGCGCAGCCCGATGCCCATGACGGCCGAGCAGGCGCAGCAGAACTGGGCCCAGCACCACTCGCCGCTCAGCACGCCCAAGCGCAATCACCCGCCCGGCCAGGCGAGCTCGGCCACGTCGTCGCCGAGCTTCTTCCCTCGCCAGCTCGACCACGCCCTCGCCCAGAAGCAGAAGATCCCGCGCATGCCCTGGGCCGACATCTCAGACTCGAGCGGCGCCGAGGACGAGGGCGGCGAGGGCGGGTACGCCCGCATCGACGACAATGCGCTCCCCGCCGAGACGGTCGCCGCGTTCGGCGGCGGCAGCAACAGCCCGTTCTACTCGCCCGCGATCCCGATCGACCAGGCGTACGCGCAGCAGCAGCAGGGCTACCTGGGCGACGGCGACGACCCGCAGTGGGCCGACCCGAGCGCGCCGCCGCCGCACGAGCCGTCCTACTTCGGGTACCCGGGCCAGGCGTACCCGCCGCCGCCGCCGCAGCAGGGCTATGCGCCGCCTCCTCCTGGCGGCGAGTACGGCGCGTACGCCGGCGGGCCCATGTACGACCCGGGCCTGTACCCGCCCTCGGGCGAGCTCACGCCGGGCGGCAGCTTCGCCCAGCAGCGCGGCGGCGGTCCCGGCCCGGCCTTCATCACGCTGCCAGGCCCTGCGCCGGGCGAGATGCCGTCGATCGACTTTGCCAACCAGTTGAGCGGGTCGGCCGGCGGCGGCGGCATCGGCGCCTACGCCCTCACGCCGTTCGACCACCTGCACTCGATCTTTGGCGCCGACGTGTCCGAGCAGGTCCTCGAGGAGGCGCTCGCCAACACGGGCTTCGACGTCGACAAGGCGATCGAGTACGTCATCGACACGCAGATGGGCACGCTCGCGCCGCCGCCGCCGCCCGGCATGGGCCAGCTCCCGCCCGGCGTGGGCGGTCCTCCTCCTCCTCCCGGCATGGAGTTCATTCCTCCTCCTCCCTCGCGCGGGTTCGGCGCGTCGGGCTCGCGACCGCTCGTCATTGCGCACGACTCGTTCGACGGGTTCGGCGGCGGCAACGGCGGTCGAGGCGGCGGCGGCATGTCGCCCCGGTTCGGCGGCTCGCGCTCGGCGACGCCGACGAGCGACGCAGCAGGCGGCAGGGGCGTCGGAGGGAGGGTGTGCCGGTTCTACCTCGCGGGCAACTGCCTGAGGAGCGACTGCCGGTTCTCGCACGACGTCAGCAAGGCGGTCTGCAAGTGCGTCGCCTCGCCTTCCTCTTCTTCTCCGGACTGATACTGACACCTGTCGTGCGACGTGCAGGTTCTGGCTGCGAGGGCACTGCCTCAAGGGCGACGGTCGCTGCGACTTTCTGCACACGATTCCGCCTGTGCGTCCTCTTCTCCCTCTCTCTTTCCCGTCCTCTCTCTCTCTTCCTCTCGATCCCTCGCTGTAGAGCAGTTCCCTGAGGACGCACGCTCACATTCCCTCCTCCCTGCGACAGATCCTGCGCGCCGACTACGAGGCGAGGACCCGTCTTCGCCACGAGGCGATGCAGGGCGCGCCCGAGATGGCCGGTCCCGGGCCAGACGAGGGCCCCGAGCTCGACTTCCCGACGCTCGGCGAGGCGCCTCGCTCGCGTCGTCCACTCGGCACCGCCGCTCCCCGCACCATCCAGCTCGACCCGGCGAGGACTCGGTTCGCCGGCGCCGTCAAGTTCGGCCAGAAGCCCGTCGTCCCGATCCCGTCACCTCGCGCAACCGGGTCGTCTGCCCGAGAGCCCGACCGCGCTGCCCTGCCGACGCCGCGCCGCTCGGCCCGCATCGCCCTGCGCCCGCCTGCGCTCCTCCCGACGCTCCCGACCGGCCAGTCGCTCGCCGCGCTCTACATCCGGTACCGCCAGAACTTCCTCGAGCTCGGCGCCAACCGCAACAAGTGCCTCGCCAAGGCCGCCGAGTGCTGGAAGCGCGGCGACGGCGCCGGCGCCCGCAAGTGGTCGCGCGAGGCGCAGGACTGGAGCCGCCAAGTCGCCATCGAGGGCCGCGACTCGGCGCTGCGCATCGTCGAGGAGCGCAAGCGCAGCCTCAAGGAGGCGATCGACCGCAACGAGGGCCGGTCGGGCAGCACCGACGACGGGCCCGACCGTCGAGCCCGTGGTCACGAGCGCGGCGGCGGCATCTGCCTCGGCGTCGTCAGCCCGGCCGTCGTCCAGAGCGACCGCCCGTTGACCGAGGAGGAGCGCACCGAGGTCGCCCTCGACCTGCACGCGCTCCACACGGACGAGGCGATCGGCTTCATGGGCGACTTTCTCCTCAAGCTCGAGGCGCAGAAGTTCCAGGGCCTCGCGTTCGTCGTCATCGGCCAGCAGAAGCACTCGGGCTCGTCGGCGCCGGACAAGGGCGAGGCGGCGGGTCGGCTCCGACTCGAGCAGGCGACGACCGAGTTCCTCGGCGACCAGGGCTGGGCGTGGCACAACTTTGGCGGTATCCTCGCCGTCGACTGCCTTCGTTAGACGCCTCGCCTTCTTCCTCCCTGTCTCCTTCCTCCTCCCCCCACCATGGACGCTAGATCCCCTCTTCTAGATCTCTCTCTCCCTCGTCCCGTATTCCCCTCGCCCGAAGCGATCCAAAGAAGTCTCTCAAGGAGCTGCCAATGAACAGCAAAAGTCGTGCCTTTTCTCTCTCGGCGTCGTGCCTCTAAAGCTTCCATCCGGGGCGAGGAGAGCGAGAGTCGTCCGAGGAGAGCAACTTGAGAAGGCTGCAGGCGCTTTTGGCTTCCAGCGGCAGTGCGTCTCTGGACAGTCGCTGAGCTTCTCTCGTTGGTCAAAAGAGTGAGCGGGTCTCGGAGAGCCCTGGAAGAGCTGAGAAGCAAAAGAAAGGACCGCCCAATGTGGGGCTCGAACCCACGACCACCAGATTAAGAGTCTGGTGCTCTGCCGACTGAGCTAACCGGGCTGTGCTTGGTGCGCCGACTGCAGCTAACAGCCTGATCGCGCGCGGCCTGACTTGCCTCGTTTTGAGAAGGTCGAGGCGCGACTTTCGACTTTCGACGGCGAGCGACCTGCCCTTGGCCGAGTGCGCGTGCCGCCGTGCATGCACCGAGATCTCACAGGATCAAAGACCCGCTCGCAACAGGCGCAAAGTTGCGAGGAACGAGCCGACAAGCACCGAGACGCGCGCTCAGACCCCTTGCTCCTGCTCGGTCGCACGCTAGGCGTCCTCGCCTCATCTCTCGGTGCAGCGGCTCACACGTCGCTCGACGGACAGACGACGCCGAGGTGGAACCCGCCACGTGCTGGCTCGCCCTCGCGAGTAAAGAGCTCTCTCTGCTCGGTCTCGCTCTCTCTCTCTCTCTCGACGACCGACGAGAGTGGATGAAAAGCGCGCATCGAGTTGCAGCGACAAGGGCAAAGGGTAAGGGGGGATAGACTGCTGCTGAAGTACTGTAGAACAACAGGCGAAAGACGAAGAGGGAGAGAGAGGACGAGGTGACGACGACGACGACGACCGAGGTCGAGACGGCGCTTACTGCCTCTCGCCACGAAGACGACGAGCGAGCTGGATGTCTGTGAGCAGGGAAGAGAGAGTCAGGTCGAAATCTCTCAAGTGAAAGAGAGAGAGAGACGGACCCTTGGGCTGGATCGTGACACGCTTGGCGTGGATGGCGGCGAGGTTGGTGTCCTCGAAGAGCGAGACGAGGTAGGCCTCGGCAGCCTCCTGGAGCGCCATGACGGCCGACGACTGGAAGCGCAGGTCCGTCTTGAAGTCCTGGGCAATCTCGCGAACGAGGCGCTGGAAGCTGCGAGGGCGAAGGAGAGTCAGTGAGGGGGTTTGACGACGACCACGAGAGACGACGAGGGACGCACGGGAGCTTGCGGATCAGGAGCTCGGTCGACTTCTGGTAGCGACGAATCTCGCGAAGGGCGACCGTTCCCGGGCGGTAGCGGTGAGGCTTCTTGACACCACCGGCGGCCGGGGCCGACTTGCGGGCAGCCTTGGCGGCGAGCTGCTTGCGAGGGGCCTTGCCACCGGTCGACTTGCGGGCGGTTTGCTGCAGACGGCGAGTGAGGGTCAGTCGCTTGTTGTTGTTGAGAGGTTGAGAGAGGAGGAGGAGGTGAGACGGACCTTGGTGCGGGCCATTGTGAGAGTGAGAGGTTGGCTGGAGGTGGGTGGAGGTAGTGAAGAGAGCGAGTGGAAGAAGCGAGGGAGAGCAAGGAGGGAGGGAGAGGGGAAGGAAGCGGGCTGTTTGGCGAGGCGAGAGATTCGAACGGGCGCGCCAAGTAGAGTGCCTAGCAAGTGGGAGGCTAGTGTCTCAGCTGCCTAGTAGATGGAGAAAGGACTCGCAAACAGCCTTCTCCCACGCGCGCGGCCAGTACCTCGTTCGGTCTACCTCGCCCCTCCTTCTCTTCTCTCTCCTCCCTCACCTACCGCTCTCTCTCTCCACCGCGCCTGACCACCCCTCGGCTCAAGCCCACCACACTCTCCACCACCACCACCACTCCCCCCCCAACCTCTCTCCTCGAACAGTGCGTCTCCTGCCCTCGACACTCCCGCGAGCCCACCGGACTGACTCTCTCTCCCCCACTCTGTCGCGCAGTGTCTGGCCGTGGCAAGGGCGGAAAGGGTCTCGGCAAGGGCGGCGCCAAGCGTCACCGCAAGATTGTGCGTCCCCCTTCCTCCTCCTCCTCGCCCCGTACGAGTCCAGAGCTGACCCCGACCTCCCTCGACTCGCAGCTTCGCGACAACATCCAGGGCATCACCAAGCCGGCCATCCGCCGTCTCGCTCGTCGTGGCGGTGTCAAGCGCATCTCTGGCCTCATCTACGAGGAGACGCGCGGCGTCCTCAAGATCTTCCTCGAGAACATCATCCGCGACTCGGTCACCTACACCGAGCACGCCAAGCGCAAGACGGTCACCTCGCTCGACGTCGTCTACGCCCTCAAGCGCGCCGGCAAGACGCTCTACGGTTTCGGCCAGTGAGCAGGAGGACGAGGAGGAGCAGAGAGGGTGGGAGGAGGTCGTCGTCGTTCGCATTTCTGCCGCTTGTTGTGCCCTTTAGTTACCAGCTGCAACTACCTGCGCTTTCGTTAGTCTACTCCTGCCGAGCCGAGCGAGAGAACAAGAGACCGGCCTCGAGAGCGACAGCGCTCGTACCCCTTCCCCGCCCTCGCATACGATCTTTCGCGCCCTCGCTGGTGGCTCCCGCCTCGGGGCTTTCTTTGCTCTCGCTAGTCGTGCTCTCAGTCAGTGCTGGGTCGGTGCGTGTGAGAGATGGGCCGAGATGAGCGTTAGGCCTCGAGCTTCCCTCGGCCTCTCGCGACGACGGAGGGGAGGAAGACGACATGCTGCGCTGATACAGGGACAAGAACTCGACGCTACGGAACCATACTAAGGATAAAGACATGACGAGAGAGCGAGAGAAAGGGGAACGAGGGGCAGGCTACCGGACCTTCATGAACGAGAAGAGAGACTCCATCGAGACCCAGCGGCGGCCGTTCTTCTCGAGGTGCTTGGTGACGACCCGGCGCAGCGTCTCGATCGTGGCACGATTCGCCTCGACCCGCACTTGGAGCGGCTCTGCGCGGCGGAAGACGGGTCAGTGCGCGGCTCGTCGAGTTGAGAAGGTCGAGCGGGACGCACCTTGCTCTGCGCCGCCAGCGACCTTGAGCGCCGCCTTCTCGATGTCGAACAGGGTGTCGAAGTAGAGGAGCTGGTCGTAAAGCTTCGAGTCGGAGTACTGCAGGTGAGGGAGAGCGTCAGGGGCGAGAAGGGGGGCAGGAGAGGGAGAGACGGGCGCACCTCGAGGTGCATGGCGCCACGACAGCCGGCGACGAGGCACTTCTTGCCGTAGACCGACATCATGCGGGTGCGGTTGCCGCACGTCGACTCGTCGCACGTGAGCCACGCCTCGTAGAACTTGGCGATGAACGAGCGCAACTGGAGGTCGAGCTGGATGGCCATCGACGGCGTGCCGAGCGGCGCCTGGCACTCGATGTTGGCGCAGAAGAAGCCGTGCTCCGAGATGAGGCCCGCCTGCGAGAGAGGACGAGGGAGGTCAGGCGGGCGCGACGATGAAAGGCGAGGAAGTGGGCGCACCTTGTTCTCGGCGATGCCGTCAAACGCCGACTCGGCGCCGCAGGACCGACAGCGGATGCGCATCGGCTCGCAGTCGGCAAAGCGCTGTGCGTCCGAGATCTGCGACTGGAGGGTCTTGAACTCGCGCTCGGGCACGTCGAGCGACGACGACTTGAAGCGCAGCGCGTCGAGACCTGCAGGGAGCGAGCGTCAGGACATGGGTCTTTTGCTCACGAGACGTGGAGGACGACGCACCGAGGCATTCGGCGAGGCGGGCCTTCTCGGTCCCCTCGATGTGCTCGCAAAGACGCTCGATCGGCGGCAGGACCTGCGTCGACAGGTAGACCTCGAAATCTGCGGGCGAGAGACGACGTCAGGGCCGGCGCGAGTAGACGGACATGGAGCTGTGCTCACCGATTTTGAGCGTCGAGCCTTGCCTGCGAACGTCGTCCGGGTGGTGCGCGTTGGCCGCCTGCGCCGTCTTGGTCGTCTCGCCGCCGGGCGCAATGCAGAAGATGTACGGGATGACATCGCCCGCCTTTGCCGACAGGCCCTTGGCCTTCATCTTGAGTGCCACCTGCACGTGCGGCAGCGACTTGGCGTCGGGGTAGTCCTCCGGGTTCTTGCCGAGGCGCTGTGGGAAGAACGCGGCGTGGGTCAGTACGGTGGGACGGCATCGAGGCCCGACAGGAGGACGAGCAGGGCGCACCTTGAAGACGATGTAGTCGTCGAGGGGCTTGAGGCCCGAGCGGATCTTCTCGCCGAGGTCGACGAGGTACTCGTGGATCTCCTCGACGACCGTCTCGGTCGCCTTGGCCGACAGGACCATGTCGAGGACGTCCCTGTTCGCGAGGAGCAGAGTCAGTAAGGGAAAAGTGGAGGCGAGAGAGGGAGAGAAAGCGCGACGCACTTGGACGCGTCCTTGGAGAGCTTTGAGAACTCGCGACGCTTCATGTCCAGGCCCTTGATCTCGGTCGACACCTCGCCCGGGCCGCCCTTGCCGTCGTCCTCGACCTTGCGCGCGGCGTACTTCTTCTTGTTGAGGAGGAGCATGCGCTCGAACACGGCGTCGCGGTCGATCTCGAGCTTCTTGTACTTGTCGTTGATGACCTTCTTGAACTCGTCGCCGATCTTGAGCGCCGCAGCGTAGTCGGTCTGGTTCGTGTTGATCATGACCGAGTCGGTGTCGCCGTAGATGACCTGCTCGAGGGAGAGGGAAAGGGTCAGGACCGGGACGAGGGACGTGCGCAGAGAGGAAGACGAGGCGGACGTTGAGCGACATGGCCTCGGCGTCGGCCTTGGTGCGGGTGAGGATCTCGCGACCCTTGAACGTCGTGAGGGCGGCAAGAGGGCGGGCGTAGAAGCGCGAACCCTCGTAGCCGAGGCAGCCGTACATCGAGTTGGCCGTGAGCTTGAGCGCCTGCTGCGTGATGTCGTACTGTCGCAGGCGCGAGGTAGAGCGTGAGTGAGTCGCTCTTGACGATAGAGGAGGCTTCGAGAGATGGGCGCACCTGCATGAGCTTGGCGACCGTCGCCGACTTGTCCTTCATGAGGCCCTTGACGATGCGACGCCGAGCGACGAGCGAGGCAATGAGCTGCGGGAGGATGCCCTGAGGCTCGCCCTCGCACGGGGCGCGGTCGGGCATCTTGTCGAGGTCCTCGGCCTGCGGACGACGAGCGACAAGGTCAGTCACCGGCCGACAGAAGGGACGAGAGGGGCGAGAAGAGGACGCACGTCGTCGGCCGTCCAGTCGATCGTGGAAAAGTCGATGTCGAACTCCTGGATGATGCTCGGGTACAGCGAGTTGTAGTCCATGACGAGGACGTAGCGGTCCCACAGGCCCTTCTCGGGCTCGAAGACGAGGCCGCCCTTGAACTTCTCGCGCTTGACCTCGACCTTGGGCTCGTCCTCGTTGGCGTCGGCGCCGCCCTTCTTCTTCTTCTTCGACTTGTCGGCCTTGGCGATCTGCGCCTTCTTCTCCCACGAAGCGATCTTGTCCGGCACGACGTAGCCCGTCTCGTGGAAGCGGTGGAGCAAGATGTACTCGTTGCGCTCGGCGCGGTTGCCGGCAAGCGTGCGGTTCCTGTGGGACAAGGAGCATCAGTGAGGGCTCGGTCTGAGAGGGGACGAGGGAGGGAGAGAGAGGGCGACGCACCAGCAGTTGCCGGCGAGGTTGGTGAGCTGACGCGTGAGCGGGAGCGCTTGCACCTTGGTCGCGATCGCCATCTGGAGGAAGCAGTCGGCGAGGCAGTGCATGACGAACTGCATGAGCTGCTTGGCGGTCGAGTGCACGCTGTCGAAGAACTTGGGCGTGTCCTCCGGGTCGAGGTCGTCGCGCGCGATGTTGAGGTGCGTCTCGCTCATCTCGGTCAACGACCACGTGTTCGAGTCGATGAAGGCCTGCGGGAGAGTGCGAGTCAGGCGAGGGTGTTCGAGAGGTGGAGCTGCGAGGGCGTGGGCGCACCTTGCAGCCGTCGCTCGTGAGGTCGACCAAGAGGCGGCCGCCGAGGAGCGCCGTGTTCCTGCCTGCGCGCAGAACAGGCCACTTGTCCGACTTGACGCGAAGGCGACCAACGCGCGACCAGTTGTCGACCTTGAGCTCGCGCAGGCGGTTCAGGAGGACGTCGAGGTCGAGCTGGCCGAGGTCGTAGCCGACGACGACGTCAGGGTCGTTGCGCGAGATGTACTCTGCGTGCGCAAGAGTCTGAGTGAGCGACAATGTCGGTCGAGAGGGATAGGAGGGCAGACGGGCGCACCGAGAAGCTGAACGAGGAGAGGGCGCTCGGCCTTGAAGACGCCGATGGTCGCGCCCGAGTTCTGCTGCCGCGCCATCTGCTCAAACCCGGCCGGGAACTCGGTGAACAGGTTGCGGACGAAGATCTTGGCCGACGAGCCCTGATTCTCGATGGGCGTCGGGTCGTCGATGTCGACTGCGCGAGCGGGTGCAGGGTCAGTGCGGGATCTTCTCGGCGGCGAGGCGGTGAACGAGGGGACGCACCGTTCTCCCACACTCGTGCGGCGGCGCAGACGATCTCGCGCTTGTTCTCCTTGAGGTGTACGACCGTGCGCGAGCTGAGGCTGAGGATGGTGAGCCGCGGGATGTCCTTGGGCGCGGCGGCGTCGGTGCTGGCGAATGGCGCAATGTCCTTCTCGTCGATCTCGACCTCGAGCTTGGTCCACGACGTCTGCGAGAGAGGAGAGCGAGTGAGTGACCGTGAGCGCTCAGGCCGGGCGAGGAGGCACGGGGAGGGAGAGCGTGGAAGGGGAGACGCACAGCGTCGCTCTTGTTGATCTTGGGCGTCTTGAGGTTCAGCCAGCAAGGGCCCATGACCTTGTGGTCGATGACGAAGCGCTCGAACGGCGTCGCGGTCGAGCCGAAGACGTGCGAGTACTGCTCGCCCGAGGCGTCGATCGGGATGTCGACGTCGTTGCGCTTGGACGCTGCGGGCGAGGTGGACGAGGGAGGCGACGCGAGTCAGTACGTCGACTCGCACAGGGTCGAGGAGGGGAGAGAGGGCGAGAGCTCACCGGGAAAGTCGCAGGTGACCTCGAGCCAGTTGGTCTCCTTGCGAGGGACGCCCTTGATGCCGAACGCGTACTGGCGCTTGACGTAGCCCTTGGTGCAGGAGGCGTTCTGCAGGTTCCACTTGCCCTTGGCGTCCGACAGGAAGTCGTCCTCGACGTCGTCGAACGCGAGCTCGTCGCCGTCGTCGTCGTCCGAGTCGTCCGAGTCGCCGCCGTCGCCGCCGTAGTACTCGGCCTTCGACTTGGGCAGGACGTAGAGCTTGCGCTTGATGTTCTTGACCGTGACGGTGGCGCTCACGTAGCGCAGGACCTCCTTCTCGACCTTGGCGTGGTTGACGCTGCTCGCGACCTTGACCGTCTCGCCGCGCACGCGCACCTTGCCGACGAGGCGCACCGTGCCGGGCGACGGCTCGTCGTAGTCGAACCACCAGAACCGGAGCGAGCCGTCGGGCTCGAGCGCGTTGGCCTGCTGCGCCGGCGCGCGCATCGACGTCGAGCTGATGACCGTCTTGTGCTCCTCCTGGAACGATGCGGCGGCGTCGAGCGACTCGTCCGAGGCCGAGACGGGACCGTGCGTGCTGATGAGGCCCGTCGTCGCCGTGCGCCAGTCGAGCCCTTTGCGCTTGGGCTTGTTGTCGTCGGCGCCGTCGGGCAGGACGTCGTCGGTCGGCTCGACCTTGGTCGCCTTGGGCTTGGCGACGCCGGCGTTGACGAGCGTGCGACGTTGAGCCGGGCCCTTGGGCTTGGCGGCGGCGGCGGCCGGCTTGACGAACAGGTCGTCCTCCTCGTCGCCGTCCTCCATCTTGACGTCGCCGTTGGTCCTGCTCGACTCGCCGAGCGGCTCGACGCCGTGAGCCGACGCCGCCGTCAGGTCGTCGTCGTAGAACTGGTCGCCCATGCCGCCAAAGTCGTTGTCGAGCTCGTCGTCGATGGCCGGGTCGAAGCGGGCGCGCTTGCCGTCGAAGCCGTCGCTCGAGGGGCCCGTCGTCGGCGCAAAGCCCGGCTCGGACGACAGCGGGTCCGAGTTGTAGTCGGACGAGGCGGCAGTCGAGCGGAACGCGCTCGCGTCGGTGTCGGCGAAGCGCTTGGACCCGGCGACGGCCGACTTGACGAGCGACTGCTTGGGGCGACGGACAGGCGGCGCTGCTGGTCGAGGCGAGTCGGTCTTCTGGACCTGCGCCTTGCCGTCGAGGTCGCCGAGCAGGCTCGCCATGAAGTCGTCCTCGTGCTCCTGCAGGGGGAGGCCCTTGGCCTGCTTGGCCGGGTTGAGGTACGGGTTGGCGCCCTCGGAGATCTCGACCTTCTCCTTGGCGCGCTTCTTTGCGGCCGCCTTGAGCAACTTGTCCTTCTTCTCCTTGGCCGCCTTCTTCTCGGCTTTGGCGCGGTCTGCAGGGCGGGCGAGAAGAGGGAGGAGGTTGAGGGGTGGGAGGGTGAGCGGCGGCGACACGTAGGGGGGTCTGGGTGCGAGGGGAACAGGGGACGCACCCTTCTCGTCGTCGTCATGTTCTCCCTCGCTCGCGCTGCGGTCCCACTCGTCCATGCCGTTGTCGGCGTAGCCGCTCACGCCGTTGTCCTCCTCGATGAAGTCGTCCTCCATGAGGCGGCCGCGCACGACTGAGCGGTACACGTCCTCGTCGACCTCGTCATAGACATCCTCCTGCTTCTTGGCCTGCGAGCGACAGGGCGAGAGAGCGCGAGTCAGTTGCCGGCACGCGTCGAGGAGGGGGGGAGGACGAGGGTGGAGTAACGCACCTCCCAGTTGCGCTTGCCGGATGCGCGCGCCTCGCGCAGGGCCGCCATCTTCTCGCGAGCAGCTCGTGCGGCCGACATGGCGTGCTGGGCGGGCGGGTCGAGGTCGGGGAGGAGGGTTCGGAGAGGTGCGGCGGACGGGAGGCGAACAGGGTGCGGCTCGGCGGCTGAGAGTGCGGGCGCGGTGTGCTGTGCGCGTGTGCGTGTCGGACGAGTGTGCGGAGCGGCACACGGCAGCCTCTCGAGGCGAGCGAGCGGTGTGGGCGAGAGCGACCACCTTGCTCGAGCGCGCGCGGACGCGTTGAGGCGAGGGTCAAAATGCGAGACTCGAAGCCTCTGCTGCTCTGTTACGACAACACGCCTGCCCGTACACGACTCTACTCAAGGACCCATCGCCGCACGACCGGCGAGCCGCCGACCACCGGGTGAAGGAGCACCGTCGAGAGCCAGAACGCGAGAAGCTGCCGCCGCTTGTCGAGGAACGACGGCCGGTACTTGGCTGCACAGAATGCGTCGTGTGAGTGCTCGTCGAGGGAGGGGTGCGACAGGGAAATGGCCGGACGCACCGAACGACGACTTGGGAGGTAGTCGAGGGACGTGACCTCGAAACGACGGGTCGGCCTGCAGGAGGTCGGCGCGCAGGCGCACAAAGGCCGAGTAGCGCTTGTGGCACCTTATCTTGGTCGGCTGTAGGGCGACGAGCGGTCAGTGGCCGTGCAAGGGGGCGAGGGGAGAGAACAAGGGACGCACTCGAGCAGCAGCGCCGGTCGGGAGCGTCTCGATCTCGATCTCGAAGACGACAAAGCCTCCTCCTTCTGACCCGACGGCGTGATAACCCGTGATCTTGACCTGTGTGTCGAGCGAGGTCAGCTCGAACGTCGAGGCGCGACCGGAGAGTCGAAGAGGGTACGAGGGCTGACTCACGTCGCGCACAAAGTTGCCCGTGCGCCGATCGGTCCAGTCCTCGACCCGGACACCTCGACGCTGCGATCGACGAGCGTGTCAGTTGCGGGTACGCCAGAGACGAGGGAGGGAGCCGCACGCACAGAAGAGCGTCGAGAGGTCGTCGTTGAGGCAATCGAGGGAGGGCGGAAGCGGAACGATTCATCCTGCGGGTGCGGGTACAGGTCAGTCAGATGGTTGGGTAGAGAGAACAAGGTCAAGGTCGCACATCGCTGCTGAACTGGTCGGCGTCGTCGTCGTCGAGGTTGTCCTCGCCGCCGTCGTCGAGCCGGACGAGGAGGTCGGCGCTCGTGACCCGTCTGAGCGGTACAGGTGGGCGCAGGGCTTGATCTTGACCGTCTCCACCTGCGCCTGCACCCGCGAGCTCGACACCCGCCTCGTGAGTCGCCGAGGGCTGCCCCACACCGGGTGGAGGAGGGTCGCCGAGTGCAGGCGGGAGGCGCATGTGCTGTGCGCTGTGTCGGCGACGCAGGGAGCGCGAGTCGGTGGTGCCGACGGTCGAGCTCCTCGATCGGCCTGGAGGATGTGGTGCGGGCGAGTGGTCGAGCGAGAGGTGGACGAGGAGGGAGGACGAGGCGGCATCTTCGACGTCTGCGCAGACCGTCTCGGTGTAGGAGCGTAGCGGCGGTGGAGGTCGAGGTACAGAGCCCATGCACGCCTGTGCAGCAAGCAGCGGGCGAGGTGTGGACGAGGGTGGCCGGCTGTGCTCCCCTCTCCTCGTCGTCCTCGGATCCTCTCGCTGTGCAGCTCAGCGGGCATGTGCGCTGGAGCATCTCGATTCTCCTCAAGCCTGCGTGCGGCCGCTCGCGCGCCCCCTGTCCAGACCCTCACTCGCCCACCCGGCTCTCCTCCCTCCTCCTCCTCCTCATCTCCCCTCGTTTCGCTCGCTCCGGCAGCGGGTTCGACCAGCTCGCACCCGTCGTCGCGGCACAGCCGAGCTCGACATCGACGCTCGCGCTCCAAGCACGCACCCTCTGCCTCCTGTCCGCGCCCGAGCCTGCTGCCCGGACACTCCGCGGGCGCTCGGCGTCCGCCTGTTGGCCATGCTGCCGCTTTCTCTGCTTGTCGCTCGTCCGCCATGGCTTCCCTCGCGATGCGGCACGAGCAGCTCTCGGCGCTAGCCCGCACCAAGCGGCTCTTCTGGCTGTCGTCGGTCACCGGCATCCTCTCCCTGGTCGGCGTGTGTGTCGCCGTCCTCCGTGCGTCCCTCTCTCGCCCTCGCCTTCCTTCGCCCGGTGCGACACACCTGACAGTCTCTTCCTCCGCAGCATGGCGCCTCGTCCGCCGGCAAGGCGACTGGGTCGCGTTCGCCATCGTCGCCGCCTCGTCCTTCGTCTGGGTCACCCTCCCGATCGCCGCCTCGGGTTCGATGCAGCTGCGCCGACGACTGCTGAGCGCGTGGTGGGCCATGATGGTGCGTGTCTCTCCTCGGACCCTCGTTCGCCAGTACAACTGGCGCTGACCTCGTTCCTCGAGACAGGTTGCCGCCGCCGCTCATCTCGCCCTCGCCATCTACCTCGAGTTCTCTCTCGTCGACCAGAAGGGCGTCTGGATCGAGGACTGGTGCGCCCCCTCTTGCTCTCGGTCGGGCTGTCGAACCCGAATTGACCTGGGCCTCCTTCCTGCAGCTCGACGTCCGACCTGGCCATGACCGCCGACGCCTGCCGCACACGCTCTCGTCAGGTCATTCTCGCCTTCCCTCTCGTGCGTCCATCGTCCTTCACCTCTTCCTGAACCTTGAATGACAGCCTCGGTCCCTTGCAGACTGCCGCCATCCTCGAAATTGGCGCCGTCCCCCTCCTCTGGCTCCTGCGACGATCCTTCGACAAGTTGCCACAGGACCACACCTACGGCACGCTCATGGACGACGACGTCCCTCCCGGTTGGCATGTCCCTGCTGCCGACCTCGCCGCCGACTCGTCAGCCTCGGACTCGGACGACCACGGCGGCCCGTTGCGACCGGGCGCCGCGAGCCCGCGCCGGTCGTCTCGCACTCGAGTCGGCTCGGGCACGGACAAGGATTCGGCGTCGGACTGGTACGAGCTCGGGAGGAAGAGCTCGAGGAGCCTGGCGACGAGCGGCATGAGCTGGAGCGAGGTTCGGCGGGCGCGCAAGGAGCGCAACTTGGCCAAGTCGAGGGCGTCGAGCTGAGCGGGGTGCGCGCGTGTGTCTAGATCGCTGGCACGACGACAAGCTGCAAGCCATTCGTTCGAGCGCGCGAGCTGGCTGCGACCGTGCCCGCGCTTGTCGGCTCGAGAGCTCGCGCTTGGCGCCATCAGTTGCAGCTCGTCTTGCTCGTCTCGCGGCACCCACACTCGCTCAACGGCCGCTCTGCTGTGCGGGGCTTGCTTCTCTACCCGCACCGCTTTCGCCATGGCCACCCTCGACCTGTCCAACCCGGCCCTCGAGCTCTCGTTCCTCCCGACCCAACTCTCCGTCATCCAGCTCGCGCCGTCTCGAGCGATCCCGCCCAAGCTCGTCGAGGCCGTCACTTCAGCAGGGCCAGACGACTTTGTGTCCATCACCCGCTGCCCCGACGAGATCTCGGTCATCCTCGCGACGACGCTCCTCGACGAGCTCTACCCTCCAACGGTGCGCCTCGCTTTCCCTCTCTCTGCAGCCGCGCGCAAGCTGACAGATACCGCGCACACAGGCAAAGGAGCAGCCCGTCGAGTCGCTCGGACCCTGGGTCGCTGTCAAGGTCAAAGGACCGATGGACCTCTCGCTCACGGGCATCTTGCACGAGCTCTCGCGCCCTCTCAAGACCGCCAGCGTCCCGATCTTCGCTTCGTCGACGTGGAACACCGACTACGTCCTGATCGAGGAGCGCCACAAGGGGGCGGGCCGTGCGGCACTCGAGGAGGCCGGGTGGAAGTTTGCGGCCTGAGGGCTTTCGCGACGAGAGGGACGCAGACGGGCGAGAAGGGCGGGATACGCAGCCGTGTTGCAATCTCAGGGTCTCTGTACATGCTGCTACACAGAGATGAGAGCGTTAGAGGAAAGGTCGCTCGGCCTGCGGCGTGAGTCGAGCGCCATGACGACGTCCGCCTCCTGCCGCAAAGTCGACCTGCGAGCGCAGCGAAACGAGAGGGTCAGTCCTGCTCGTCGTCGGCGACCGAGACGAGAGATCTCTCACGATGGCAGTGTGCGCCGTGATCCGATTCTGCCAGGGAAGCGACACGTGAGCGCTCTGTCGACGAAAGCCCGGCTTGGCGAGAGAGAAGAGCAGGACGACGAGCGACTCACGTCCCACAGGATGACGCTGCGAGGCTTGTGACGAAGGCGGACCTGGAAGTCGACGCCGCTCTTGATGTGGGTGTAGAGGAGGTTGAGGAGCGCGTCCGACTCCTCCTGCTTGAGGCCGACGATGCGCCTCGAGAACTGCGGGTTGACGAAGATGGCCTTCTCGCCCGTCACCGGGTGGCGACGAACGAGAGGGTGCACGTTCTCGACAGGCTCGCGCTTGACGACGCCGCCGCGGCTGCCCTTGCGCGAGAACTCGGCCTGCTCGACGCCCGAGTGGACGACCGAGAGCGTCTCGAGGTAGGCGCGCAGGCTTGGCGAGAGATGCTTGTACGCCGCACGTTGGTCGGCGTAGCCGGTGTCGCCGCCGGACTTGGGGCTGTCGAAGAGAAAGAGCTGCGGGCGAGGGAAAGAGGGCCTGAGCGTCGGCTCTCGGTCGCGACGTCGAGCGGGCCGAGGGCGCAGCTTACGGCTGTGAGGCCAGGAGGTTGCTCCTCGTAGGTGACCTGCGAGAGGGACAGGGACCGAGTCAGTCGGCAGTGTACGGGCGAGGACCTGCTCGTCGAGGGAGGAAGAGAAAGGCAGAGACGCACGTCGCTGTGCCACACGCTCGACGTCAAGCGGGTGTCGACCTCGTAGTTGTAGACCGCCTTGCCGTCGCGATAGACGAGGTGGAACTCGGGGAACCCCTTGGGCGAGCCGGAGCAAGGATGGATGTGCGGGCGGCCGAAAAAGCGCGTCCAGTCGTCGAGGAGCCACTCGGGCTCTTGGTCGTGGAAGTCCTGGTCGCGGAAGACGACGACGCCGCGCTCGGCGACGTAGAGCGCGAGCTGCTGCCGACCGCGGCTGTCGAGCTGGTGCAGCTGGATGCCCTCGACCTCGGTGCCGAACTCGGGCGTGAGGTCGTCGACGTCGGCGCCGTCGAGGAAGCTCCTCGGGGTCGGGTCCTTGAGCGCCTCGTGGCCCGGGTCGACATGCTCGAACGGCTCGAGCGGCGGGAGCTTGAGGTCGCGGTCGAAGATCGGGAGGAAGCGCTCGTACGGGTACTCGTCGCCGGGCTTGGCCGTCTCGCTGAACCAGCGAGGCTTCTCGCGCCGCGTGCTGGACGACGCCGACGTGGAAGTGGCCGCCTTGTCGCTGTCGGGGCGGATCGAGAGCGAGCGCAGGGGCGACGTGACGGTCTCGGTTGCCGAGGGAGCCATCGTGCAGCGGTCGAGGGGCGGGTTGCGGGAAGGAGCAGGAGCGACTGCAGGCTGCAGAGCAAAGAGTTCGGGCGAGCGCACACCATCTGCACGCCCTGGCGAGCTGGTTTCGAGAGCGAGAGCTCGGATGGCGCAATCCGGGTGCGGGGACGACGTCCAAGGGCCCGGCGCCAGCACCGCGCGAGCGACTGCGCCGACGGACCGGCATGAGCATCCGACTCGAGCGTGACCGGCAAGCTAGCAGTGCCGTTTGACGAGGGCTCAGAGCTGTGAGGAGAGAGGGGAGGAACGGGCCGGCAGCGACCTCGCGCTGCGTCCTGCCGGCCCAGATCCTGTCTTGCGCGTCTCGCGTAGTTCTCCCGTCGACGCAAAAGTGAGAAAGGACTGCGCGCAGTAGACGCAGGCGCTTTCTGAGGTCCAGCAGCAAAAGAAAGGACCGCCCAATGTGGGGCTCGAACCCACGACCACCAGATTAAGAGTCTGGTGCTCTGCCGACTGAGCTAACCGGGCTGTTCTTGATGCGGCGGACCACACTAGCAAACTCGTAAGTAGCCACTCGCTTGCGCCATCTGAGGAGGCCTGAGCGCCGTTTCCGCCCTCGTGTCCAGTCTCGGGGCGTGCGCCTGTGCTACACACACTCGACGCGACGCTGTCGACGAGCTGGTGGCACGAGAGCCTGCGAGAACCGAGCCCTGGACTTTCTCGCTCTCCGGCGCTCCGCTCGCACGGTCCCTCTCTCGCACGAGACTCTCGCGTCGCACACACTGAATATCACGCACGATACAAAGGCGTCTCTACAGCTTGGCCTTCGGGTCCGACGCGCTGACGGCGCCGGCCTCGATAAGCGCCCGGACCTTCCCACCGAGCCCGGCCGCCTCGAGCACCTCGACCGTGTCCCTGCCCGGCTCGAGGAAGGGCCCGTCCGACGCTCCAGCTGTCGCAGGCGTCCTGACAAGCCTCGGCGCCGGGGCTGGCACGCCGCCGCCGTCGGCCGCCGTCTCGTCGTCGAGCGCGCGACCGGGCTCACCTGGCCCTCGGCCCTGCGCGTCGACCTCGTGGCGCTCGAGGACCGGGACGCAGCACGCGTCCGTGTTGAGGAACAGGCTCGCCCACTCGTCGCGAGTCTTCTCGGCGAACCCGGCGGTGAAAAAGGCGACGAGGTCGGGCCAGGTCGAGCGGTCGTACTGCGTGTCGGGGCTCGGGTGCGGCGGCAGGTCGGCGCAGGACGACAGCTCCTTCGAGAAGATTTCGCTGCGAACACGAGGACCTCAAGTCAGTCGATAGTGCGCGATGACGGCGCGAGAAAGAGAGAGAGAGAGGGCGAGGAAGCGAGAGACGCACAGGAAGACGCGGTAGAAGTGGTTCTCGATGGCGCCGAGGCTCATGTAGCCGCCGTCCTTGGTCTTGTACACCTCGTACCACGGCGCGCCGCCGTCGAGCCAGTTCTCGCCTCGCGGCTCGCTCCAAGTCGGCATGCCCGTGCTCGGGCGCGCGACCGTGAGCGGGAAGATGGACGCGTAGCGGGTGCCCGTTACCTGCGGCACAGAGTCCGTGTCAGAAGACCTGACTGACCGTCGCGTCGAATGGCTCGCCTCGAGAGAGGGGAAGAGAGAGGGGGACGCACCATGTCGATCTCGACGATCTGCCCCTTGCCGCTTCTGCTGCGCTCGAGCAACGCCGCGAGGACGCCGACGACGGCCATCAGACCACCTCCAGCAAAGTCGGCTGTGGGTGAAGTGCGGGTCAGACCTGCAGACGCGAGAGGAGGATGGCACGAGGACGCACTGAGCAAGTTGGCGGGAAAGTAAGGCTTGTCGCCCGCTCGCCCGAGCATCGACAGGACGCCCGTGAGGGCGAGGTAGTTGATATCGTGCCCGGCCATCTTGCTGTACGGGCCCTCGCGGCGGAAACCCGTCAGGCGCGCGATGACGAGCCGAGGGTTGGCCTTGAGAAGGTCCTCCGGGTCGAGGCCGAGGCGCTCGAGAACGCCCGGGCGGAACGGGTCGATGAGGACGTCGGCGCGCCATTGTTCGGGTCGACTGGATGCGCTCGACGTGCTCGACGAGGACGGGCCGACGAGCGTCTTGACGAGCGAGATGCCATCGGGCGACTTGAGCGAGACGGCGATGGACCGCTTGCCCCTGCAGGGTCCGGTCCCGAGTCAGAGGATCGTGCATCGAGCGTTCGAGACAAGTGGAGCGGGCGCACCTGGTGAGGGTGTCGGTGTTGAACGAGTCGCCGTGCCGGTCGACGCGGACGACGTCTGCGCCAAAGTCGGCGAGGATGACTGCGCGGTAGAGGCGGTCAGCTGACGGGCAGAGAGGGGACTGTGAAGGGGTAGACTCACGGCCTGTGAAGGGACCTGGAGCGAGACCGGCGAGCTGCGAGAGGTGCCGAGGTGAGGGAGTGGGGACTCCACGAGGAGGGAGGGAGGCGATGGACGCACCTCGAGGACGCGGATGCCGGCGACGGGTCGGTGGTCGGATGCAGGCATGGGCGTGGGGAGCAGCTCGAGGCAGCAGAGCGAGGTGGGGAGCGAGAGGGACGAGGCCACTCTCCGGCTCGTCGTCGGCTCGTGTGGCTCGAAGTTGCCGGACCTTGTTCACCTGCCTGCACCTGCTGCTGCACCCGTCTACAGCCCACACGCCTACCCTCGGCACCCTGCACATGGCCACCCAGGCCCCGGCTCTCGGCGGCGCCAGCACCTCGTCCCCCTCGTCCGCAAAACCACCGCGGCACTCGCCCTGGGATCCCTACACCCCGCTCCCGCCCAGCACAAAGCGCAGGGTCCGTCCACACCTCTCTCTCTCTCTAACGAGCCCGTCAACCACCGCCGCAGGCGCGGTGGGCGACCGCTGGCCCGTCCTCGAGCCCGCTCGAGGTGATGACAACTCCGTGAGCTGACCCACACCCTCTCCCACCCACGCAGCTCGACCCGCGTGAACATGTCGCTCCCCGCCCCTACCTGCAAGAGCTCGACATCCCCGCCGACGTCGCAGAAGAGCGCGTCGCCGGCAAGCTCCTCCAGCTCGACCTCCCCGAGGGCAAGGTGAGCGACCGCCGCAAGGCCGACCTCGCCAAGCGCGACCTCGAGATCGAAAGGAAGCGCGCAAAGCGCCTGCGCGAGGGCGACTGCGGCCTGAGCGGGCGCAGGAAACGCGCAGCTCGAGGGACCGCCGCAGCCGGATCTGTCAAGTGCGTCCACCGTCTCTCGCCACCTCCTCCCCCTACTGCTGGGCTCGCTCTGACCCTCTTGTGCAACAGCTACGACGCCGTCCTCCCCGTTCACCACCTCTGGCTCGGCTACATCTCCGAGCTGCTCGCCGTCCCTCTCGTCGTCCCCTCGCCAGCCTCGCCCTCACTCGCGCCCGACGCTGCATCGACCGGCGCGCCCGAGCCCGACATCACGTCGACTCTCCTTCCCACCTACCCGAGCCGGCACGCCGTCCCGACTCTGCCCCGAGACGAGCAGATCAACGTCGTCAACCTGCACGCCAAGATGGTCAAGGCCGACTTTACCGGCTGCTCGCTCAGCGGTGCGTCCACTTCGCCTTGCAGTCCTCGTACACGTCTCGCGCCCGTACTGAATCCCTGCTCCCGCAGTCAAGCGCGCCAAGAACCCGTCGCTCGTCGGCTTGCGAGGCCTCGTCCTGCAGGAGACGCACGGCACCTTCAAGCTCGTCACGCCGGGCTCGCAGGTCAAGGGTGCGCTCGACTTTCTCCCTCTCTCTCTCTCTCGGTCTCGGGTGGACGTCGACGGTCTCTCGGACCGTCGCTGACACGGCATTTCGCGCAGTCGTCGCCAAGCAGGGCTCGATCTTCAACATCGTCCTGCCCCTCGCGCCCACGGCCTCGAGCGCCGCATCCCGCGAGCTCAGCTTTGACCTGTTCGGCGACTCGTTCGCGTACCGGCCCGCAGACCGTGTCGGCAAGCGGTGGAAGGCCGGGACGAGTGCGGGCGGCGTCGAGCTGGTGTAGCTCGGGGGCGAGGCTGTCCTGTCACGAGTTGGTCGACTTTCCTGTGCCTGGATCGACTGCGAGGAGAGACTATGCGGTCGCGTGCCCAGGGACCGCAGCCGAGAGACGAGAAAGTCGTCGCGCAGCGCCCGAACCGGGCCTCCGAGCGAGAAAGACGGGCTCGAGCGCAGAGTCTGGCCGAGCGTGCCGACGACGCTCGCGACTGCTCAACGTCGCCGAGAGCGTCGATGCCGTCTCGAGCGTAGCTCTGCACGTGTCGCGAGGAGAGTCCTGCGCCGGCAAGAGACCGAATCAAAGTCGGAAAGAAGAGACGCGAGGAGAGACAGGCCGCGTGCGCTCGCTCAGTGCTCGCTTTCTGCGGGTCGGCAGAGTTCCAGGAGACGACGAGGCTAGAGCCTGGGCATCGACAACCAAAAGAATTCGACGGCAGGAGAAGGCGGGAGGGGGCGCGAGCGCTCTCGTGCTCTCCCTCTCCTTCTCTCTCGCTCGCTCGCGAGACGGGACTGGACAGGCGAGCAGCGCGATGGTAAAGTAGCGCAGGTAGTTGCAGCTGGGGACTAAAGGGGACAACAAGCGGCAGAAATGCGAACAACGACGACCTCCTCTCTCTCTCCTGCTCATCCTCGAGGTGACCTACTGGCCGAAACCGTAGAGCGTCTTGCCGGCGCGCTTGAGGGCGTAGACGACGTCGAGCGAGGTGACCGTCTTGCGCTTGGCGTGCTCGGTGTAGGTGACCGAGTCGCGGATGATGTTCTCGAGGAAGATCTTGAGGACGCCGCGCGTCTCCTCGTAGATGAGGCCAGAGATGCGCTTGACACCGCCACGACGAGCGAGACGGCGGATGGCCGGCTTGGTGATGCCCTGGATGTTGTCGCGAAGCTGCGAGTCGAGGGAGGTCGGGGTCAGCTCTGGACTCGTACGGGGCGAGGAGGAGGAGGAAGGGGGACGCACAATCTTGCGGTGACGCTTGGCGCCGCCCTTGCCGAGACCCTTTCCGCCCTTGCCACGGCCAGACACTGCGCGACAGAGTGGGGGAGAGAGAGTCAGTCCGGTGGGCTCGCGGGAGTGTCGAGGGCAGGAGACGCACTGTTCGAGGAGAGAGGTTGGGGGGGGAGTGGTGGTGGTGGTGGAGAGTGTGGTGGGCTTGAGCCGAGGGGTGGTCAGGCGCGGTGGAGAGAGAGAGCGGTAGGTGAGGGAGGAGAGAGAAGAGAAGGAGGGGCGAGGTAGACCGAACGAGGTACTGGCCGCGCGCGTGGGAGAAGGCTGTTTGCGAGTCCTTTCTCCATCTACTAGGCAGCTGAGACACTAGCCTCCCACTTGCTAGGCACTCTACTTGGCGCGCCCGTTCGAATCTCTCGCCTCGCCAAACAGCCCGCTTCCTTCCCCTCTCCCTCCCTCCTTGCTCTCCCTCGCTTCTTCCACTCGCTCTCTTCACTACCTCCACCCACCTCCAGCCAACCTCTCACTCTCACAATGGCCCGCACCAAGGTCCGTCTCACCTCCTCCTCCTCTCTCAACCTCTCAACAACAACAAGCGACTGACCCTCACTCGCTTAACGTACTAAGCTCTCATGTTTAACGAACTAAACCCTCATGGCTAACGTACTAAGCTCTCATGGCTAACGTACTAAGCTCTCATGTTTCACGTACTAAGCTCTCATGTTTGAACAATAAAATTAATATAAATCAGCAACTTAAATAGCCTCTAAGGTTTTAAGTTTTATAAGAAAAAAAAGAATATATAAGGCTTTTAAAGCTTTTAAGGTTTCACGACTCTCCTTCGCCCTCGCAGCTTCCAGCGCCTCGTTCGCGAGATTGCCCAGGACTTCAAGACGGACCTGCGCTTCCAGTCGTCGGCCGTCATGGCGCTCCAGGAGGCTGCCGAGGCCTACCTCGTCTCGCTCTTCGAGGACACCAACCTCGCCGCCATCCACGCCAAGCGTGTCACGATCCAGCCCAAGGGTCCGTCTCTCTCTCTCTTTCACTTGAGAGATTTCGACCTGACTCTCTCTTCCCTGCTCACAGACATCCAGCTCGCTCGTCGTCTTCGTGGCGAGAGGCAGTAAGCGCCGTCTCGACCTCGGTCGTCGTCGTCGTCGTCACCTCGTCCTCTCTCTCCCTCTTCGTCTTTCGCCTGTTGTTCTACAGTACTTCAGCAGCAGTCTGTCCCCCCCTTACCCTTTCCCTTGTCGCTGCAACTCGATGCGCGCTTTTCATCCACTCTCGTCGGTCGTCGAGAGAGAGAGAGACAGAGAGAGCGCGAGCAAAGCGAGCTGCTCACTCGAGTCGGCGAGCTAGCGCGTGGCGGGTCCCAGCTCGGCGTCGTCTGTCCGTCGAGCGACAGGTGAACGCTGCATCGAGGAGATGAGGCGAGGACGCCTCGAGTGCGACCGAGCAGGAGCAAGGGGTCCGAGCGCGCGACTCGGTGCGTGTCGGCTCGTTCCCTCGCATCGGCCCTTGCGCGCCTGCTTCGAGCGCGTTTTTGATCCTCTAGGAGCTCGGCGCATGCAAGACGGCACGCGCACACGGCCGAGGGCGGTTCGCTCGCCGTCGAGAGTCGAAAGTCGCGCCTCGACCTTCTCAAAATGACGCAAAGAGCCTAGTCTCTACCTGTTTGCTAGTTTGAGTCGGCGCACCAAGCACAGCCCGGTTAGCTCAGTCGGCAGAGCACCAGACTCTTAATCTGGTGGTCGTGGGTTCGAGCCCCACATTGGGCGGTCCTTTCTTTTGCTTCTCAGCCGTTCCAGTGCTCTCCGAGACCCGCGGGCGGTCCCAGCATCTCTCTTTTGACCAAGTGGGGCGGCACGCAAGTCGAGAACGTCGGACGGGCACGGTCAGCGGCGAGCGCGACCGATCGTCTTTGGCGGCCTTCCCAATCTCGCTCACGGACCGCCAGACGACTCGAGCGGACAAAGACCAGGAATGCGGATGGAGGGCTTCTATGGCACGCCTTCTAGTCGTCTACATACAGTCTCTTAAGTCTACAACACCGCTCTCGGGCTCCGTCCAACCTCCGCCTGAAGCGGCACCTCGCCTTCTCAAGAGCTGCCCGAGTTGTCGGCGCACGACCAGGGCCGGCCGCCTGTCTCGGCGTACGAGTCGATGATGCTCTTGATGCTGCCGTACGTGCCGCCGACGAGGCACAGGGCTGCGATGAGGAGGATGCACATGTTGATGATGACGCCGAGCGTGAAGAAGCGCGGGCGCGCGTCGCGGTCCTTGAGGCAGTGGCGCAGGTCGTACATCCACATGCAGGGCTGTACGAGAGAGACGAGAGTCAGGTGACGGGGCGCGAGCGGGGAGGTACATCGCACGCGCAGGCCGACGAGGAGGAGGAGGAGGGTGCTCACCTCGGCGCCGATGACGAGCAGGGTACCGAAAAGAGCACTCGCGAGGCCGAGGAGGCCGCCGAAGAAGGGCACGGCCGACGCGACCACGTAGCTGAACGCGAGGCAGCCGGCGACGCAGCTGAACCAGACGACGTAGTGCGTCCGGGTCTCCTTGGCGAGGTGCTGCGTGTTGCGGAGCGCGCGCACGAACACCCACTTGGCCGGCAGCTGCACGACATGAAAGAGGCATCAGGCTGCGAGTCGGGAGGATCGAGAGTGAGGGAGAGAGGAGAGACGCACGTGGACAAAGAGCATGGCCGAGACGATGAGGCCAGGGAGCGCGAGGCCGTACGCGACGCGCTTGATGAGGGTGCCGGCCGTGCCGAGGGCAGGACTGGCGACGTACGGGCCGGCGTACACGTACAGGACGATGCCGATGACGAGGTAGAAGACCGTGACCGAGACCTGCGAGACGATGATGGCGCGGCGGAACAGGCGAGGGTCGCGCATCTCGGAGATGATGGGCATGCTGTTGACGACGACGAGAGTGTGTCAGTCGGTCGATGCATGCGGCCGCAGGCTCCAAGACCTTCGAGGTAAGGGAAGGGAGAGAGAGGGGGACGCACGCAGCAGGGACGCCGCCGTACGACGCGAGGACGTTCGAGACGGCGTTCATCGCGCTCGCAAAGTCCGGGTTGCCGAACAGGGTGATCTTGACGTCGAACGGGCCCGTCTGCGGCGCCGCCGCCGGCCGTCCACCTGCGCCGACCGCGATGACGACGACGAGCACCGAGATGATGATACTCGCGAGGCCGACCTGGGTGATCCAGGCAATCTTGTCGAGCTTGCGGATGGCGGCGAACGGGAACGTGACGGCGACGGCGACGAGCATGAAGTAGGCCGTGCAGGTCGCGTGGAGCGAGATGGCGTTGAGCGCGGTCGAGATGCTGAGAAGGCCGAGGCCGCCGACCAGGGTCGTGACTGCAGGTCGGGGAGGCATCAGTGCCTGTGTCGTGACGTGCGCGAACAGGCAGGGCAGCGAGGCGACGCCCAGATCGCAAGGGCCCGAGCGCCGCCACCTCGCTCCGCCGCACCTCTCGCCGTGCGGCTCACCGACGCGAACAAGAGAGAGTGGGACGCACGCAGGAAGTAGGCGACGCCAAAGACCTCGTCGCCGACACGGCCGAACATCAACCGGCCGCAGTCGGACAACGAGTAGACCTCCGGGTGCCGCAGCTTGAACCGGCCGAGGATCTCGCCGCTCCAGGTCGTCAAGATGGCGAGCACGATGAGGATGATGACGCCGGGAATGATGCCGAGGGTCTCGAAGACGGAAGGAATAGAGCTGCAGGGCAGGAAGAGGTCAGCGTCCGGTGCGACGGCAAGAAGGGGAGGGGGCGAGGAGGAGGACGCACAGGACGCCGAGCCCGATCTGCGTCTTTGCGAGAAGGACCGTTGCGCCGATCCATCCGAGACTGCGAGGGAGAGTACTCGAGGTCAGCTTCTGCGAGCGAACAGGCGGTGGGGCGAGGAGAGTCGCGAGCGCACCTGCGGTAGTCGACCGTGCCCTCGCCCGCGCGCTCGCCAAAGACGCCGTCGACCGCCTCCTCTTCGCCGAGTGCAGGTGCAGCGCCCTCAGCGTCCTTGGTCGGCTTGGCGGCAAAGTCACGTGTTGGCGAGTCGGTGCCCTCGGCGGAGAGTTGAGGTTGAGCACGTCGAGGCGGTGCGGCTTGAGTCGCGTCGGCGAGGCCCATGGCGGTGCGGGTTCAGGGTGGCGAGGGTGGCGAGAGAGCTGGGGAGCGTGCGAGTGCCGTGGGGAGCAGCACCAAGGCGCGGGCGAGCGAGGGTCGAAGTCAAGAAGGTTTGGCGTCCGACCCCGCGCTCGAGCTGGTCGTCGGCTCGGCGACGGCCACCGCCGCTGAAGAAATGCACGCGGCAAGTTGCGGAGCTGAGCGGCGCACGCGCATCCCGCTCGTCGGGTGCGCAGCAAGCACGAAGCAGAGCTCGTGCGCCTCGACCGCCGCGGAACCTCGCTCGCCCGCTCGTCGGCGGGGCGTGCGAGGCTCACCCGAAACTGAGAGTCAGTCGTGTCGCTCGTACACTCTCTCTCGCTCGCGAGGCAAGGCAATGCTCCAGTACAACAACAGGGCTACAGCGCGAACAAAAGACCCGGCGGCCGTCACATCCAGACGACGTTGCCCTCGTCCCACTTGGCGAGGCCGACCTGGCGCTTGTGGTACAGCTTGCGCACCTCGCGGTACTGCTTGACGAAGCTCTCGTCGTCGCCGTCGTTGTCGCCAGCGAGGAAAGCGGCGACGAGCGAGTCCGACAGGTGCTCTTGCTGCGTCGTCGCGGCGCGGTACCGGGCCTGCTGCGCCTGTTGCGAGAAGCGCTGTGGCGAGGGGGAGGATTTCGAGGTCAAGAGACGGTATGAGGACGAGGAGGGGCACGAGGGGGGGGGACGCACTCGGTAGGCGGCTCGCTGTGCCTCGTCGAGGTAAGCCCACCGCTGCTTGAGGTCGTTGGCCTCGTTGAAGAGCCGTGCCGTGTCCTCGCGCAGACGCTCCAGGTCGGGCTTGATCGCCTCGCTCTTCTCTGCAGGATGTCGGGTAAAAGGTCAGTCACGGTACGCGTTGTCTGTCCGGGGAGAGAGCGAGAGGAGGGGCGAGGACGCACGCGCGAGTTCGAGGTTGTCGCGCATCTTGAGTTGGACGGCGTCGTGGTAGGCCGTGGCCTGGGGCATCGTGTTGAAGTAGGCGTCAAAGTAGGCCGGGTCCTCGAGGAGGAGCTGCATGTCTTCTCGCCTGCGTCGGAAGAGAGGGGTCGGCGGACGGCGACGAGGAGGACAAGAGAGAGAGAGAGGGAGGACGCACGGAAGGTTGGCAGCGTCGGGGAAGTCTCTTGCGAGCTGGTCGTTGATGTGGGGATCTTGCCGTGCGCCTGGCTGAGCGAGCGAGGCGGCAGAGGCCATTGACGAGCGAGGTGGGGGGGAGGGTCGAGGGTGACGGGTGAGGGAGGGCTGCCGAGGCGAGGCGAGTCGGGGCAGTCGTGGCTGGAGAGTAGTCTGACGGCAGTGGCGGTCTCGCCGAGCAGCACAGAGCTGGGCGAGGTGTTGGTGCGACGAGCGCCTTCATCGCCTGCTCGCCCTCTCCACCGGCTGTCCCTCCCCCGACACACCGCGAGCCCGCTTGTCGACTAGCGGCGAGCTCAGTCCAGCTGTGCAACTCGCCCATGAGCGCCTTTGCGGTCCAGCTCGACCGCCTCCTGCTCGACCTGCGCGCCGCCATCCCCTCGCCCTCGACCTCGTCGTCGTCCCAGCTCGCCCACGTCCACCACACCCTCATTCGCCTCGAGCGAGCCTACCTCGAGCTCAAACGCGCAGGCTCGCACGCCCCGGCCATCCTCTTCCTCCGCTTGCGCAACCGCATCGACGAACTCGCTCAAGCACTCGACGACGCTCACTCAGCGACGCCCGACCTCGCCTCGTGGGACCGGTTGCGCATCGACGAACTCGCTCAAGCACTCGACGACGCTCACTCAGCGACGCCCGACCTCGCCTCGTGGGACAAGCTCGCGCGCGACACGGCCCAGGTTGCCGCAAGCGTCGACGACCTCCTCGCCGTGTCGTCGCACGCGACTTCGACGCCCTCGTCGTCGTCCCACTCGCGCACGCCGTCGGCCGACCTTCCTCGACGCCTGCCCGCGTCGGCTCGTCCGTCATCGTCCCAGACTCTGAGCGACCTCGACACCTTCCTGTCGTCCACCGCCGCGGCCCGGGTCCCGTCCGCCATCGACCTGTCCCACCTCGCCGCCGCTCGAGCGCGCGCCCTCTCCGAGCTCTACACCCTCTTCCAGCTGTCGACATCGCCCAACTCGGTCCTCCCACCGGGCCAGTCGATCCGCAACATCTTCCGCTCGTCGATCCCCTCCCCCTCCCACACCACCGACCACACCGCCTCGCTCGAGTCCCGCATCTCGTCCCAGCTCCACCGCGCCTACTTCGACTCGTTCGCCTCGACCCTCTCGAGTGCCAGTCCCTCGCCCGCAACAGCCGCCGAGCAGAGCGCGGCCTGGGCCCGTCTCGCGCAGGACCTCGTCGACGCCGTCGTCCCGCTCGTGCCCTCGCGCCTCAAGGGAGCCGACGGCGCGCCTCTCCGCGCGCACCTCGTCGCCCTTCTCGGGCGGGTACCGGGTCGCGATGCTGAGGAGCGCGCAGAGCGGGACGAGGCGCCGACGGGCCCGTCGAGCGCAGCGTTCGACGTGCGCACGGTTCTCCAGGGCGTGCGCGAGGCGGTGCGCGCGCTCTCGCGCCTGTGCGCCCCGGCGCGAGACGCCGACGTGCGAGCCCTCGCCGACTCTATCGATGCGGCGCTCGACGAGTCGACGGCGGCAGATCGGGGCGCGGCGCTCGTCGACGCGGTGCGGCGCACGCTCGAGCTCGCGAGGGCGATGGAGCGCGACTTGGGGCGGTTCAGGGCGGGAGCGGTGACGGAACTCGCGAGCGAGGAGGAGCTCGTGGGCGTCGTGAGGGAGGAGGGAGGTGCGAGGGAGAGGGCGCTCGTCGGCGGGTGGTTCGAGGGCGAGGACGCCGTCAGGAGGGAGACGAGCGCGTGGTGCGCTCGGGCGCTCGGGCGTGGCGTCGCCAACGCGGGCGATGACGCCGACGAGGGCCCGCAGTCGAGCAAGGAGGACGTCGCCGCCGCCCTCGTCGAGTCGCTCTTCGCCAACGAGGCCGTCGCACTTCCCTCCTTCTCACCTTCGCCCTCGGCCTCGTCCCGCCCCGACTCGCCCGCCTCTACACCGTCGCACAACGTCCTTCCACCGATCCTCCTCGCCGTCTCGCCCGCCTGCTTCGCGCTGCAGAACCGCCTGCAGGCGCTCACGATCCTCGCATGCCTCCTTGCCCTGTCGCCCTCGGCCGACCCGGCGCGCATCTGGGCCCTCCTCGAAGGCGAGTTCACCCCATCGGCCGAGCCTGCGCCCTCGACCGCCGGCGAACCCGCACACGCCGCCGACCCGGCCCCGACCCGCCTCGCCAACCTCGCCGACGAGCTCCTCCGGCCGCTCACAGCGCAACCCTCCTCTCGCCCGTCCTCTCCCTCCGCCACAACCGCACCGACACCCGCGCCCAACGCCGACGAGGCGGCCCGCATCCGCTCGAGCGTCGACCGCCTCCTGCGCGCCGACGACCCCGTCTGGCGCCTCCTGCACGGGCGCCTGCGCGCCGCCGTGCGCGACGCGGTCGTGCGCGCCATGCGCACCTCGGAGCGCGACGATGGAGCGAGGGTGGAGCGCGTGCCGGGCGTGCTGCGGACCGGGCGCGGCGCGAGGGGAACAGCGCCGGGCGAGACGAGGCCCGTGCGCGCGCGGCCGAGGCGGGCCCCGGTCGAGCTCGCGCCGGTCAAGGGGTTCGAGGAGCCGTTCGTGCGCGACGAGCTGCGCGCGACGGTGCAGGACCGGCTCGTCGGCGAGCTGTGGGACTGGGTCGAGGAGGTGTGGGGAGGAGCGCTCGGGTGGTCGGCGGACGAGCCGGCGCAGCTCTCGGTGGGCGGGACCTGAAACTCGCTCTCTCGGCTCCTCGTTCGTCCTCGACGGTCTCGTGCATCTCATCGAGAGGCAGAGAGAAAGAGAGAAAAGTGGTACACGGCGAGAAGGTTCTGGCTACACTCGCCGCCGAGCGCTATGTCGCCAGGGGCGGTAGGCCCGCCCTGCACACGGGGCACACGGCCCGCACGAGCATCCACTGCTCGAGGCACTCGGTGTGGACGACATGGGCGCACGGCGTGACGGCCGCCTGGCGCCGCACGTCGTCGGCCTCGCCCGCAGCGCGCTCGGCCTTGGTCGGGTGCACGTGCACGGGCGAGAGGCAGATGGGGCAGTCCTCCTCGACGGCGGCGGCGGCCGAGTCGCCCTTGCCCGTCTCGAGGTCGGCGGCGAGCGAGGGCGGGAGCGTGCGCGGGTGGTAGTCCCAGGTGGTCGTTTCCGGCAGGTCGAGCGCGAGGATGACGCCGGCGGGGAGGAAGAAGCGCGCGCCGCCCGGGGGGAGGTATCGCGACGACCAGGAAGAGGACGTGGACGACGAGATGCGCGAGAGGTGCGACTGGGCGAGGAGGAGGGCGGCTTGGGCGATTGAGTAGGCGGCGAGGTAGTAGACCTTGGCTGCGTGGACATCCGGGTTAGTTCTCGGCGAGCCCTTCTCACTAGAGCCTCAAGACCCGCGCGCGACATGAGCGAGTCCTGCATGCTCAGGAGCCGAGCGAGCGAGACGACTCACGCGTCGTGTCGACCATCATGCAGTTGCCCTCGTACGCCCAGAAGTACAGCGGCGGCATCAGCCTCGCGAGCGTCGTCCCGACGATGTACTCGTCGCCGAGCGACTGGCGCGCCGTGCCGCGCTGCACGTTGAGGGCGATTTGCGGAACTGCGAGGAGGAGGGTCGAGGCGAGGAGGGGGACCGGGCGAGAACGTCAGGATGTGTGCTCGCGGGCTACGAGAAGAGGAAGAGGAGGACGAGGACGCACGCCAGTACGAGTAGAGGAGCCACAGGAAGAAGGGCGTCCAGCCGTGCCAGATGAGGGTGATGGCCGTGACGAAGACGGTGACGGCGAGCGAGGCTGCAGGACGTGCGAGTCATTAGTCGCCGTCCATGCTTGCTCGAGTCACGTGAGAGAGAGAGAGAGAGAGAGGGAACGCGCCGTAGATAGTGTGCTTGGCGCGCCAGCCGGCGAGCAGGGCCCCGAGTCCCTCGGGCAGCGCACTGTCCCTCGCGGTCACCTCTGCCCGAGGCTCTCCTCCTTCTCCTGGCTCGACAGGTGCGACGGGTGTAGGTGCAGGTGCAGGTGCGGGTGCGGGAGCAGGCGATGGTGCAGGCGTCGCCTCGCGGATGACGGCGATGTAGCGCAGGCCGAACAGGACCGACGACAGGAGAGCGAGGAACGCTCCGGCGAGGAACGGCAGCGACGCTCGAGAGTCTGGAGGAGGGCAAGAAAGGCTGTCAGTGCGTGTCTAGGGAAGATGACCGTCGACGAGGTCCAGGCGAGAAGAGGGAAGAGAGGCGGGTGGACGCACCGGCAATGACGCCGACGAGGAGCGTCACGATGAAGACGTACAGGTCGACGATGACGACCATGATGAGGCCGAGTGGCTGGACGTTGGCGAGCGTGCCGGGCCTCGCCGCCGCACGCTCGAGCTGCCGCACGAGGAGCACGAGCGCGCCCGCCTGGGCAACGACGAAGAGCACGCCAAAGTGGGCCGCCTCGAGCCACAGCTCTTGCGTCGACGTGAGGCGCGCCGACGGGACCGACAGGACGAGGCCGCAGTTGGCGCTCGAGAGGACGGCCGACAGGGTCGAGGGCGGCGGGCGCGCCGTCGAGGCGCCCGACGGCCGGAACAGGGACGTGTACAGCTCGGCGTACCGCGCGAGGTCGTACGACGGCGGCAAGGGCGACAGGGCGCCGTACAGGCTGAACACGCACTCGGGCTCGCGCACGACGCCCGGCTCGTGGTCGTCGGCGGTCGAGCCGTGGTGCGGCTCGTTGTCGGCCTCGTCGTCGTAGATGCGGGGCCCGTTGTCGTCGAGGTCGCGCACGTCCTTGGCGACACGGCGGCGGTACTCCTTGAGCATGGCGTGCCCGACGGCGTGGGCCGTCTGGTTGGCGCGCGGCGACGACGACATGAGCGGGAGCGAGATGGCGTCGACGATGTGGGCTCGAACGAATCGGGGCGTCGCGTAGCCGTAGATGCGCCCGCTCGTGATGAAGCTGTGTGTCGAAAAGCGGACGTCAGGTGGGTCGGGCGAGAGAGGGAGGGAGAGAGGGACGCACTGGACCGCCTCGACGTCGAGCTCCGTCTCGACATCCTCAGTCGCACCGTCCTCGGGCCCGACACTGAGCGTCAAGGGTCCCCACAGGTACGTGACCGGGCCCTCCTGCTCCCAGTCTGCCCACGCCTCGGGGTGGTCCCGCAGCCGAAGCAGGGCCGCCTCGTCGAGCTCGCCCGGGTCGGCCGGCAGCGGCTCGATGGGCCCGACGGCCGACGTCTGGACCTCGCGCAGGTTGAACGACGCGCGGCGGACCGAGGGCGACGTGCGGCGCGAGAGCCACGGGTACGTGCCGCGCGACAGGGTGCGGTTGTGCACGTCGACGACGATCGTCGTCGTCGTCGAGTTGGCCGAGGTCGCGTTCTGGGCCGCGCGACGTGCGAGCGGCGACGGCGACGGCGACGATGGTGGGCCGCGCTCGGGCTCGAGCGCCGTCTCGTTGGCTCGCGGCGAGTCGGGCCGGGGCACCTCGACGCGGCGCGCGGACGTCCACGTCTCGTTGAGGCCGAGGTCGGCCCAGGTGTAGGTCGAGGGGGCCCAGGTGCCCTTTGCAAAGCCCGTGAGGTTGTGCGGGTAGACGCGCGCGTCGGGGCGGCCTGCCGGGTCGAGCGGGGTCGAGTCGGCAAAGAGGCGGGCGACGAGGGAGGGGACAGGGGCGAGCTCGCCGTCGGTGCGAGGCTCGAAGGTCGGGATGCGGTACGCCTCGGTGAGCGAGGGAGGTGGCGGCGGCGACGAGGTGGTCGAGTTGGCCGAGGAAGGAGGAGGGGCGAGGGTCGGTGCCGAGCCGTTGGCGATGTGCGGGTAGTAGACGGACGCGAGGTAGTCGGTGGACGAGTTGGACTGGCCGAGCCAGCGTGCGATGCCCTCTGCGCGGGCTTCTCGGCGGAGCAAGGCGGCGCGCTGTTGGTCGAGGCGGCGCTGGAACGAGCTGTCGTCGTCGCGTGGCTGGAGGCCGAGCGAGTTGCCCTGGGGCTGGCTCGAGTTCATGAGGTAGAACAGGAGCGACAGGAAGACCTGCACGGAGCGAGAGCGGTGAGCACGGGGGCGCGGATGTGGGGGCAAGGTGATGAGGAACGACGAGGAGGTGGGCGCACAAAGTACGAGATCGAGGGGCGCTGGGGTTGCTGGATGCGCTGCTGCTGCGCTACTGGCAGCGGGAGGTCCATGGCGGCAGAGAGACCTCCCCTCGCGTGACAGTCAGGTCAAGCTGCTGAGGAGGAGGACGACGACGACGAGGGGCTCTCTCGCTCTGTCAACCCCGGTCTGTCGCACCCTTGGCTGGGACCGCAGCGACGACAGCTACGCCACATGCTCGAGCCACCCCCTCCACCACCGCGCCACCCGTCAACTCGAGCGGCCACCCCTCCACCTCGCTCGCCCGCAGTCCCGCCTCGTCCTCGACCACCGCCCTCGGCCACCGATCAGCCTCGCCAGGACCACCTCGAGCAGCCCGACCAGGCCCCACGAGCCGCCACCACCTCGGCTGAGCCCGTCGTCGAAGTCGAGCACCCGTCGCCGACTGCGCATGATGCTGTCGACCAACACGCTCGGCCGCGGCCCGCCGACCCCAACGACGGCCCCGCCATGGTTCCGCCTCGCCACCCCAAGACGGCCCGGTTCTCGTCCCCGCTTCCCTCGCCTCGCCTGTCGCCCCCGCCCTCGCCTCCACCGCTGCGAGGAGGAGGAGGCACCCTCTCGGCCACCGAGCGCAAGCTGCGCGACCTCGAGGACCAGGACACGCTCGACCTCCTCGAGCGCGTCGCAGACCAGCTCACCGACGTCCGCCTCGCCGGTCAAGACCGCGGCGACATCGTCTACCCGGCCAAGGCCGACTTTGTCGACGACGACGGCCGCATCGACTGGCTCGGCTACGGCCTCGCCGTGCGTCTCTCCAGCCCTCTCTTCTCTCTCTCGGGCGCACCTGACGAGCTCGCCTCCCTCGGAACAGTACGCCGCAACCGCCGCGCTCGACTACACCCCGCCCGGGCTCGTCGCACCCCCACCGCCTTCGACCTTCTCGTTCCGCGCCCTGCGCTCCGACCTCGAGCGCCTGTACGTCCTGTGCCCGCCACGCGTGTGGCAGCGCTTCCTGTTCGGCACGTTCTCGTCCCTGTGGCGCTGGGAGGACCCGCGCCGCACCGCGACCTGGCTCGCGGCCTACCTCGCCCTGTGCCTGTTCGACCTCGTCCTCGTCGTCCCCTTTGCCCTCCTCGTCCTGTACCTCGTCAAGGCCCACTGGTTCCCTCCCTCGACCGACGAGCTCCTCGCGCGCGCCGCCGACCGCCGCAGCCGCACGCGCGACGCCGCAGAGCTCGGCCAGCAGCTCAGCGCGAGCAGCCGGTTCGGCCTCCTCGCCGGCGAGGGCGTCCGCGGACTGTGGACCGAGGTCCGCGAGCGCCTCTCGCGCGACGACGGCGGCGACGAGGCGGCCAAGACGCTCGCGGCGGCGCTCGGGCCCGGCGCGGCACTCGGCGGCGGTATCGCCGGCGGGGCAAGCGCCGAGCCCCTCCTGCGACAGCGCCGTCGCGCCGAGTCGAGTGCGCAAGGGTCGGCGCTCGCGCGAGGGCTCGGGTCGAGCGCGGGCGTGCTCGGCGCGGCGGGCGCGCCGACCCAGGTGCGGCTCGACGAGCTGCGGCCGGACGACGCGGCCGAGTCGCCTGCAGGCGCGAGTGCGGGCGAGGTCGAGGACCTGGAGTACGACCCGGCGAGGGGCGGGCCGCAGGGCGACGGCGAGCTGAGCCTGTACCGCCTCGTGCGGCACTTGGTCAGCCTGCTCGGCCCGCAGGCCATGATCTGGTGCGCAGAAGGCGCCGACGTCGTCGAGATGGTCAAGAAGTGCGTCCACACTCTCCTTCTCTCGTGCTCGAGGCCTCACTGACCCGCTCGCACCTCCTCTCGCAGCGTCCTCATCCACCCGGACCATCCCGCGTCTCGCGCCGTCGCGCTTCGTTTCGCCTTTATGTGCATCGTCCTCCTCGTGACGCCGACCTGGGTCGTCTACAAGAGCATCTGGCTGTTCCTCGGTCTCGAGGTCTTCGTCCTGTGGCGCGTCCGCGAGCTGTACCCCGATTGGCGCCGCGCCACCATCTCGTACTGGTGCGCCCGCCTCTCTCTCTCTCTCTCTCTCTTCCCTCGTGAGCCTTCCTGACGCCCTGGATTTTGTCCTGTGCAGGTGGCTCCTCAACGGCGCACCGACCGACGTCGAGTACGCCCTCTTCGTCCTCCGCCAGCGCAGCCTCACCGACCGCCCGCTCAAGGGTGCCAAGACGCTCCGCCGGTCGCGCGCATCGTCATCGGCGACGTCGGTCAAGTCGGCGTCGGGCGCAGCCGCAGCCGCAGCCGACCAGGGCAGCACGCGCGCCGTCGCTCGCAGGGCTGGGAGGGCGCTCCTTCGACGGGCGAACGGAGCGGCGGGCGAGGAGGTCCTGCTCGCCAACGGCGAGAGCGAGGCCGTCTTGAGCTGTGCGTCCCTCTCGTTCCACTTCTCGTCGGCCGTCGGCGGCCGAAAAGGGACCTGACCACCCTTGCCCTTCGACCTCAGCCTACTTCGCCATGCATGTCTCGGCGCCCGGGTTCCTGCGCCTCTCGCGCTCGACCATCCTCTTCACGCCGTCTCGCCGCCTCAAGCGCCTCGGCAAGCTCGCGTCGCGCTTCACGGGCGCCGACCCGGACCCGGACCCGGACCTCGTCCTCGACCTCGACGACGACGCGTCGTTCGCGTCGGGCGGGACGGGCTCGACGGCGACGGCGCGGCAGCAGGGCGAGGTGCAGATCGCCGTCGACGAGATTGCGAGCGTGCGCAAGGAGACGCGCATGAGGGCGTTCGAGGGCCTGGTCGTCACGACCCGCGAGGGCAAGGTGCGTCCCTCTCTCTCCCTCTCGAGCCCTATCCTCCTCCCTCTCTGTGTACGCGAGCCTGACGCTCGGGTGTGCGGTATGCAGGTGTGGCGCTTCGCCAATGTCGCTCGGCGCGACGCGGCGTTCAACAAGCTCCTGTCGCTCTCGTCGGCGAGGTGGGAGCAGGCGTGAGGCTTCTCTCCCTCTGTAGCAACTCCTCTGTCTAGACTTGCATCCTGTAGCGATACTCGCGCCTTCTGGCTCGAAGAACGAGCGCGTTGTGCGAGCGCGAGTCTGTGCGCGCGGGCGGCTCCTCGCGCGGCCGGCGCTTGTTCTGCGGCTCGGCTGTCACCTGGACGAGCAGCACAAGCTGGTCAGGTGAACAGCGACGCAGCGCGAGGCGGTCTCAGCGTTTTGCCGTCGGCCTGCCGCGGCCGCCGGCTCACCATGCGGTTCCTCTGCGACGACGACTCGCCCTCCTCATGCTGCGCTTGTGCACTCGCTGCCTGCTGTCCCAGAGCCCTCGACGACCGCAACATCGCCTCGCCGCCATGCCGCACGCCCTCGCCCAGCTGTCGACCACCACCGCCTCTTCACCCTCTCCTCCACCCCCACACGCGCTCGCAACTGCGCCAGGCTCGAAGCAGCGTGCGGCGAGGGCAGAGCGGGTCGCAGCCAGGCGCAGGGCTGTCGCGAGGGATTTAAGGACGTGCGTCCAGCTTTCCGTCGCCGTCCCGGAGCCGCCGCAGCCGCAACTCTGGCCGTTCGTCGAGTTGACCTTGCCCTGCCCCTCTGCAGCGACACGATCACGGTCCCGAGCCTCGAGATGCTCCAGATCATGCAGGAGGGCACGCTCGGCGACAGCGTGTACGAGGTGCGTCTCCTTTCCCCTCGTCGCCGTCTCGTCAAGTCGGGGAAGCCAGCTGCAAGGACCGGCGCTGACCTCCTCGTACCCGACTCACAGGAGGACGAGGACACTCGCGAGCTGGAGGAGCGTGTTGCTCAGATGGCGGGCAAGGAGGCGGGCCTGTTCTGCGTCTCGGGCACGCTGGTGCGCCTCACCTTCTTCACCTCTCTCCCGAGCTCCCGGCGCCGACCTTCTTCCCGCCTCGCCTGTCCGCTCTCGCAGTCCAACCAGCTCGCGATCCGCACGCACCTCACGCTCGCCACGCCCGCCAACGTCGTCACCGACTCGCGCGCGCACGTCCACGTCTCCGAGGCCGGCGGCATCTCGTTCCACTCGCAGGCGCCCGTGCACAGCGTCTTTTGTGCGAGCGGGCACCACATGACGACCGAGGAGGTGCTCGACCAGTGCGTCGTCGAGGAGGACGTGCACTGCTCGATGACGAGGCTCGTCTGCGTCGAGAACACGCTCAGCGGCAGTGCGTCGCATCTCCCTCTCTTCCTCTGCCACCCACGCAGCCTCCAAGCCGGCTACTGACTCTTTTGCGGTCCCCGCAGTGATCTTTCCGCAACCCGAGCTCGTCCGCCTTCGTCGCGCCCTCGACCTGCACTCGATCCCGCTTCACTGCGACGGCGCGCGCCTGTGGGACGCCATCGCCAAGACGGGCATGTCGCTCGGCGAGGCGTGCGAGCCCTTCCACTCGGTCTCGTTGTGCATGAGCAAGGGCCTCGGAGCCCCTATCGGCAGGTGCGCTCGAGGGCTCTCTCTCGGCCTGTCGTTTTCGCTCTTCTCGAATCTCACTGACTCTCCTTTGCAACTGGCGCTACAGCGTCCTCATTGGACCCAAGGCCTTTATCGTGCGTCGTCTGTTCCCCTACCTCTGCGAGTACGGCCGTCGCTCACGCCACCTTCCTCTCCTTGGCGATCTGCAGGAAAAGGCCAAGTGGTTCCGCAAACTCTTCGGCGGCGGCGTTCGTCAGTCGGGTTCTCTCGCCCTCGCCGCCTCGTATGCCCTCGACACCCACCTGCCTCTCCTCCCTCGAGCGCACGCCCTCGCGACCCGCCTCGCGCACGGCCTCGTCGACCTCGGCGTCGCGCTCGATTTGCCCGTCGAGACGGGCATGGTCTGGATCGACCCGACCCCGATCGGCGCGACGATGCTCGAGCTGCAGGAGCGGGCGATGAGCGACAAGGGTATCGTGCTCGGCGCGCCGAGGGGCCGAGTCGTCCTGCACTTCCAGGTCGACGACGGCGTGGTCGACGACTTGCTCGACGTCGTGCGGCGGCTCAAGGCGGCCAAGGTGGACGATGCGCGCGAGTGGGAGGAGCGTGTCGGGCACGAGCACGTCGAGGCCGTCGGGCGCAGGAGCAGGATGTTCGCCGAGGGCAGGTGGGAGGGCAGGATCGAGGGTCCGAGGAGGTCGCTCCCGCAGTACGGCCGGGGGCAGAGTCGAGCAGCATAGACGTGCATGTGCAACTTCGAGTGACTCGTTCATCGGCGACGCACTCCACGATTTGCGAGCGAGAGCAGGAGAGCTTTCCGACGAAAGCGCGTCGCGAGCCGCTCAAGCCTCGGCTTCAAGGGCGCCTTCCGATGGCGCTCGCCATCGGCGAGTGTGCTCTCAAGGCGTCTTAAGGAAACTTTGAGGAGAGTCTTCGAGATGCGAGCCAGGAAGCGCAGCAGGCGACGAGAAGGCCAGCACGGACCTCTCTTCTCTCCCAGCGCACGTTCTCTATGGCCGCCAGCGCTTCCGAACCCTCTCTGTCGTCGCTCGTGCTTCAATGCGTCGCCCTTCTGCGCCTAGAAAGCTCTGCGCGCGACGTAGCGACAGCGTCCGCCTTGTGCGTCTCGGTGGTGGCGGGCACTGCGCTCGCAACCGTGCTTCGTTTTGCCTGGGTCCGTCGGCGGGCCCTTGCTCTGTAAATCGACGACTAGCCTGGAGCACCCGCAGCTCGCCTCGCGACGAGTGCATCGCAGAGAAGACCAGGAAAGCGGTGTCGACATGCGTACGGCGTCTGTTTACAAAGTAGCACTTTCCTTTGTCGAACCGGATGAGACTTTGGCCTCCCCTCGAGTTATACTTACCTGGAGTTGTCGTCCGTCTCATGAATACGGATGGCCCTTGGCGGCACTTCGCTTTGCACGGCGACTCTTAGACCTACGGAGGGCTTCCATTGAGTGTGGGGTACATCCTTGCACAGATTCGAATTATTTGGGCAGAGCCTCGTGGACTTTCGGGTCCGCGGGGCCATCGCTTTTTGCTGCCTGGCGCTGCCGTGTACGCTCTGCTCTCGTTCGAGCGCGAGAGGCCCGAGCCGGACGAGGCGGAAGGCGCTCTCGGCGGCGTTGCCAGCGCGAGGTCCGCACGAAGGAACGACGAATCGTCGTGGTTCCTCTCTCGTTGTCAAGCAGCTCGAGCGTACCGGCGCACTCAGTCGCACAGCGAGCGCACGGCAAGACTGCCATGCGAGCAAAATTCGAGCCGCTGTCGAGGACGTTGCCGTAGCGCTCAGGCCGCTTTGAGCGACGGCGACGGCATGAGCGCCGGTCGCTGCTGCCTGACAACGTCGACCGCCGTCGTCCACTTTTCTGATTCGAGCCGGGCCCGAGCGAGTGCGCATGCAGGGCGCTGCGCGCCAGACCAGGTCGAAAAGCGAATCGAGGAGCACGGAGGGAGTTACGCTCCCCACAGCGGTTGCCGTACTTTCTCCCGCGTCGGGAGTGCTCTCAGTGCTGTACAGAATGGCCTTGGCGGCGAGCAAGCCGACAGGAAGAGCGCTCTCGCCTCGGACCTCGACCGACTCGAAGACCCAGCCGACGACGCCAGCTCGCGCTCTACACGACAAAGTAGCTCGGGAAACGCGCTCGATTGCACCGCAGACACCTCGTCGTCCGATCTGGCGCGAGCAGAAGGCCGTCACCCTGCTAGATCAAGAGCTACCGTTTGAGCGAGGGTGCGCAGGATCCCCCTGTCTTTTGTAGGTGGCCGGGCGCACGGGCACTCCGCAGGGGTGCGCGCCGTGCGAGCGGCTCACCACAGTGCGCCCGCTGCCCTCAGGGGCACGTGAGGGCGGGCACAGCCTCGTAAAGACCCGTCCGCGACGGCTCGACTCGCTGAGCCGCCGGGACGAGTGCGACGCCGAACGAGAGCTCTGAGCGGTCTGGGGACGCTCGCTAGGGACGAGAAGAGCGTTCGGACATGAAAGGGCGCCGTCGCGCGGCGCAGCAAGGGCGCGAGGGGAAGCTTTCGAGTCCGAGAAGGGAGAGGTGCCATCGAGGGCGCGACTAACCTGCGGCGCGAGGTCGAGAGGGTCAGTGCGCGGCTCGGCGAGGAGCACAGACCCACATGAAGGTCCTGCAAGGGAGAGAGAGAGTGCGCGGGACGTACAAAGGACAAGACGAGCCGCCTCGAGGTCAAGAGCCCGCCTCGCGCCGCCCAGAGGACCGCCCCGCTCGCCTTGCGCAGCCGTTCCGCCTGTAAGGTGACCGGGTCAGTCCACCGAGACGCCTGCACCGCGTCGCGAGGTGGCAGAGGGGGCTAGGAGAGAGGGAGAGGGGCGCCAAACACGGGGAGGCGGGGAGGAGGGGGACGCACCAGTCGCCCACAGCCCGCACAGCGCGGTCGCCTGGCCCAGTAGTCTCCGTGATGCTGCGATAGTCCTCGACGACGATACCCACAGGCCCATGAACCGTTACCGCCAGTCGAGAGAGGTCGGACGACGCGAGTTGCTGATGAAGATGTGACGCGCCCTGCGCCGGCGGCGAGCGCTCGCAGTGGTGCGCATGAAGCAGATGAATGATGCCAAGATGTGCAGGTACCGACTCGAGCCAGTCTGAGCGAGCCCGGTCGTGAGGGCCGAGAGGTGGGAGGGGAACGAGGGACGCGAGTGCCGAGCAGACCTTGAACTCGTCCCGGGCGAGCGCCCACTGGTTCTCGAGCGCGTGGCTGAACGATCATGCAAGAGAAGGGATGCGTAGGTCTACACAAGACAAGTGATGTGAATCTAGACTAGGAATTTGGACAGCCAGCGCCACCTGCGCTCGTACCTCTCTCGCCCTCGTGTTCCTTCTCCAACGTCCGCACCTTCTCCCTCATGCGCTCCTCAACCTTGGCCGCTTGTCGCGCAAGTCGAGCCCTGCGCTCGGCCCGCCACCTCATGCCCTTGCGCCACTCGAGGATCGCGAGCGGGAGGAAGAGGCAGGTAACGAGCGAGAGCATGGTGAAAGCCCACCCTGTGTGCACGGCAAGTGGTCAGCTTTCGCGGCGGCGAGGCGAGGCGAGGCGAGGCAGGGGAGAGAGAGAGAGGAGGAGGACGGACCTGGGCCGAGTCGCTTGAGGAGCGGGTCGATGAAGCCTGTGCCGGCGGCGCCCAAGAGGCAACGGTACAGGTTGTTCTGTGCGCGCACGAGAGCGTCAGGTCGGGGTCCGGCTGAAGAAGAGGGAACGGGACGCACGGCCGCGATCGCCGACGCCGACTGGCCCGGGTACAAGTCGACGAGCAGCGTGTTGACACTGTTCATGACGCTCGTTACGGTCAATCCGACTGCAAAGGGGGTCGAGAAGAATCTTGAGTGACCTGCTGCGGGGAGCGGGGGCGAAGAAGGACGAAGACGCACCGATGAACTGCATGATGAGCGGGACCGAAAGGTGGACGCCCTCGTCGACGACCCAGCCGTACACGATGGTCGACGAGATCAGGCCGACGAAGAAGTAGGCTGTCGGACGCAAACTCTATTAGGTCCACCGTCGCCGAGGTCGTCGAGGGCGAGAGAGAGGGGACGCACGCATGGACCGCAGGCGAGCGTGCTCGATCGGGAAGTGGGACAGGTCGTTCTGGTCCTTCTTGCGCTCCTTCTCCTGCTCCTCGATGCTGACGCCTTCCTCGAGGCGCTTCTGCTCGACGCGGCGCGCGACGTGCTTGTAGTCGGCCGTCAGGCGCGGGCCGTTGACGAACGTCGCGAGGAGGCATCCGATACCGTTGGCGAGAAAACACAGGCCGAGCTCCGACTCGTTCAGGCTGTACGTCGTCTGGAACACCGTGCCGGTCGAGGTCGTGACGCAGTAGAACAAACTGTGGCCGATATTGACAAGGGTCAGTCGAGGGCGGTGACGACGAGGGGAGCACGAGCAGGCTCACGTATAGCAGACGGCGTTGAAGGTGAGGACGAGGAAGACGTCCTTCTCGAGGAACATCTTGAGCGGCGCGAACGGCTTGACGTCCTTCCAGCCCTTCTTGGGCGGTCGCGCCGCGAGGCTCGCCGCGTCCGGCTCGGCCGCTTTGCCGACCTCGCGCCGCCGCCGATGCTCCTGCCAGATCGAGACGAGGGAGCGGTTGACGCCGCGAGCCGGTATCGAGCCGTTGCCGACGAGGGATCGCAGCGTCTCGGGGAGGACGAGGGCGAGAAGGACGAGGACGACGGCGCCGAACGCGAACAAGAACCAGAAGAGGGACCTGCGCGCAAGGACAGAGCGTCAGATGCCGTCACGACACGGAACGAGAGGAGAGACGAGCTCACTGCCAGCCGTAGGCGTTCGCGAGCAGGCCACCTGTGGATGTCAACGTCAGGAACGGCTCGGGGCGAGACGAGGGGCCGAGACGGGCGCACCGACGACAGGACCGATACAAGGTCCGACCATGGGCCTGCGAGAGGGCGAAACAGGTGAGTGAGGGCGCCGTAGAGTGCGCTGCGAGGAAGAGGGTCGAGCGCACCCGAGCCCAAACACGGCGACCAACATGCCTCGGTCCTTGGGCGGCGCGATATCGCCAATCGTGCCCGAGCCGATGGCGATGACCGAAGATGAGCCTGCGGCTTGGACGCCGCGCAGGACGAGCAGGAGCCAGTACTCGTGCGTGTTGGCGAGGCCGGCACAGGCGCCGAGGTAGCTGCGCAAGGGGCAAAGTGTCGGGACGGCGACCGTGCGACTGCGAGAGAGAGAGAGAGAGCGCGCAGTGACGCACATGACGAAGGTGAAGAGGTAGACGGGCCGGCGACCGAGGACGTCGCAGATGGCGCCGAAGAAAGAAGGAGCGACGCCCTGCAAGATCATGTAGACGACGACCGAGACGTTGATCTGCTCGACGCTGACGCCGAGGTCGCGCGAGATGGCCGGGATGACGGGGAAGTAGATGTTTGCGGACAAAGGTCTGCGGTACGAGGGCGGCGAGGAGGACGAACGAAGGGGGTGCACGTCGGCGTCGAGACGAGGCGGCGATTGATCGGGACCGTGCAGGCGGGCACGAGGGGACGGGGCAGGAGAGAATTCAGGTCACGAGTCAGTTGGAGAACGAGGTCGGTGACCGCGAGAGAGAGGAAAGGAGGGACGCACGAGAAGAGGCCGGCGAGCGAGACGAGGCCGACGATGAACCAGCGCATCTTGGGCGAATAGACCGAGTACGGCGGCGGTGCAAGCGTGCCCGTCGTGACGACGCGCTTGACCCTCGGCATCTCGTCCCCGCCCTCGCCGCCGCCGACGGTTGCACCAACCTCCCGCCGCCGCCCCGGAACAAGTCCTCGCCCATCTCTTGCGCCGGCCCCGCCTCCATCTCGACTGCCCAGTGCGCTAGTTGTGTCTGCGTCGGCGAGGGTGCCGATAGTCGACGAGGCTGTCGAGGTGGACGTTCGCCGCGACGGCGAGGCGGTGAGGGGAAGGTCGACGGGGCTGCTCGTCGGTAACGGCGGGTGGTCGGCCGACGGTGGCACGGGTGCCATGCGTGCGAGCGAGAGCAGCAGCGGGCGTCCTGCGCAGGCGAGTAGAGAGGAGGAGCGAGAAGAGCGAGCCGTTGTCCGAGTTGGCGCCTCCGCGTTCGGCACAAGTCCGTCGGCACGGCGTCCTCACAATTTACGCAGCGCTCGCTTCTCGCCTCAGGCGTCTGTAGGTAGCTGGCAAGGCGCGCTCGTAAAGAACGGCCGGTAGCGAGCCCGCACGCTCGAGGAACCTTTGCCCGGCGCGTCTCGCTCGTGTTGAGCGCTTCAAGCTGGTTGCCCGCCTCTCGAAGAGCGACGGAGAGAGCAGCACCGCAGAGCACGACAGAACGCTGCCGACTTTGAGCGAGACTTGCGAGCGCCGGTAACACGAGGAAGAGGAGCGGACGAAATCCTCACCACCGCCTCGCCCGCTCCACCCACGCCTGTACCCTTCAAGAGCTCGCTAGAAGCATCACTAGACTCGATAGACCAGCACTCGTCACCGTCCGCCCACCCTCGTCCACCTGTCGCCTCTTCCCAAGCTCGTCCGCCTCGCTCCGCCTCATCGCGCCGAAAGTCCCCTGCACCGCCCACGACCTCGACAGAGCAGTCCAGCTCCCGCACCACCCACTCCGCCATCCAGCAGCTCGCCCGCACGCCCGTCATGCCCTCGGCCTTGTCCAGCAGCACCACCCCAACGGCCTCGTCGCGCCGTCGCGAGCCGTCGTTCCCGACCTACCAGACTCGCGGCTCGTCGTCCCTCGCGTCGCCCGCCGTAAGCGACCCGTGGGGCGCACCGCAGCGCAAGAAGGCCGCGGCCCCGTCCCTGTCGCTCGCGCTCGGCGGCGCAGCCGCACCCGGCGTCGACGACTCGATCCACCCGCTCAAGTACACCTGGGACGTGTGGTTCTCGCAGCGCCAGGCCGGCACCAAGAGCAACAAGAAGGACGAGAAGGCCGGCGCACCGGTCCAGAAGGAGAAGGAGTCGCGCGAGGACTGGGAAGGCGGCGTCGTCAAGCTCGGCGGGTTCTCGAGCGTGCGTCCTGCGCGAGTCCCACTCCTCGAGGCGGGACGAGACTGACACACTCTTGCCCACTCTGCCCAACAGATCGAGTCGCTCCACCCGTTCCTCGCCCACCTCGTTCCCCCCTCCGCCCTCCCCGCCTCGACCCACTCGACCTACTCGCTCTTCTCGACCGACGCAGACGAGGCCGCTCCCGCCGCGACCAACCTGATCTGCGACTACAACGTCTTCCGCTCGTCGATCGCGCCTGCTTGGGAGGACTCGGCCAACGTCGGCGGCGGTCGCTGGGTCGTGCGCCTGCGCAAGGGCGTCGCCGACCGCGTGTGGGAGGAGGTCGTGTACGCGCTCGTGAGCGAGCGCATCGGCGGCGATGACGAGCGCGTCGGCGACAAGGTCAACGGCGTCGTCCTGTCGGTCCGCCGCGACGAGGACATCCTGTCGCTGTGGGTCGCGCCCAGCTCTCGCACCGAGCGCGACATCATTCGGTGCGCGCTCTCTCTCTCTGTGTCTCTCACGTGCCTCTTCTCGTTCTGCGCATCGTACTGTTCTGCGCATCGTACTGAACCTACTCTGTCCCTCACAGTGACTCGCTCCGCAACGCCCTGTCCCCCCTCCTGTCCTCGACTGCCGCCGCCGCCCTCCAGCTCGACTACAAGCCGCACCCGGTCACGGGCGCCCCGACGGCGACGCCCTCTCGGCTGCAGGACCTGTCCGGCTCCGACTCGCCCTCGCCCCGACACGGCCTGCGTCGCGGCGGCAGCGAGCGCCGGTCGCACACGGGCGCCATGCGCTCGTCCGAGCCTCGCACGGGCGGCGACGACCACGAGCACCTGCGCCTGGGCGCGTCGGGCGTCGAGCGTCGCAGCGACCGGGGCACGCCGCGCACGCCCGGCTTCTCGTCGTACGTGTCGTCGCGCATGCGCGACGGGACGGCCTCGCCGCTCGGTGCGGGCGAGAGCCCGCTCAGCAAGGTGCTCGGTGCGAGCGGCGGCGACGGCGGGAGCGCGTTCGAGCGCATCGAGCGGCGCGTGAGGGAGTCGAGCCCGGGTGGGGTGCTCGGCGGGTCGGGCGCGTTCGGCGGGCGTGCGAGTCCGGCGGCGGGGCGCAGTCGCGAGTCGTCGGCGCGGTTCGAGGACGACTCGACGAGGTGGGGCAGGCTGTGAATGCCAGGTCGTTCAGCGGGCCGAGCTTCGTGCCCTCTCTCCCTCGTCTTTCGCCGTCCGCCATTGAGAGCACGAGAGAGCGAAAGCGTAGCCTTCGAGGTCGTCCCTGTCCTGCCTCGGCCTCGCCATTGCCGGCCTCTGCGCCTCGTTTCTCTCGCCGAGACGCAGAGTCTCGCGGGCCGCACTTTCTCTCTCGACCGAGCGCGAGCACGAGGAAGAGACCGATTTACAGAAAGGATGCGGCAGGAGGGGTGCGTGCAGATGCGGAAGTGGTACAGACAGGAGAGGGAGGCGACGAGGTTCTGGTCGTGCAAGAGGAAAGAGGGGAAGTGGAGAACTCAGTGCGACGCCTTCTTGTGCGAGTCCGAGTCGGCCGACCGCTCGAGGAAGGGCAGGCCCTCCCGGTACAGGACGAGCGAGATCTCGAAGGCGATGAGCTGTGTCGGGACGAGGAGAGGGTCAGTTCAACGTGTCCGAGACGATCGAGCAGGCGAGAGAGGACACACGATGATAATGATCCACTCGAGGCGGTGCGACGTCTTGGTGTTGAGCAGCTCCATGAGGGTCGTCTGCAACGAGAAGGCGTAGTCGACTCGGTCGTTGAGCGTGCTGCGGACGTACGCCAAGACGTGTCAGTCAAGGAGATGGACAAGGGAGGGAAAGGGGAGAGACGGACGTGAGCCGGCTCTCGAACTCGAGCGCCTTGCAGATGGACGTATAGTGAGCTGCGAGGTGGAGCAGGGTCAGTGTCGAACCCTCGAGAGAGTCAAGGCGAGGAGAAGAAGAGGGCTCACCGTGCAAGTCGGCGTCCTCCCACAGGAACTCGGGCTCGTCGAGGAGGTTTTCGTCTTCGAGATTGAGCTTCTGGCGGAACGCGTGCAGCGTGCCGACGCGCTTGATGATGTCGTGCTTCTTGACCGGTGACTCGGAACCCTGCGGTCGTGTGCGAGTTGCGAGATGAGTACTTCCGGCTCTGAGGGAGAGAGTCGGAGAGGGTCCGAGAGCGGCTTCGAGGACGCACCGACTCGAGCAGCTTGGGGATGCCTGCGACGCCCTCGGCAAACTCGTCAAACTGCTCCTCGTAGACGCCGAGCTTGGTGACACGCGCCATGCCGGCACTGAACGCGAGGCGCTCGAGGAGGCCCTTTGACGGCGGCGCCGGGACCTGGCCTGCGGTCGGGAGGTCGGCGTCGACTGGCGGCGTCGAGAGGAGGATCGCGTCGCCCGACATGCGCGTAGGTCTGCGTGCGGGTGTGACGGGGACAGGTTAGCGAGGCAGAGAAAGGGCATGGCCGGGGCGAGAGATAGAAAGGAGAGAAGAGGAGGGACGGACCCTTTGCCGACCCAGTACTCGAGGAGCTCGGTCTCGGGCTCGCCGTAGCGGCCCTCCTCGATGTAGACGCCCGTCCCAGCAGCGCCGCCGCGAATCACCTTGCGGAGGAACGTCTCGGCGGCGTGCATCGAGAGGCCCCACAGGACGACGGTGCCCGACTCGAAGACGAAGACCTCGCCGACCTCGTGCGCCGGCTCGCTCGACTCGCCGGTTGACGACGACGACGACGATGATGATGACGGGGACCAGCGCGGGAGCAAGATGGCCTCGCCGAGGAGGTTGACGGCGCCGCCGAGGAGGCCGAGGGCCTCGAGGTTGAGGAGGAGCTCGGGCGTGTTGTACGAGCTGGCCGTGGTGAGGGCGATGACCTTGCCGTCCGGTATGCCGCGTGCGCCCTTGCGGTGCGGGCTGAACGGGTTCGGGTGCAGGCCGACGGGGAGGAGCGGGGCGTCGAGCGGCGAGCGCGGGATCGGGGGCGGCGGGCGGTCGCCGCGGTTGGATTTCTTGGCCTTGTGTCGCTGGGGCCGCTGGAGTGTCGAGTGCGGGATGGCGGCTGAGCCAGGTGGGAGGAGGGACGGCGGAGCGGGAGATGAGGACGAGGGGAGGGACGAGTAGCAGCGAGTTGCCGGGCGCAGTGCGCGGGCGGTGATGCGGGTCCACATGGGCTGCCAGGCGAGCTCGATCGCGCGCTCGCAGCCGTGCAAGCGAGGTGCAGCAGGAGAGAGTCGTCGAGCGAGCGAGCTCTCTCGACTCTCGGCTCGGCAACTCGCCGCGCTCGCATCCAGAGCTGCAGTGCGCACGCAGAAACATGCCTCAGCACTCGGACAACAAGCATCAGCCGCCGCGCAAACCCTACACCAAGCCCGCTCCCGACCAACCTCGCTCATCTGCTGCTCGTCGTCCGCGACCGTTCAGCCGCGACAACCTCGACGAGGGCACCAAGCAGCGCCGCGGTCCGCCTCCCGACAGGTCCAAGCCGCCGACCAAGGCCAAGCCACAGCCCGCACAGCTCGACCTCTCTGGACAGCAGCTCACCGCTCCTCCCGCCCCCGCCGACCTCGCCAACGTCGCCAAGCTCAACCTCAGCAACTGCGCCCTGTCGAGCATCGCCTTTGCCAAGCATGCCGCCACGTCCCTCACCTGGCTCAACCTGTCGGGCAACGCCCTCGCAGACCCGGGCGCTTGGGCCGGCATCGACCAGCTCCAGACCCTCTTTGGTGCGTCCTCTCTCGCGTCGCACTACCTGCAGTCCCTCTCCATGACTGACCATCGCGGCCCCATCGACAGTCCTCAACGCGAGCCACTGCGGCCTGACCGAGGTGCCCGCCTGCGTCGCGTCGCTCTCCAAGCTCAAGGCGCTCGTCCTGTCGCACAACTCGCTCACGGCCCTCAAGCACGTCGCCAACCTTCCCGACCTCAACACGATCGGTACGTCGACCTTTCCCTCTCTACCCCCTCGACCCTCGCTCACGACCTCGGCCACCGCGCGCAGTCGTCTCGAACAACGCCCTCACGGCCCTCCCCTCGACCCTCGCGACCCTCCCCTCGCTCAAGAAGATCTCGGCCGCGCACAACCGCCTCACGTCGTCCTCGCTCCCCGACCTGTCGCCCCTCGCCCACCTGCACGAGCTCCGCCTCAACGACAACCCGACCCTGACGTCGCTCCCGCCTCACTTTGGCACGTGGGGCAAGGCCGACGGCGCCAAGGGCCTCGAGATCCTCGACATCGGCAACTGCGGGTTCGAGAGCTGGTTTGGCCTGCGCGAGCTCGCCAAGCAGGACGCCGTCGTCAACCTCGGGCTCAAGGGCAACAAGGTGGCCGAGGACGCTGTGCGCGACGCCGGCTTCGACAACTTCAAGGCCAAGGTGAGCTTTCACGTTCAACTCCCTCGGCGTGTCCGAGATCCTGGACTGACCCTCGTACCTGCCCGCCCGCACAGCTCACGATCCTCCTTCCCTCGCTCCGCATCCTCGACACGCACCGCTTCGACGCCAAGCACGCCGACCTCAAGACGCGCCGCGCGCTCCGCACCGAGGAGCAGCGCATCCTCGACGCCGGCCCGATGGCGCTCGCCGCCAACGCCAAGCGCGACGCGCCCGTCGCCGTCGACGACGTTGTGCGCGCCCGCGAGCGCGAGCGCGAGAACCGCCGCAGGCGCAAGAAGGGCATCCAGGAGGAGGTCGGCGAGGGGCGGAAGAACAAGCGCGTCCGCGACGACGAGGACGGCGATGGCGACGGCGACGGCGCGAGTGTCGAGCCCGGCCCAGCAACGGCAGGAGCGGGTTCGGGATCGGCGGGCGCCGAGGGCACCGACGACAAGGCGTCGGCGGCGGTCGACGACGAGCGCAAGAAGCCCAAGAAGCGCAAGAGCCGCGCCGAGAAGCGGGCGGCCAAGGAGGGCGGCGCGGGCGAGGGTACGGCAGGCGGCCCGGGCGCAGCAGAGGCGTTACCGGCGCCCGTCGTCGCCGAGGCGCTTTCTCCGAGCACGGCGACCGTCGACGCGAGCGCAACGACGGCGGTGACGACGCCCAAGGACAAGAAGGACAAGAAGAAGAAGGCCGGCGTCCTCGCCGCCCTGCAAGGCGACTCGTCGGCCTCGTCCTCGTCGAGCAAGACGGCTCCAGCGTCGACATCCGCCCCTGTACCTGCGCCCGCACCTGCGCCGAAGGAGGAGAAGCAGAAGACGTCGGTCGCCAAGATCATCGAGGTGCGGCGACCAGGAGCGGTCGACGGCAAGGGCGGCAAGAAGCGCAAGGCGGCGGCGGCGGCGACGGCAGACGACGCGGCGGCGCAGGACCGCAAGGTCGACGTCGGAGCGCTGCTCGGGCTCTCGAAGCCGGTCGAGGTCGGCAGGTCGCAGGACGGCGAGCAGGGCGAGGCGCAGGCGCCGGCCGCTCACCTCGCCGGACTCGGTGCGGCAGCAGGTTCGGGTCTGTTTGGCGGCGCAGGGTGGGACTAGCTGGTCCGAGAGGAGCGAGGCTGCACTGCACGATGCGCACCAGGACGAGCGGTCGTGCGAGATTGAGCAGAGGTCGAGATTGAGCGAGGCTGCGGTCGAGCCCCTTCGCGAGCGAGAGAGAGCGCGCCTCGTCGCCCAGTCTGGTTGACTGCGGTGGTCCGCCCGGTCTGTAAACACAAGAGTGACGCTGCTCAGCGAGAGTGCACCGCCTCTCGCGCCCTTGGTGCTATTTTCGGAGCCTCGCGTCGTCGTTCGTTGCTCGCTCCCTCGCCTCCCCCTCTCATCCGGCTCACCACAGCGCACCAGCGACCGCGCACACCCTCAGTCGCACGCGCCACCTGCCCAGCACACCCAGCACGACCAGCCGCGTCGCCCTACCGCCGCCTCGTTCGACCGCCGTCAGCGCACTTCTCGTCCTCGATCGAAGCCAGCCCCGCAGCCACCACCCGCCATGTCGACCCTCAAGGCGAGCACGAGCAAGGAGATGGACGACCGCATGGACGGCCGTCGCTCTGCATCGCCCGACCACGACGAGGACCTGTCGTCGTCGCCGTCGCGCAGCTCTGCGCACGAGGTCGCCGGCGCGAGCGAGAAGCGCCGCAACACGAGCCGCAGCACGGCGAGCAAGGGCGTGACGATGGCCAACGACCTCGTGCCGGACGGCGCGGGCAGCAGCGCCTACCCGCCGTCGCGGCCGTCGAGGAGGTCGAGGCAGGCGACGAGGGAGTCGAGCTTCACCGCCCCGCCGCTCAGGGAGCGTCTCGTGCGTCCCTCTTTCTCCTCTCCTCGTGTGCAGCCGGCGACGATGAACTGAAATCTCTGGCCCCGCAGACCGAGCTGTTCGTCCCCGACCGCCCCGTCAAGAACGAGCCGACCTGGGCGGCGTCGATGCGCGCCATCGTCTTTGCCAGCTGGCTCAACGTCCTCCTCGTCTTCATTCCTGTCGGCTGGGCGCTCCACTTCACCCACCAGAACGACACAAGTGCGTCCCGCTCCACCTGCATCGACTGCGCCGAGACCGTCGCCAACTTTCTGCCCTCGCGACAGTCGTTTTCGTCTTCACGTTCCTCGCCATCATCCCGCTCGCCAAGTTGCTCGGTTACGGCACCGAGGAGCTTGCTCTGCGTGTCGGACAGACTCTCGGAGGCCGTGCGTCCCCTGATCCTTCCCCTCGAGAAGGTTCCGAGCTCACCCAGCGTCGTTTTGCAGTCATGAACGCGACCTTGGGCAACGCCGTCGAGCTCATCGTCTCTATCATTGCCCTGGTCAAATGCGAGATTCATAAGTCAGCCCTTTTCGTTCGTCGTCGAGCGGGACTGACTCGAGGGCCACGTTTCTACAGGTCGTCCAGTCGTCGCTCCTCGGATCCATCCTGTCCAACCTTCTACTCGTCCTCGGCATGTGCGTCGCGTCGTCTCTCGTTCATCTACCTGGCGCACACTGACCTGCTCGTCATGCACAGGTGCTTCTTCGCGGGCGGCATCAAGTTCCAGGAGCAGGGCTTCAAGGACACGGCCGCGCAGCTCAACTCGTCCCTGCTCGTCATCTCCGTCATCGGTCCGTCCCCTCTCATCGAGTCCTGCCGTCCACGCATGACTGACTGACCCTCTCGCCGCGCAGCCATCCTCCTCCCCGCCGGCTACAACGCCGCCTTTGCCGACAACCAGACGGCCGAGATCGAGCAGGACCGCATTCTCAAGATGTCGCGAGGCATTGCCGTCATCCTTCTCGTCGTCTACCTCGCGTACTGTGCGTCCAGAAGCGCCCGCCTCGAACGTCGTCCCGACCTGACCTTCTCGAACCGCCGGTCTCGCACGCAGTGTTCTTCCAGCTCTTCACGCACCAGCACCTCTACGCCGAGGGCCACGTCGACCACAATGACCCCAAGCTTCGTGACGGTCGCCCTGTGTGGGGCATGAAGGAGCATCGCGCGTTCAAGCAGGCCAAGAGCGTTCAGCGTCAGCGTCGCCTCGAGGAGGGACTTGCCGAGGACGAGGAGGAGGAAGAAGTCGAGGAGCCGACGCTCAACAAGTGGGCCGCTCTTGTGCTGCTCGTCGTCGTCACGGTGCGTCCCCGTTTCGCCTGAATCTGCCCTCGCCTCTGCCTCGGGCGACTCGGGACTGACTCGACCCTTTCGTGCTTCCCAGGTCCTCGTCGCCGTCACTGCCGAGTTCCTCGTCGGCAGCATCAATGGCCTGACCGAGGCGCACCCCGAGATCAGCGTCGAGTGGGTTGGCCTCATCCTTGTGCGTCCGAGCTGTCGTTCCCCTCGCGCACCTCTTCGCCCGACTCGCGTTCACGTTTGGCCTCCTCCACAGCTCCCGATTGTCGGCAATGCCGCCGAGCACGTCACTGCAGGTGCGTCTCGACCTGCATATCTCTCGTGGCGCCGTCGCTGACTGGACAAGAGCGCTCGCAGTGTCCGTCTCGGTCCACGACAAGATCGACCTCTCGGTGCGTCTGCCCGCTCTCTCTCGCTCATGGGTCTAGTTCTGACTTCCCTATGACTCGCACAGATGGGCGTCGCCGTCGGCTCGAGCATCCAGATTGCGTGCGTCGCACCCCCCTTTCGTCCTTTCAGCGAGCCCGACTGACCTCGTAACCTGCAGCCTCTTCGTCATTCCCTTCATGACCGTCCTCGGCTGGATCATGGACAAGCCTCTGTCGCTCCTCTTCGACCCGTTCGAGTCGATTGTGCGTCCTCGTCCCCTTCTTCGACTCGTCGCGAGTGCGCGCTCATTGTCCTTGGCCACAGACTCTCTTCCTCAGCGTTCTCATCGTCAACTACACGATCCAGGACGGCCGCTCAAACTGGCGTACGTCTCCTTTCTCTGCCGTTCCTCCTTCTTTCGGCAGACGCTCACCGTCCTCCTCGTCGTCGCCGCAGTTGAGGGCTTCCTCCTCATGATGGTGCGCCCTCTTCCCTCTTTCCGGCTCAGCCGTTTCCCCTCCCGCATCGTCTGACTCTCTTTCGCCGCCAGGTGTACATCATCGTCGCCGTCGCCTTCTGGTTCTACCCGGCCGGCGGCAACCAGGCGTTCACGTGTTGAGAAGCGTCACGGCTCGATCTTTCTTTCCCACCTCTTGCGCCCTCTCGCCCCACTGCCGTCCCCCTCCTTTGTCCCTACTACGTCTGCATGTCACGTCCTGCAATCGATGCGCTGTACTAGAGCGCCTGGAGCCGAGCGAGAGGATCCGTGAGATCGGCCTCGAGAGCCAGCCCGTCCGGTCCACCTGTCGCGTGCGGACAAGCTGTTCGTCGAATGCCCAGCTGCTCGACGTTCGTCTGTGCCACGAGCAACAGGGAGCGCTACATCGAGCGACGAGAGCAGGACGCGGGGTCCGAGCGCGCGTCTCGTGCGTGTCGGCTCGTTCCCTTGCATCGGCGTTTGCGCCTGCTTCGAGCGGGCCTTTGATCCTGTGAGAGGTGGGTGCATGCAAGGCGGCCCGCGCACGCGGCCAAGGGCGGGTCATACTCGCCGTCGATAGTCGAAAGTGCCACGTCGACCTTCTCAAACCGACGCGAAAGACCCAAGCTCTACCAGTTTGCAAGCCAGACTCGCCGCATGAAGCGCAGCCCCGGTTAGCTCAGTCGGCAGAGCACCAGACTCTTAATCTGGTGGTCGTGGGTTCGAGCCCCACATTGGGCGGTCCTTTCTTTTTGTCTTCACGCTCTTCCTGGGCTCCTCCGCGGTACTAGCCAGGCGACAGAGTGCTCGACAGCTTCTTTTACACCCTCGGACGAACGAGCGGCAGCGATTTTGGGCGTTTGGAGACGCGCCGAAAGTAGCTGTACCTTCTCGAATTCGGTGCACTGCGTGCCTCACGGCCCCCCGCTGTCCTGCGTCGTACGGGCGGCAAAAGCACTTCTGCCCGTCGCTACGACGGGTGCGCTTAGGCCACAAAGAACGCAGAAGCAAAAGAAAGTACTCGCCCAATGTGGGGCTCGAACCCACGACCACCAGATTAAGAGTCTGGTGCTCTGCCGACTGAGCTAACCGGGCTGTGCTTGACGCATCGAACTGAGCTAGCAAACAAGTAAAGCACAAAAATGAAACAGGGGACAGAAGCTCGGGCCAAAGGGCACCGCCTCGCTCAGCGCAGGACGACAGCCTGGCTCTGCACCGCGACCTCGCACTCCCAGCTCGCCAAGGGATGTCGCACGCCGTCGCAGACCAGCAGCTGCTGTACGCGCTGCGCTCGCCGACCACGCCGCTCGACGACAAGGTCCAGCGCGCCGTGTCCGCCCTCGACCTCGAGCCCACCTCGACCTCGCTCCCGCCGCTCGTTCGCGACTGGGCGCTCGACTACCTCGTGCGAGCGACTCGCTCCGACGCAGGCGAGGCGGCCCTCAAGAGCTCGGCCCTGTGGTCGCTCCTCGCCCGTGCATCCGAGGCGACCGCGTCCACCGCCGCCAACACGCCGCCGCTGCCCATCTTTGTCGCCTTCGTGGGCCTCTACAGCGCAGGAGCAGCCGACACAGGCCTCCTGCGCAGCGCGGCGACCGTCTGGCGGAAACTCGCGGCGGTCGCCATGCGCAAGGCGACGGTCGACCAGGCGCTCGACGGCTACGACAAGCTCGTCGCGGCGAGCCTGCCGGTGTGCAGCAAGGAGCGGGCAGCAGTCGAGGCGGCGGCGAGCGCAGAGGAGCTGGCGCTGTGGCAGGACCTCGCCGTCGACTGGCTCAAGCCGTTGCGCACCATGGTCCTCGACGCAGGCAAAGGCGGCAAGAAGGTGCGCCCTCTCCTTCTCCTTCTACTCGTGACTCGTGTTGTCGACGACCCTGACATCTCTATGCCCGTGCAGATCCCGGCGCATGCCCTCTCGCTCCTCCCCTCCCTCGTTCCTCTCCTCGCGTCGCTCCCGTCCGCCTCGCCCTTCCGCACGTCCCTGCTCGAGACGATGCAGCTCGCCATATTCAACGTCGAGAACCTCAAGCGCGGTCTCGCGCGCGACTCGTACGCCGCCGGCGGGGCCGAGCAGTCGGCCGCCTCGACCGTCGACTCGGAACTGCTCGCCGCCCTCAGCTCCCTCCCCCGAAACCTCGTCGCCTCGTCATGCGCCGCACTCCCCTCCTTCACCGGCATCTACGCCTCTGCGCTCGCCGCACATGCCGCCGTCCTCTTCCCCCTCCCGGCCAAGGCCAACTTCCCGACGCCGAGCGCGCAGAAGAGCGCGCTCGAGGTCCTCGGCCTCGCCAAGCGCCGCGAGCTTGCGGGCAGGTGGATGGGGCGCGTCATCGCGTACCTCGGCTGGGCACGAGCGGGCGAGGCGATCGAGGTCGACGGCACGAGCGACGCCCTCGAGGGCGACAAGGCGTCGTCCCTTGCCGGCGTGCTCGAGGAGGTCGAGCGGGCGGACCTGTATCGTGCGGGACAGGCGGAGGAGAGCTGGACCGGGGTCCTCAACGATGTCGTCGGCGGCGCCGTCGCCCGCCTCGAGCACTCGGCGGCGGACGCTGCAGTTCGCGACGCGCTCGTCGGCGTGCTGGCGATCGTGTCGCGCATCGACCACTCGGCGCTCGAGCACTCGATCCCCCGTGTGCTCGCGGTCCTCGCCCGGGCGCCGAGCGCGCCTGCGACCGCAGCCGCCACGTCGGCTACGTCGACTTTCCTGTCTGACCTCGTCGCGTTCCACTCGCGCTCCCTTTCCCTCCCGACCCTCCTCACCCTTCTCTCCGACGCGCTCGCCTCGACCTCGACGACCCGCTCGCCCTCCCTCGCCATCACCGCCAACAGCGTCCTCACCGCGCACGCCTTCCTCGAGCAACTCGACCACGCCCTCGCCGGCATGGCGACCGGCCCGACGGCGATCCGGGCGACGTGGGAGAACCTCGTCACGCCTATACGTACGGCGCTCGCCTCCTCGGCATCCACGTCGGCCGTCCAGGAGCTCGCCCCGAGCCCGGCCAAGAAGCGCAAGGTGTCGTCGGTCGCGGCACCATCGGCCGCCGTCCTCGGCGCCGCGTCACGCCTCCGCGTCACGACGATCTACGTCCGCGGCGTTCCCGCAACGGCGCTCGCCGCCCTCGTCGAGCCGCTCAAGGGCTTCGTCGAGGAGGTGGTCGACTCGCGCCTGCAGGACTTTGTCGAGGCGAGCTGCGCAGCCTCGTCGGCCCCGTTCGACACGGACGCCGGCCCGTCGAGCGAGGAGGGCAACGCGCGTCGGCGAGCGTCGGGCGTCGTCGGCGGCGGGAACGGCGAGCACAACCCGGCGGCTCGCCTCGGTGTCGAGCTACTCGAGCTGCGGTACGCGGCGGTCGAGCGCCTCGGTCGAGCAGGGCTACTCGAGGGCAATGGCTGGTGGACTGTGGGCGCAGGACGGCGGGGCGGTCTGCGCGAGGTGGTGGAGGCTGGTGTGGGCGAGTCGGCGGTCGAGGCGGTACGTCCAGCGCTCTAGCCTCTCCTCCTCCTCGCCTCGACCCGATCCTGACTGTCCTGGCATCCCTGCGTACCGCAGATCCGCACCCTGCTCCAGCATTTCGAGCTCAGCACGCCGACCGAGGCCGTCCGCCACGAGGCGCAGGCGGTCGTCGCCGCGCTCCTCGCCCGCATCGGTTCCTTCTCGAGCGAGCATGCATGGAGCGGCTTCTTGCGAGAACTGCGGGCTCGCGAGGTGCCTGTCGCGCTCTGGGAGCTCGTCGCGAGGCGCTGGCTCCCCGTCATCAGGTCCGTCTCCCTCTCTCCTCACGACGCCGTCTGTACAAGGCGCAATACTGAGCCTCGTCCCGCACACAGTACCTACGCCTCGACTGAGCAGCTCGAGCAAGTCGCGGCGTCCGTCGTCGCCACACTCGGCCTTTCGTCGTCGGCGCCCGTGTCGGCGTTCACCTTTGCGAGGTCGACGCGCGCTCTACTGCAACGCGCAGACTTCTGGGAGCTCGTCCGGCTGCAGGGTGCGTCCAGTTCTCTGCCTCTGCCCCTTTCCACGAGCAGACGTCGACTTACACGGCCGCTCTCGCAGCTTCTGTTCAAGCCGCCCTCGTCCGCCTCGTCACCGCGTCGCCCGTGACGACCTCGACCGAGGCGCTCTCGTGGCTCAAGACTGGCGCGACGCCCAGCAGTACCGACACCTCGTCGCTCGTCGCCGCCGCCCGCCAATGTCCCGTCACCCTCGCGGTCGTCCCTGTCGAGTACCTCCGCAAGGACCTGCGCGCTCAGCTTGTCGAGCGAGCGCTCGCGCTCGACCTGCTCCTGTGCGCCTCTCGTGAACTCGACGACGTCAAGAAGGGCTCGATCCAGGACCAGCTGCGGCGGTTCGTCACGGCCATGAGCGTTTCGGTCGTGCGTGACCTCTCCCTCGCCGTCGTTGGCGCGGGCCCGCCTAACGCTCCTCTTTCCCCGCAACAGCCGAACTCGACCGCCGTCTTCGCGCAGCTCATGGACCATGCGCCGCCTGGCGCTCGAGCGGCGACCTTGGACTTGTACCGCACGGCCGTCATCGAGTGCGTCCAGCCCGATTTCTCTTTCGGCTCTCGCCGGTCAGCCTGCTCACGAGCGTCGTCGCCGCAGTGTCGCCCTTTCGGCCCTCAAGACCTCGCCCGTCGAGCTCGTCGACCTCGTCCAGTCGTTCGGCGAGAAGCCGTTGCAGAGCCTGTCCAAGCGCGTCGGCAACCTCGACATCCAGCTCACGACACGCGAGCACGCGTTCCTCGTCCTCTGCGAGTCACTCGTAGAGTCCGTGCCCGACTCGACTCAGTGCGTGTCCTCCCTCGCGAGCGAGCCGTCGAGCAGGGACTCACTCCTCGCTTTTATGCAGCCTTCCGACCCGACTCGCCGACGCCCTCAAGTCGTCCGTCAAGTACGCCGGCAAGGCGCTCGACAAGGTGTTGCCCGTCTCGCTCGCCGCCCTGACCCGCGACCAACGCGCTGTCCTCGACGTGGCGGACGTCATCGAGACGTGCCGGATCCTGTGGCTCGTGCGCGACTGGCTTTCGATCTGCAGCTCGGCCGATGCATCTGGTACGCCCTCTCGTTTCCCAACTCGAGGAGCAGGAGACTAGGACTCGAGGAGCCGCCGGCCTGACGCGTCTGCTCTACAGCGTACGCCGAGTTCTCGCAAGCCGCCCTCGTCTCGGCCCTGCTCCACCTTCCCGCCGTCACCGCCGACCCAGCCGCCATCGAGGTCGCGTCCTCCATCCTCAAGCTCCTGTCGTACCGGGTCGACCGCCGCCGCAAGAGCCACGAGGACATCAAGGGCTCGTCCGAGCTGTTCGAGACGTTCCTCGCCGCGCATCTGGCTATTCGCTCGACTTTGGCCTCGGACGGTGCCTCTCTCTCTCGCCCGCTCAACCTCCGCACATCCTCGAACCCTCCTGACGTCCACTCACGCAGCCGCAGACGTCCTCGATTCGGCCCTCGCTCGGACCGCGTCTGCCACCCCGGTCGAGGAGTACGGCGCAGTGCTCGGCAACCTTGCGAGCCTGCTCGGCGCTATGGGCGAGACAGTGTCGCCTGCCGACCCGACCAGCATCGCCCGTCTCGAGCACACGCTCGCTGTCGTCCAAGTCTTTATCCTGCACGGGCCTGAAGGTGCGTCAGCGTGTTCCTCTTCGACCTCTCGGCCGGCCCGAGATTAACGTCCCCCCCTCCTCTTGCCCTGTGTCTCTCGCCACAGGATCGAGTCGTGTGGCTAGCGCTGCCCTGTCGGAGGTCTTGCGGCAACTCGCGCTCGTCGTCGAGCACCTCGAGGGCTCGCAAACTGGCGTCGTCAAGGTCTACTCGCTCACGGCCCGGTTCCTCGACAGCATCTGCGGCGAACGGGTGCGGCTCCTCTTCTTTCTGACTGCGTCATCCACCGCCAGTCGACTGACTGTCCTTGCCCCTTGCAGCCCCTCCTCCTGTCGCGCTTCAACATCTCGTCCGTCCTCTCGATCGTCTCGCACATCCTTCGCCCGTCGCCCGCCGTACCTGGGTCGTCGCCGTCAGAGTCGGACGCGCGAGCCGCGTCGCAGCTGTACCAGACGCTCGTCGTCACCGTCGGCCACATCGTCCGCCACCGCAAGGACCACGTCGTCCCTCTCTTCCCCCTCGTCATCGCCACCCTGTCCGCCCTCCTTTCCGTGTTACGCCGAGCGGGTCTCGGCACTCTCGGCGCGTCGCTCGATGACGTCGAGAGCCAGGCGAGCCTCGGGCAGCGAGCCGAGCGCGAGGCGAGGACGACGTTCCCGGCGTGGATCTGGGCAGGCGGCGCGCAGGCGGTCGGCAAGGCCGAGGCCAAGGCGCTCGGCCGCTTGCTCGGGTCGTTGACGGCCAAGACGACGACGACGACGGCCGGCAAGCGCAAGCACGGCGCCATCGACGACTCGTCGTCGACCACCACGTCGCTCGCGGCGCCGCTCTCTAAGCACGCGCCCTTCCTCCTGCTCAACTACCTGCGCGCGTGCGTCCACCCGACGTGCCCCATCCCGTCGGCGTTGCGCACCGAGCTGCAGGGCGGCTGGTTCGAGGTCATGGACGCCATGGGCAAGTGGGAGCGCGAGGCGCTCATGAAGGGCATGCTCGGCGAGGACGAGGAGGCCGAGCGCGGCGTGCTCAGGGGCATGTGGAAGAGCTGGGAGAAGGAGCGGTACCGCGGCTGAGGAGCCGGTGTGCGTCGAGCGGGACGAGGGTGACTGGCGGCGGCGGTTCGAGCGAGGGAGGGGGCGGGGCAGAAGGTGTGCGACTCTGCGTGTAGCCGCCGCTCGTCGACGTTCAAGTTCTCGCAATGCATGGCCTCGCTCTACATGCTGTGCGCTGCCCGAGGCTTTGACGAGAGAGCCGGCTCGAGCGCACCTGAGCGTCGCCGTTCGAGACCGACGCGCCTCGAGGCGCGACCCGCCTCGTCGCAACTTGCCTTCCGTTCTCGGCCGCCGCTCGAGCTGTTGCGTTGCGACCCGGGTTCCGAGTTCATCAAAGGTGGGGCGGCCAGGCTCAGCCACGACGCCTCGGCGGCGCAGCAGGAGCTGGAGCTCGCCTCCCTCGACCTCGCTCAGCTCTCGTCCTCGTCCTCCCCTCCTGGCACACACTCGCGGCGTGCCGACTCGCTGCAGCATGGCCCCGTCCCCTCGACTCGGCGCCTACTCGCTCCTGTCGTCCACCCCGACCGACGCCGAGTCGTCCTCGACCGCCTACCAGGAGAAGGCGGCGCATAGCCGCGGCCACTCGCGCGCCAATTCGGTCAGCGGCGGCCGAGTCGCTGGAGCTACGCCGCTCGGTCCAGGGCGGCGAGCCGCAGGCTGGCGGCGGCTCGCGACCAAGGCGGCCGTCGCGGCGGTCGCTGTCGCGCTCGTCGTTTGGCTCGCTCGACCTCTCGTCGTCCCAGAGCAAGACGTCCAGCTCGACGCTCGCCACAAGATCGCCTACAACTTCGAGACGAGCGACGTCCCGAGCGAGTGGCGCTGCAACCCGTTCAAGGAGCCAGGTCGGCTGCAGGTCGACGTCGTCACGCCGGTGCGTCCCCTGCCCGCCCTCCTTTCCTGCCTCCCCGAGGCCTCCGTCCACGAGCTGACCCGCACACCCTTGCGCTCACGCAGTCCAAGAACATCTGGCGCCCGTACGAGGACGCGTGCCCGCCGTCGCGCATCATGCTCGGGCTCAACAAGTCGATCGAGGCGTTCCGGCAGAAGCCCGACGCGGTCCGCCAACGAGGGCCATCTCGCTCGCACGACACGACCCTGCGACAGCTGCGAGACGAGGGCGACGTGCCGTTCTACCCGTGGTTCGAGAACGCGACGATCCTGCTTCTCGGTGCGCCCTCGTCCCCTCGTCCCGCCCCTCTTCTCGACGACTGACTCCTGAGACGCTCGCAGGTGACTCGATGGAGCGACTGCACCTCGCCGACTTCTGCGACCTCGTTGGCGGCAACGCGACCAACATCGACCCCGACCACCCAGCTTCACCGCCGACGTACCGCAAGCCGATGCCGACCCTGCTCGGCCCCGACGGCAAGGAGACCGAGGCGTCGATCGAGGCGAAAGCAGCTCGGCGCCGGCTCGAGGACATGTGGGAGAACGACCGCAAGAACAGCTGGTTCTTCACGCGCCCGTGGATGTGCGACATCCCCGAGTACAACGCGACCATCGTCTCGACGTTCATGTGGGGCCTCGAGGACATGGAGGAGGTGTTCCAGACGGAGGACTTCTTCCACGGCCCCTGTGCGCCCCCTTCTCCCCTCGCCGCTCCTCCCTCGTGCGGCCCACTGATCTTCTTTCTCTCCCTCTCGCAGCAAGTTGGATCCAGCGCTTCAACCACGTCGCCCTGCCCATGCTCGAGCGCCTCGCCGAGCACACGGGCCGCCCTCAGCTCCTCAAGCCGAACCTGATCGAGGTCGCGTCCGGCTTCTGGGACCTGCGCGCCATGACCGAGGAGGACTTTATCGCCGCCGGCATCTCTCGCCCGTACCCCAAGGACAGCGACCTCGCGTTCGGCGACATCGGGCGCGTGCGCGAGGACCGGTGGACCAAGTCGGCCGCCGCCGTCCTGCAGGAGGTCGCCCGGGCCTTCCCCGGGCCCAAGGGCATCCGCGACGGCCCGCCGATCAGCTGGCGCACGATGCACCACACCAAGCGCAACAGTGCGTCCCTCTTCTCCATTATGCCTGCGCGCACTCGGCGCCGGCGCTCACTCGTCGTCGCCGTCCACAGACTATACGCCGTACGCTCGCGTCGCTCCTCTCGACGCCCTCGCCCGCAAGACGGTCCACGACTTGCGCGTGAGCTCGCTCGCGACGCACCCGACCTTCCTGCAGAACATGCGCGACTCGCTCGAGGGCCTGCGCGAGCGCCTGTTCCCGCACGAGGCGCTCGACGAGGTCCGGGCGGCCAAAGAGGCGCGGCAGCGCGATGACGAGACGGACTACGGGTTCGACGAGCGGCTGCGGGTGGACGAGATTGGCAAGCTGCTTGAGGGGCAGGAGCATCATGTGCGTCCCAGTCCTCCCTCGCCCCTCGTCCTCCGTCTCGAGTTTCCTCACTGACCTCGTCTTCTCGCGTCGCAGTACCGCGATTTCCTCCACCCTGACGTCCTCCCTGGGTCGTACATCTGGGGCGAGATCATCCTCTACGAGTGCGTCCTGTCTCCCTCACTCTCTCTCGCCGCCGAGCTCGCACTGACCCCTCGGACTTTCCGCAGGCTCAAGCGCGCTGTCGGCCGGATCGGCCGCACGAACTGATAGATCGTCCGCCGGCCGGTGCTGTCCTGTATTTGATTGCGTTTCCCGATCGTCACGGCGGTCTCGGCGACGACGACAGGAGGCGCTCGAGGAGACGGACGACCTCGAGGTGCCCGGGTCCGAGGAGTGTCCGGCTCGGTCTTTGCGCACGCGATTCTCTCGCTCCTTGCTGCAGCTCTCTCTTCGCGGCTCTGCCCTCGCGCCTCTCGAGAGTGCGCGCTGCCCGCCGCATGCGAGCTGGCTGGCTCGACAACGACGCCGTCGCGCTGTCGCTCTGCTGCTTCCTGCCGCCCGTCGTCGTCGCGAGGAAGCGTGGCTTCGGCCTCGACTTCATCCTGTGCGTGCTCTCTCTCTCTCTCTCCCTCTCGTGCGAGTTCCGAGCGAGGCCACGCACTGATCCTCGGGTCCACCGCGCAGCGCGTTCGAGTTGACCATGCTCGGGTCGGTCCTCTCACGACGGCGAGCCGGTAGTTCCTCGTTGAGCACGCTACTGACGAGTCGACACACACAGGTGGCTCCCAGGCGCAATGATGGCCGTCTTCGTCCAGTACGCCGACGAGCAGCCGCGACGACGCTCGGCCCTCTCCTCGCTCGACCCGCCGCCTCCCGCCGACCCGTCCTCACCTGGCTCACCAGGCCGCCCCACCCTTCCAGCACGACGTCCACTCGTCGTCAATGCGGAACGGGACAGGTGGAAGGAGCGACGGCGGAGGCGCCGACCAGACCTCGAGTCGAGCGGCGAGGACGGAGAGGAAGCGAGGTTAGATGGCTTCCGAGACGGGCTGGACCGGCCCAGGTGACGCTGTGTAGCTGCTCTGTTGTATCGCCGAAGCTTCCACGCCATCCAGAGCTGTGCGAGAGACGCCCTCGCTCGTCGTCGTCGCGGACTCCGCTCCGCGCTCTCACGCCTCCTTCCGCTGGCGATCCCTCGACACGATGAGCTCCGAGAAGACACTTCTCGTCTCGAGCGCCGCTCGGCAAGAGCCTGTACTCGCCCACGCGCTCCAGCTGCCCGTTTTCGCCAAGCTCAAAGGTGCGTCCTCCCCACTTTCGGCCGCCCTCATCGCGCTCGACGATGCCGTCAGGGGACTGACCTGCGCGCCTGCATGGCCACAGGGAAGCACATCGTCCTCGCCTCGGCCTCGCCACGTCGGTCAGAGATCCTCCGCACCCTCGGACTCGCGCCACGAATCGTCCCCTCGACTTTCCCCGAGACGCTCAGCCACGCTGGATACGACGACCCGGCAGAGTACGCGGCGGCGACAGGATGCGCAAAGGTGCGCCCCCGACCCTTTCCCTCGCCTGCACCCGAGCGAGCTGACCCTCTCCTCCTCGATCCTCTCGCAGGCCGTCGAGGTGTACGAGCAGCTCGTGCGCGAGTCGCCCGACGACGCGCCCGACCTCGTAATCGGCGGTGCGTCTCGCTTTCTCGCTTTTCTCGAGTTCGTCGAGCTGAACCTTGCGCACCCCGAGCAGCCGACACGGTCGTGATCCTCCCCGGCCCTGAACCCACCATCCTCGAGAAGCCGATGAACAAGGACGACCAGCTCAAGATGCTCGAGAGCTACCAGGACGCGGTGGTCGAGGTCGCTACGGGCGTGACGATCGGTGCGTCCTTCCTCCTTCTCTCGCACGGCCGCCTGAGCCGCAGCATGACTCTCTGCCTCTCGCTCGCAGTCCAACCTCAGTTGTCGATGCCGGGCTACTCGACGACGTCGCTCATCGTCAAGACCAAGGTGGGCAGCCATTCTCGACCCTCGTTGCGCGGCCCCGCTCACCTGCGCCTCCTCGCTCGCAGGTCCTCTTTGCCGACAACTCGCGCAGGCTCCTCAAGGCGTACGTCGACTGCGGCGAGGGCATCGACCGGTGCGCCCACTCTTCTCCTCTCGGCTGTGGTGGTCTCAGTCACGACACTGACGTTGGTGCGCTGACGTTGGTGCGCGCAGAGCGGGCGGTTTCGCGATTCAGGGCACGGGCGGCCTCCTCATTCGCGCCATCGAGGGAGACTACAACAACTGCGTCGGCTTTCCTGGACAGGTGCGTCGTATTCTCTTCCTCTCTCGGATTCGCCTCGAGCGCAGAGACTGATTCTCTCGTTCTCGCAGGCGTTCATCGAGTGGCTCACCCAGCTCGACGACGAGGGCTCGCTTCTCTCGATGTAGACGTTGGTCGTGCAACAGACACTCTGCCCTCTCAGCGCGAAAGGGCTCCAGTGCGAGAGAGAAAGCTTTGCACAGAGAGGAACGACAAACGCTCGCCCTCACTTGCCCTCGGCCTGCTGCCCGCACTCGGGGCAAACTCGCAGCTCGGGCGTCGACATCCACTCCTGCGACACGCGCGAAGGATGAGCCCTGATACGCACAGAGAGAGTAGAGAGAGGAGGGAGAGGTGGACGCACAGTAATCAGCGGCTTGAGCTGCGTCCCGAGGTCCGAGCAGTGGAAGGACACCTCGCGGATGACGGTCGGCGTCTTGTGCTCCGGGTTCTGGCAGTACCATCGCAGGCGGTCTGAGGACATGCTCGTCGTCAGGCGACAATCGCGAGGGCACAGGAAGAGGGAGAGAAAGAGAGAGAGACGCACCGACGGCAGAGCCGGGTCGCACCCGCTCGACGACGATGCCCACGGTGTCGGCGTAGCGACACGGGTTGTGCGGCGTGTTCCCTGCATGGCGCCGGGGCCTCGATCATCGTCTCGACTGGGCAGACGGTCGCAAGAGAACGAGCTGGGCGCACCTGGCAGCAAGAACATCTCGCCCTCGCCGATCGTAATCTCGCGAAACTCGCCGCCCTCGACCCGGACGGCCTCAAGCCCCTCCTTGGTCGTGACGCGCTCGGCCCGGACAGGGTTGTCGACGACCTTGAGCGTCATGTGGCCCTTGTACTGGTAGAACCATTCCTGCAGGAGGGGCCGAACGGGATGCGGTTCAGCGACCCGAGCGGACAGCGGGTTGCAGGGAGGAGTGAACGGGTCGGGCGCACCTCGGTCTCGTTCAGGTGATAGTCTGTTGGACGCAAAGGGTCAGTTCGGGAAGGAAGAGGGAGTGAGAGGAGGACAGGAGGGCGCACCATTGCGCGAGTTGGGCCCGCCGACGACCATGACGGTGAAGTCGCCTCCGTCGTATCTGCGCGCATGGGAGCCATCATTCAGAGTGTCACTGGATGCTAGGAGCTTGCCATCCGAGCCCTCCAGCTCGTCGTCGCCGAACTCTCTCATCTGCTCGTCCCGTCATCATCGAGGTCCACCCTGTCCACCTCCCGCCCCAGCGACGCGCGCACCGCCTGCATCGTCCCTGAGAAAGACAGAGACGCACAGGCAGAAGTTACCGACCGGCGGCTTGAGGCGGTCGGCGTTCTCGGCGAGCCACTTGGGCAGGTTGATCGGGTTGGAGAGGCTCATCGCGAGTGAGGGCGGGCCGGCTCAAACGTGCACGAGTGCGCTGTCGGAAGGGCGGAGAGAGCTGTGTCGCAGACGCGAGCTGGTCTGAGCGAGCAGAGGTGTGGAAAGAGGCGAGAGGATCCGGAGGCGGTGCTTCCGATGGCGGACGACGACCAAGCGCTCGAAAGCTCTCGTCTCGCGGGCAGCATGGCTCCCGTACTCTCTCGAGAGCTCTTGCACGAGAGGAGCACGGTCGTGCGATAGCGAGTAGCTCGCAAGGCTGCACGGCGGCTCTGACTCTCTCGAAGAAACTGGGCGGGCGGCAAGCGAATCGGCAGCTAGCAGCTCGTACGTTGCAGAAGACTCTACACAGAGTTCGCAAAGCGCCTCGCGACCGTGATCGCGCCGTACTCGCCAATCGGGCGAGTGCGACGACCCTCGAGCAGTCGCGCTCACTGACCTCGACGCCCGACGTCGAGTCGACCGGCCCTGTTGCTCAACAAGAGGCAAGGCGATTAGTCGATGACTCGGACCGAGATACGAGGAGAGAGAGGTGGCGCACATGTAGTAGGAAGTCAAGCGCGTGGGCAGGTGCTTGGCCCGGCGGCGACGACGGCGGACCCGGTTACTCGTGCTCGGCCCGAGTCAGGCGCAGGAGTCGAGGTGGAGCGAGTGGAGCGCGGCGAAGCTGCGAGATGAAGGCGTCGATATCTGTGCCGGGTCGGCGCCAAGGAGGGGACGAGAGGAGAAAGCGGAGGACGCACTCGATGGGGATGAACGGCGGCGACTTTGCCCCTCGCTCCATCTCGTGCGTCTCGAGCTGTACACCGTGCGCGCGACACACCTCCTCGAGGACGGCGAACCCTGGTTCCGCCCGGCGGTGCGACCCAAGCACGAGTCGTCGCAAGCCCGCCAGGCCCGCCAGTCGCCGGCGGCGCGCAAGGACGAGCGCTTCAGCCCAGACGAGGGGCTCTGCGCCTCCGTCTGCGCTTGCCGAGTCGTCTGCTGGGCCGAGCGACCGGTCCTCGACGACCTCGATGGACCCGCACGAGGCGCAGCTCGCGAGGAGGCGGTGCGGGTCGACCGTTGACGAGCAGCGGAACGCGAACTGGCGCAACGAGGGGAAATGCTGCGCGATGCCCTCGACGGCCTCGGGCCGTGACGAGGTGACGGCGAGGCGATTGACGGGCGTCGCGGCCCACTTGACCGCGGCAAGGTGCGAGGGATGGACGTCGGGCGAGAGGTCGAAGGCGATGGTGCGGAGCGAGTCGACGTCTATGGACGCCTGCAGGAGCCAAGACAGCTGGTCGGACGTGATCGAGGGCGTGTCGAACAGGGCGAACGAGGACAGGCGGCACGACGGAGGGGCGAGGTCGCCGAGCGCGCCACGGTACGAGTTGACATGGCGCAAGGCGAGGTCGACGACGTTGGGCGCGTTCTGGAGGACCTGGCCGACGGTGTGCAGGTTGAAGCCGCGGCTGGACCCGCCCGCGCGCCCGACAATCGACAGCGAGCGGAGGTGCGGCAGGTTGGCCGCAAAGTCGACCTGGCGGCGGCGGAGCGAGTCGAACGCGGGCGCGACGAGGCGGAGCTCGACAAGACGCTTGAGCGTGTGGGCGAGTCGAACGAGGTCCTCAGGCGTGACGGCGTCCTCGACAGGCTCGCCCTTGGCCCGCCGGCCCTTGCCCGCCGCCGGCAGTGCCCGCCTCGACCCTCGCCGGATCGTGATGACCCGCGCACGTTCGACAATGTCGCTGTCGCCGCTGTGTACGCGAGTGAGGTACTGCTGGACGCCGTGCGACGAGGTGAAGACGGGTCGAGCGAGGGTCGCCTGTCGGACGTGGGTGGGGAGGACGACGGCGAGGGAGGCGACTTGGCCGGGCGCGACGGCGTGCAGCTCGTGCAGTATGCGGGAGAGCACCTCGTCAGGCAGCACGCTGCCCATGTCGGTCGAGCGGGCGAGGTTCAGAGGCAGAGAGGAGTCTCCGTCCGGCCTCATCTCTTTCTCGCTCGCCCTCCTGCCCACCACGCTCGACGGGCTAGCCGACAGGCCGAGCGAGCTCGAGGCCCAGCTGGCCATGCTCTCGAGGCGGCGCGCTGCCGCAGCGTACACGGCACTCGCCGTCCTGCGGGTCTTGGTCGCCTTCACCTCGCTGTCGTCCATCCACCCCGACGAGCACTTCCAGAACCCGGAAATCGCTGCCGCCTTCTCGTTCGACTATGCCATGTCCGGCGGTGACCGCCCCCTGCGCACCTGGGAGTGGCGAGGCGCCTCGCCCTGTCGCAGCATCCTGCCCGTCGCTGGCTCGACCGGGCTCGCGTTCCTTCTCGTCAAGGTCTTTCTCGGCTCCAGTGAGCACAGCATTCCTCCCTCTCTACTCTCTCGGCGCCCAGGAGCTGACACCATGCCCGGCAGGTCCACCGGCGAGCGCCCTTTTCGCCGCCGAGCGAGCCGTCATCCTCCTGTTCTCGTTCGGCATCGGTGAGTCCTCCCCCGAATGCCTCTCGTGACGAAGCACTGACACACTGTCGTACAGACTATGTCGTGTGGCACATCTCGCGACGGTCGCACCTATCGGTCCTCCTGTTCGCCAGCTCGCCCGTCACTTTCACCTTTCTGCTCCGCCCCTTCTCCAACACCCTCGAGACTGTCTTCCTCGCGCTCGCCTTCTTCATCTTTTTCCGTACCCTCACGTCGGGACGAGCGGCGTCAGTCGCACGTCTCTTCGGCCTCGGCGTCGTCCTCGCCGTCGGCATCTTCAACCGCATCACCTTTGCCGCCTTTGCGATGCCGCTCGTCCTCAGCACAGCCGACGCCGGCTCTCGGCAGACTAGTTCTCATGTTTCGCTCAGGTGCGTCCCTGCCCTCTCGCAGTCTTTCGCGCGCGGCCAGGCGAACTGACCTTCTTCGCACCGCAGCGCATCTTCTCGGCGCCTCGTCCTCGTCGGTACCAGCGCCCTCGCAGGCTTTATCGTCGCCGCAACCTCCTGTATCGTCGTCGATACGGCCTACTTCTCGACCGGCAAGGTGTCGATCCGCACCGCCCTCAACGCGCTCGCCCATCCGCACTCGTTCATCGTCACGCCGCTCAACCTCCTGCGGTACAACGCCTCGAGCGATAACTTGGCCGAGCACGGCCTGCATCCCCGATGGCTCCACGCAGTCGTGAACGCGCCCTCGCTGTTCGGTGCGGGCCTCGTCATCGTCGCGCTCAGTGCGGCGGACCTGCTACGGCCGAGAGGAAGGCTCAAGCCGTTCGACCGGCGCCATCTTTTCTGTGAGTCCTCGCATTCTCGTATCACCCCTACATCTTTCCGGTCGCAAGACTGACCAGTCGAGTCTGCAGTGTACCTCTCGACATTCTTCGTTCCCCTCGTCGCCCTCTCCGTCCTCCCGCACCAAGAGCCTCGATTCCTCGTCCCTCTTGTCCTCCCTGTCGTCCTCCTCGCGCCATACACCTCGATCTTCCGCAGCGCGACGTCGAGGGCCGGCAAGACGCGCAGGGTCATCTGGGTGCGCCCAAACCCTCGTTTCTTCCCCTCTTTGCACGAGGACTCGCTCACTCGTCGCGCCCGCAGGTTCTCTGGCTCGCCCACTCGTTCGGCTTCACCATCATGTTCGGCTACCTGCACCAAGGCGGGCTTGTGCCGGCCACGCTCGCCCTCAACGGCGAGCTGCGCAACTCGACGACCCGCATCGGCGCCGCTCGCGCCGTCGACGTCGTCTTTTGGCGCACGTTCATGCCGCCTCGGCACCTGCTCCTGCCGCTCGCTCCAGGTGCGCACACCTCTCTCTCTTTCTCCTCTTTCCGAGCCACCGCCGGACGCACGACGCTGACCGCGACCGCGCGCAGCAGGAGCTCTCGTCCCAGCTGTCCGCGTCACCGACCTCGCCGGCGCCTCATCCTCCACCTTCCTCTCAACCCTTGCCGCCTTCGACCTCGCCGCCTCGCACGTCATCGTCGTCGCGCCAGCCTACACCATCGAGGCGCAAAATCTCACGTGCCTCGCGACGTCCACCTCGACCGCCTCGTCGGGCCGCTCGGACCCGTTCGACACGCTCCCGAAGCGACGCCTCTCGCCGCTCGTCGCAGGCCGCACATCTTACGGCGTGCACGTCGACATGGACCGGCTCGGCGACCTCTCCGGGGCCAGGTGGAAGACGCTGGGCGTCGGGGTGTGGACGGTCGAGTAGCGCCGGCGCAATGCGATTTCCCTCGCTCGCCCGCCCACTCGCACGTGCCCGAGAGTCGACAGGGTTCGCGATCGAGAGCTCCACAGTGAGGGACCACGACGTCGCCGGCGCAGTCCTGCGCTGCTCTGCAGGACGGCGAGGAAAGCGAAAAGAAGCCGACCTTCGCAAACTGGCTCGCTCCTCGTTTCGGCGCTCCAGACTGCTCCCCGGTCGCGAGCCGCTGCCTGTCGACGAGAGCAAGTCAGCGAGAGTACGTGCAGCTGCCCAGCTAGAGTCCAGCACGCTGTCGATGTCGACGATCCTTTGCGAGCTGCAGATCCTCGAGCGCACAGACCCTCTCGCTTGCTCCGGCTCGTCTTGTGCAAGTCGGGGACACGATCGGCACTCGTTCCATAGAGCACCTGCTGCTAGTTACAGCGCATCACTGACGCGCGTCTTGCACGCCCGCGAGAGAAAAAGGCGAGTGGGGCGGGGCAAAAGCGAGGGCGCGTCATCGGTCGACCGAGTGAGGGGAAGCGCTCTCGCTGGCGCGCTCCTCCTCCTCTCTTCTCTCCACCACCACCGCTTCACGCACTCTTTTCCTCACTCGCCTCACCACCCACCACCACCACCACTGTGCGTCCCTCTTCCTTCCCTCGCTTCCGTGCCGCCCGCCTCGTACCCACTCCGCAGCTCGGAAGATCTGACGCTGCCCCTCTGTCCCACAGACCACCACCACCATGTCGACCATCGCTCACACCGAGGCCCACGCCGGCGCCGGCGACGTCGGCGAGAACCCGGCCCCGCCCCAGGCTGAGCGCTACGAGGAGGGCAAGGAGGGCTCGCACAACACGCTCGACTCGAAGGACGGCCGCTCGCTCGCCAACAACGTGAGTCGGCCTGCGTCCCGCTCTGGCCACTTTGCCAGGCTCGTCGTGCACTGCAGTGCAGCGGCGAGCCCGGCTCTTGAGATGCTATAGCGCGCACACGCAGCTGACCCGAATCGCCTCGCCGTCGACAGATCGCTGCCGCGTCGCGCAAGGACAAGGAGGGCGAGGACGAGTCCAACTCGGCCTACTCGGGTGTCGGTGCCGCCGAGGCCCACGGCAACAAGCCGTCGCGCGGTGCCCAGATTGACGCCGAGGTGCGTTCCCCGTTTATCTCCTTCGTCGCCGTCGTCCTCGTCGCCTCGTTCTGACTCTGTCGTCCCCTGTCGCCCTACAGATCCAGCGCGAGGAGGAGGAGATGCTCGCCAAGAAGCAGAACTAGACGTCCACGAGCTGGTCGTCGTCCGGTCGGGCCTCTCCTTGGCGGTGGCCCTGCCCGGGTCGAGCGTGTGCGCCTCGAAGCGCCACCTGTAGCAAAGTGTCAACATTCTCCTCGTAATAGCAGTGCATGCCGCATCCCTGTCCTGTCGTGTATGCGAGCGAGAGAGACAGCTTCCGAGACCTTGTCGTCGTCGTCGTCGTCGGGCGTCCGTCGGCGGAGAGGTGGACGCGTTCCTCGACCTCACCGGCTCGCTCCTCCACCTCGAGCGCTTGCAGCAGCCATGTCCTCGACTGTCTTTGAACTTGTGCGTCCCCCTCTCGCTGCACCACGAGCGCTGCGGCGACGGACAAGCTGCGACTCGTCGGCTGACCCTCCTCGACGCGTGTCGTCCTCCCTCGCGCAGGTGTGCGGCGCGCAGAGCTACGACTGGGGTAAGCTGGGCAAGGTGCGTCGTGCCGTTCCTGCACGCGACTCGTCCGCCCTCGACGAGCCGCTGACCTCGCCCTCCCCTCCGTTCCTCCTCCCCGCCTCGCTCGACCTCGCGGCCCCTGTGCAGGACGGCTCCAAGGTCTCGCACTTTGCGCAGGGCCTCCCCAACTTCTCGTACGATGGTGACAAGCCCTACGCCGAGGTGCGCCCCCTTGTCCTCTCTCGCCTCGTCTCGTCGTCGTCGCCCCGCTCACCTCCTCCCTCGATCCCTCGTCGCCGCAGCTCTGGATGGGCACCCATCCTTCGTGCCCCTCGACGCTCCTGTCGTCCGGCGACGACCTCAAGGAGCACCTCAAGGCGCACCCCGAGCTCCTCGGCGACAAGGTCGTCCGCAAGTTTGGCGACGACCTCCCGTTCCTCTTCAAGGTGCGCGTCCTCCCGCCCTCGCCTCTCTGCGCCGGTGCGCCCATGCTCACACTCGCATCGACGCACACCTGCAGGTCCTCGCCATCCGCAAGGCCCTGTCGATCCAGGCGCACCCGGACAAGAAGCTCGCCCAGCGCCTTCACGACGAGAAGCCCGACGTCTACAAAGGTGCGCCCGCTCGTTCTCCCTCTCGAGCATGCCCGACACGGTCCTGACAGAGATGCGCGCGTGTCGCAGACCCGAACCACAAGGTCCGCCCCTCCTTGCGAGGCAACGTCCACGTTCGACAACCCCCGAGCTGACCCACCTCGTCCCCCGTCACGCTCGCAGCCCGAGATGGCCGTCGCCCTGACCGACTTTTCCGGCTTCTGCGGCTTCCGCCCACCGACCCAGATCGCCGCTTTCCTCGACCTCGTCCCCGAGTTTACGGCCGTCGTCGGCTCGTCGGTCGCCGACTCGTTCAAGACCAAGTTCTCGTCGGCGGCCGCTGCTTCGGAGGACGACAAGAAGGCCGGCCTCAAGGACCTCTTCTCGGCGCTCATGCGCGCCGAGGACAAGCCCGTCAAGGAGCAGGTCGAGAAGCTCGTCGCTCGCGTCGCCAGCGACGGCGCCGGCCTCGACCGCGAGGAGCGCGAGCTCGTCCAGACGCTCAACGGCGACTTCCCGGGCGACGTCGGCGTCTTCTGCACGTTCGTGCTCAACATCGTGCGCCTCAAGCCGGGCGAGGCCGTCTTCCTCAAGGCCAACGAGCCGCACGCCTACCTCGACGGCGGTACGTCCTCGCCTTTGCCTCCCTCTCTCTCTCTCTCTCTCTCGTCGACGGCAGAACTGACTCGGTCTCTCCTCCTTGCACGCGCAGACATCATGGAGTGCATGGCGACGTCCGGTGCGTCCTCGTGAGTCTCGCTTCGCTCGCACTACCTCGCACTGACCCTCGCCCTCGTCAACAGACAACGTCGTTCGCGCCGGCCTGACGCCCAAGCTCCGCGACGTGCCGACCCTCACCTCGATGCTCACCTACACGTCGTCGCCGCCGTCGGAGCAGATCATGACGCCCGTCGGGTTCCGCTCGACCAGGCACACGACTTTGTACGACCCGCCCATCGACGAGTTCTCGGTCCTCCTCACCGACCTCAAGGCGGGCGAGACCGAGACGTACGACTCGATCGAGGGCCCGAGCATCCTGATCTTTACCCAGCTCGAGGGCGAGGGCCAAGGCGCCAGGCTCTCGTGGAGCAACGGCGACGAGAAGGTCTCGCGCGAGGGCCAGGTCTTTTTCGTCGGCGCCGGCGAGGAGGTGACGGTCGAGGCCAAGGGTGGCCGTGTTGTCGCCTACCGCGCGTTCGTCGAGGCGCAGTAGATAACCCCGTCCCCCTCGAGCTCTTCCCCCCTCCCCTCGTCTTGACCTCCCTCGCTGCATAGATCTCTCCTCGCCCCACTGTCACCTGCATCACGGACACTGTTCGCTAGTCTCTCTGTGCGCTCGACGTTCAGCGCGGTGCCGCTCTCGAAAAGCGCAGCTCTGCGCCGCAAGCGGGCTCGCCGGGCGAGACGAACGGCGAGGCCTCGCTCTCTCGCTCCGCCGCGCATGTCGACAACGCGCAGTTCGCCGACCGACTGGCCCCATACCCAGCTCGCCCCTTCCCCGACGACAAGCGCCGCCCTGCGACCCGGCTGCGTCGACGCCGACGTCGAGACCGGCACCGAGGTGGGAGAGACTGATGAGGCGGCGGAGCTCACGCCTGCGTTGGCGCGCGTGGTCGTCGTTGCCGGTCTGGGAGGTGCGTCCACTCCTCTTTGTCCCTGCCGACTGTACGCGCTGACCAACTAGTGCACGCAGGGCTCCTCTTGTCCGTCTCGTCCCCCTCCCTCTCCCCACCTCTTCCTCCGCCAACCCCGCTGAAGCCACGTCCCTCGCAGTGGCTACGACACGGGCGTCTGCTCCGGCGCTCTCCTCCAGATCGGCGACACGCTCGGCGGGCAACCTTTGACGACCTCGCAGGAGACGGCCATCGTCGTCTCGGCGCTGTGGGGCGCGCTCGCCGGCAGCCTCGTCGCGAGCAAGGTCGCAGACTGGGCAGGCCGCAAGCCCGTCGTGCTCGGAGCGGCAGTGCTCTTCGCCGTCGGAGCTCTTGAACAAGCAGCGGCGCAGACCCTGAAGGAGGTCCTCTTCGGTCCGTCCTCTCGCTCCGTCATCGCGCTCGCCGAGCGGCCTCGTGCGGCCGCTCTGGGGCGCTCGTTCAAGCCGAAACACAGAGGCCTGACATTTTCTGTCCCGCAGGTCGCGTCATGGTCGGCCTCGCCGTCGGGCTCGCGTCGATGGTCCTCCCCGTGTACCTCGGCGAGATCTCGCCGCCCGCCTTCCGAGGCCGGATCGTCGGCTCGCTCGTCGTCCTCATCACCGGCGGCCAGGTCATCGCCTACTGCATCACGGCCGCCTTCATGCACGTCGACAAGGCCTTCCGCTGGAGCTTCGGGCTCGGCGCCGTGCCCGCCATCTTGCAGCTCGTCCTGTCGTTCTCGATTCCCGAGTCGCCGCGGTGGCTCGTTCGACAAGGCCGCCTCGTCGCCGCCCGCCGGAACCTGTCGCTTCTGTCGCCGCACGCGACGCCCGCCTCGATCCAGCACCGGCTCGACGCCATCCAGGCCGACGCGCCTGACATACGGGGCGAGCACGCCCCGACGGCGAGCAAGGCTGACTGGAGGACGCGGCTGCGCGACGTCGTGCGCATGTACAGCTGGGACGAGCTGCGTCAAGGCCGGCTCGGCTCCCTGTGGCGCGACCGAGCGAGCCGTCGCGCACTTGCCGTCGCCGTCGGGCTCCAGTGGTTCCAGCAGTCGACCGGGTTCAACAACCTCATGTACTACAGCGGCAAGATCCTCGCCGAGACGCACCTGTCGCAGCCCGCCGCGTTCGCCATCTTCATCGCCGTGTCCAACTTTATCGCGACGCTCGTCGCGCTCCGCCTCATCGACCGAGTCGGCCGACGGTACCTCCTCTTGCGCACGTTCGTCGGCATGGTCCTCGGCATGGCGCTCCTCGCGTTCGCCTTCCTGTTCATCCCTGTCGGCGACGTCGAGGGACCCGGCGACGCGGCGAAGCCGGGTACGAGCCCTTGGGCGTTCGTCGCGCTCGCGGCCATGGTCGGGTTCTGCGTGTCGTACGCACTCGGTATCGGCAACGTCGCGTGGGTCGTGCAGGCCGAGGTGCGTCCCCTTTCTCTGGCTCCCGTCCTGTCGTCCCGCGCGCTCCTCTCCCCGACCCTCCCTTTTTCGCTCGTCACCCACCCTCGGCCGGTCTTTCTGACTCGCCCCATCGCCTACAGGTCTTCAACCAGGACTTGCGCGCGATCGGCAACGGGCTCGCGACTGCCGCCAACTGGAGCGGCAACCTCGTCGTCTCGTCGACCTTCCTGCACATCTCGAAAGGTGCGCTCGCTTTCCCTCCCACGCCGCTCTCTGTCGTCGCCCCGAGCGCTCGAGCGTACGTCGACCACTGACTGACCCTCTTCTCGACACAGCATTGACGCCCGCAGGCGCGTTCGCCCTCTTCTCGTGCGTGTCGGTTGCGGCGTGGCTCTTTGTGTACTTTTCTCTCCCCGGTGCGCCCACCACATCTCTCTCCCTCTCTTTCTTGACCTCTTGTCCCTCTGGACCTGACCGTCTCTCGATGCGCCTCTTTGCCCGCAGAGACCAAGGGCCTGTCGCTCGAGGAGGTCCGGGCGCTCTTCGAGCAGCACGTCGGGCTCGCGCCGGGTCGCTCGACCTCCTCGGTCGCTGCCGCCGGGACGACGGTGCACGGCTCGGACGCTCGAGGGAACTACTACGTCGTCGGCGAGGAGAGCGAGGTGGACGAGGCGCAGGGAGTGATGGCTTCGACGCGAGGCGACTGCTCGGGGAACGGGCGGCGGCGGCTTGACCGCGACGACGACGTCGGTGTACAAGGACGAGGAGCATAGCGAGCCGTGTAACGAGGTGCAAGTGCGAGAGTGTGTGCTGCGCGATCGGGAGAATGAGCGAGACTCGGCCAAAGCGAGAGGCGCGGCGGAAAGATCGCCCCCGCTCTGCGTCGACGCTCCCCCTCCCCCTCTCGCTCGCTCTCCATCCTCCAGCACCAGCTACACACCAGCACCTCGACATGAACTTTGCCGCTGCCGCCAAGAGCGCACCCCACGACGGTCCCGAGCCCCAGCCCGACACGTCGCTCCTCACCACCCCGAGCGACGTCGCGGCCCGCCCCGTCTCGCCCGGCGCACAGGCAGACGACCTCGAGACCGAGAAGGCGCACGGTCCGTCCACTCCCTCTTTGTCCTGCCTCCCTGTGCAGCTGTCGCACCCTTCCCCCTCACCCCTTCCCTGGCGTCGTCGCCGTCAACCTGTAGGGCGGGCCCTTTCGATGACGCGCTCGTCCTCGGATCCGCATGCATCCCCCGTTCAGCTTCGCAGGTACTGACTCGCCTTGCTCCTCCCTGCCCGCATACTCTCCCTCGCCACCGCCGCCCTGTCCTGCGCGCCCCTCTTCAACCACGTCGCCCTCCCGCTTCGCCCTCATCCAGTCGTCGACCACGACGACTTCGAGAAGATCAAGAACGCCGTCGAGCACGCCGACGAGCACAACACGGCCCAGGAGCACTTTGACGAGGCGCACGCCCACCGCGAGCAGCGCGAGCAGGCGGCCCGCAAGGCTCGCGCCCAGGGCGAGCTCAAGGCGACCACCGACAAGGTCGAGGCGACTACCGGCGCCGCTGCCCAGAAGACGTCGCAGGCCGCGACCCAGGTCAAGCGCGACGGCGAGGCGCTCGGCCGCGACGTCAAGCGCGGCGCCGAGGACGTCGGCCGCGCGGCGCAGCAGACGGCGGGCGAGGTCAAGCGCGAGGGCGAGCAGGTGGCGCACGACGTCAAGCGCGAGGTCAAGCGCGAGGGCCAGGCCGTCGCCAACGAGGCGTCCAAGGCGGCCGACGCGGCGCAGAAGAAGGGCGCCGAGCTCGTCGACGACGCGAGCGAGCTCGCCGGCGAGGCCAAGCAGAAGGGCAAGCAGTTCCTGCGCGAGGCCGACCGCAAGGCGTCCGAGGTCGCCGGTGCCGCCTCGCAGAAGGGCCGCGAGCTGCGCGACGATGCCGAGGAGCTCGCCGACGAGGCCAAGGTGCAGGGCCGTCGCTTCGCCAACGAGGCCGAGCGCGAGGGTCGTGAGCTTGGCGGCAAAGCCGAGCGCAAGGCTCAGGAGGCGGTGCGTCCCGCCTGTCCTCCCTCCTCATCATCGCCGTCGTCGTCGTCGTTGTCACTTCGAGAGCCGCACACTGACTATTCTCATCGTCCGACGCAGGCCGACAAGGCCAAGAAGGAGGCCAAGCGTCTCGAGAAGGAGGGTCGCGAGTTCGCCCGCGAGTACCCGATTGCTGCGACTGGCATCGTCGGCCTGAGTGCGTCGCCTCGTCGTCCCTGTCGGTTCCATGCCGAGCCTCACTGACTTTCGCCTCCCTGCCCCTCGCAGCCAACCTGCTTCTCGTCGCCGTGCCGTCCTACTACGCGTACAAGAACTGGCACCTTCCGCGCTGGGACCGCCGCGTCGTCTCGGCCGTCGCCGTCGGCCTCGCAGGCATCTTCTCGCTCGAGAGCGCACTTGGGTACTTCGAGCTCCAGAAGGAGCAGAACCGTCGCCTGTAGATCCGCTCTCCCTTTCGCACCCCTCCTCGACCCATAGCAGTTTAGTCGCCGTCGTCCCCTCCCTGTAATCGAGCGCGTTGCCGAAGCGTCCCGCAGTCGTCGTTCGAGAGCGAGGCGAACTTCTCGGTTTCGAGAGAAGTAGGTCAGGGACAGGTGCCAGACGTCGAGTACCCGTCTCAGCAAGGACGGTGAGAGCGGCGGAACCCGGGATTAAACTATTCTCGAGGAGTGAGAGCGTCTCGCAGCTACCTTCTCTTGCTCGACGAGGCGAACTTCTCGGTTTCGAGAGAAGTAGGTCAGGGACAGGTGCCAGACGTCGAGTACCCGTCTCAGCAAGGACGGTGAGAGCGGCGGAACCCGGGATTAAACTATTCTCGAGGAGTGAGAGCGTCTCGCAGCTACCTTCTCTTGCTCGACGAGGCGAACTTCTCGGTTTCGAGAGAAGTAGGTCAGGGACAGGTGCCAGACGTCGAGTACCCGTCTCAGCAAGGACGGTGAGAGCGGCGGAACCCGGGATTAAACTATTCTCGAGGAGTGAGAGCGTCTCGCAGCTACCTTCTCTTGCTCGACGAGGCGAACTTCTCGGTTTCGAGAGAAGTAGGTCAGGGACAGGTGCCAGACGTCGAGTACCCGTCTCAGCAAGGACGGTGAGAGCGGCGGAACCCGGGATTAAACTATTCTCGAGGAGTGAGAGCGTCTCGCAGCTACCTTCTCTTGCTCGACGAGGCGAACTTCTCGGTTTCGAGAGAAGTAGGTCAGGGACAGGTGCCAGACGTCGAGTATCTGTCTCAATGACGACGGTCAGAGCGACAGAACCCGGCATTTGACGCCTCTCGAGCGGTGACAGCGTCTCTCCTCCCCGGTTTTGCCTCAGCGCGGTGTCGAGCAGCCACGGCTTGAGACGGTCTCGCAAGACGATTGAGCAGCGCCGATCGCCTCGTAGATTGCACCTCTCGACTCCCACGCTCGCGCTACACAAGAGAGAGAGAGAGAGAGAGAGAGAGAGAGAGAGAGAGAGAGAGAGAGAGGGCAATCGCGAGCTCACTCACGTCCCGAACTGGCCCGCCTTGACCCACGCCTGCGGCAAGTCGCGCGTGACGTCGAACCACGTGCGCTCTACAGCGACGAGCTCGCCTTGGCCGATAAAGTCGAAGAGGACGAGCGGCTGGTACCGCCTCGTGACGCGGATGTCGAGCGGCTTGGCCTCGCCGACGGCGGCGGCGGTCGTGAAGGGCGCGAGGTTGTCATCGTCGTCGTCGCGTGCGCGCTTGCGGTCGGCCTCGCGACGCTCAGGTTGCTGCTGCTGATGCGCGCCCTTCTTGCGCTTGCCCTTGTCGACGTCGGCGGCGCCACCGCTCGTCGTGGTCGACGACGCCGCCGCACCTTGGCGCAGCGCCTCGAGGTCGATCTTGGCGACCCAGTTGGCGCCCCACACGACGGCGATGCTGCTCTCGGCGCCACCGCTCGCGACGGCCGCTCGGCGGCTCGGATGGACGTGCTCGTCATGGTCGGTATCGGCGCCGTTGACGTGGACCGGGTCGCGCCGAGGCTCGAACGTGACGCCGAGGATGGGCTCGCGGATGTCCATGAGCGCGTTGTACTTGCGCGACGAGAGAGCCAGGCCCCAGGGGTGGAACCGGTGCGACTTGAGGCCGTACAGGAGGAGGGCGTTCGACGGGAGGGCGACGATGAGGGTAGGCTCGGCGGAAGACGATGTCGGAGTGAACGCGAGCCAAGAGGGAACGAGGGGAGGGCTAGGGAGGGATGCGTGTGGCGAGGACGAGACGAGCGAGTAGACCTTGACGGTGCGGTCCGACTCGGCGGCAGCGACAAAGTCGCCGTCGCCCGACACCGCGAGGCAGACGACGGTCGAGGGAACGCGTTTGGCCGTCGACGACGCTGACGATGCGGCGTCCTCGTCGGTGCTGCCGTCCGAGTCCGAGTACCCGGCGCCGTTCATCTCGACGTCTCCGCCGTTAGTCGCGCCGTTCGCGAGACCCTGGGCCCGGCCGCCGGGCGAGGCGCCGTCGCCAAACAGCGCGACGACCTCAAACTCCTCCTCCTTGCCCTGCGACAGCTGGACGACGGCGACGGTCGCGCCGAACGCCGTCGAGAGGACGAGGCGCTGCGAGTCCTTGGTGAACGTGAGGCACGACGCGCCGGTGCCGAGCGACGACGACGGGAGGCGGGCCGACAGGGTGTCGGCAAAGGCCTTCTGCCGCCGCGGGACGAGCTTGCCGTTGCGCCACGAGAGGCGGAAGAGCTTGGTCTCGTAGAGGTCGGACGCGGCGAGCCACTTGCCGTCGGCCGACACGGCCGAGGCGACGAGGTTGGTCTGGACCTGCGCAGGGAGGACGACGACGATGTCAATGACAGACACACGCGAAGAGATGCTGCGAGAGGAGGGCGCACCTTGAGCTCGAGCTCTGCGAGCTTCTCGTAACCGGTCATGCCGACCTCGTCCTCGTCCTCGTGCTCCTCCTCGCCGGCGAGCCCGATCGCAAAGCTCTGGCGGCCCCACTTGACCTTCTGGAGCGGAGCGGCGTTGGCGCCCAGGCCGAGAGAGCTGCCCGCACGCTTCGGGTCGTCGAGGCGCCAGATGCCGATGGCGCGCTCGCGGCGGCAGACGAGCAGACGAGGGCGGTCGGCGGTGCCCGAGCCGGGTGCGACGGCGAACGGTCGTGCGCGTTGCGGGACGTACGAGGCCCGGCGGTGAACCGTCGACTCGAACGCGGTCGAGGCGACGTCCGAGACCGGGTTGGGCACAGGTGCGGCGCGCTTCTTCGAGGTGGAGGAAAGCGCCGACGGGACGGGCGCGACGGCGGTGAGGATGAGGGACAGGTCGAGGCCGGCCGACGTCATGATGGGGACGAGGGGCGCCTTGGGGCGAGGTGCGGGAGGAGGAGGGTGGGGAAGCGGGACCGAGTAGGGCGGCGAGACGACGATGGCGCGCACGTCGTGCGAGTGGAGGCGCCGTCCCGACGCCTGGATCCATCGGCCGACAGGGACGTCGTGGATGCGCGACGACGCGACCGTGACCTGGCGGAACTCGGTCGTCTTCTGGTCGACGCCCGACGTGAACAGCGAGGTGCCGTCGGTGCCGAGCGCGAGCGCGAGCACGTCGGCCTTGTGCGCCTTGAAGCTCTGCGCCTGGGTGCCGTTCGAGCCGTCCCAAAACTTGACGTTGCCCATCGAGTCGCCGCTGACGACGGTGCCGCTCGCGAGGACGGCGACCGCCCACACGACCGTGTGCTCGCCCTTGAGCCGGTCGAGCGTCATGCGCAGGCCGCCGCGCCACACGCCCTGGACCGAGCCCGACGACGGCACGTCGAACCGGCGGATGGTCGAATTCGAGCAGCCGGCGACGAGGTAGCTCTCGCTCGGCGTCTGGAGGTGCGGCGGCAGCGACGACGCCTCGTCCGGCGACGCCTCGCGCGCCTTGCCCTTGGAGACGGGCTCGACAGGAGGGCCCCAGGCGAGCGACAGGGCGCGGACCTTGCCCGCGCCGCCGATCTCGATCTTGGACACCAACTCGAGGTCGCCGTCGAGGATGTTGAGGACGCGGACGGTCGAGTCCTCGCACGCGATGGCGAGCGCGGACGAGGCACGGGTTGCTGCGATGGCGAAGATGGGCGGCAGGGTCGGCAGGGTCGACTGCGCGGCGAAACACTGGTGAGCGTCGGCGGCCGCGGACCGAGAGGAGGCGAGAGACGCACCTTGACCATGCCGACGGCCTTGCCGCTGCCCGGGCAGCCCCACTCCCACTCGACGAGCTCGCTCCCGACACCGCCGACGCCGAAGAGCCGCACGCCCTCGCGCTGGAGCCGGCGCACCTCGCGCTCGGCGCCCTCCTTGTCGCCCTCGTACAGGTCGAGGTCGGACGGGGACAGGGTCGTCTGGTGGGTGAAGACGAGGTGCGAGAGAAGCGAGGTCGGCTTGCGCGAGTTGCGCTCTTGCGGGAGGGGAAAGGGCGAAGGGAGGGTCTGCGACGAGGGCGCAAGCGTGAGCGCGCAGGGAAGACGGGGAGGGTAAGGGGGCGGGAAAGCGACGCACCCGCCACGAGATCCACCCTTGGTGACCACCCCAGACCATGAGCTCGACGTCGCCGTTGCTCCTGCCGACAGCGAGCACCCCCCTCTCGCCCGAGCTGCCGCCGAGTCCGAGCACGCTCGCGTCAAACGAGGCGGGCGTGATGGCGAGGGCCGTGACGCTCGACGGGTTCCAGTCGGGGAAGCGACAGCGGTGCACGGGGAGGCCCTTGCGGCGTGCGGCGGTTGCGGCGGCGGCGGCGGCGAACGGAGATGGTGCGGCGTCGAGGTCGGGCCGGGGCGAGGGCTGGTCGAACGCCGGGTCGTCGGCTGCAAGGTCGAGGTCCATGCTCATGGTGGGCGTGCGTGTGCTCCAACCGGGCGGGCGGGTGTCGAGAGCGAGAGAGGAGCAGGTTGTCGTCGGCGAGCGCAAGGGCCAAGCTCGTCGACTCGTCGACTCGAGGCAGCCGCACGCTCGCTCGCGCTTCCTGGTGCTCGAGGGGCTCGGATCGAAGCGCAGCTGTCTCCTCGTACGCGCCACGATGCTCAGCAACGAGCTCGAGCGTGTCGCCGCCGAGCGCTCACCGCCCACCGACGTGCCACCGCATCAGCGACGACGACCCGACTCTGCTCGTCACACCGCTCGAGCCAGGCCATGCTGCCGCTCGCCTTGCTCGCACGGTCTCGACCTGGCCGCCTGTCCAACCCGCAGCTCGCCCCACCCCGCCGCGTCGTCACCGTCCTCGTCGGCTCGCCCTCCCCGGCCAACTCGTCGTCCAGCTCGACCTCAAGGGCTTGTCGGTGTGCGACCGCGCACTGATCTCGCGCAGCAGGTACGCTCGACCATCCCTGCCCCCTGGACCGCTCCCCTTGTGCCTCGAGCGTTGACCCTCTCTCCCTCCTCCCTTCTCCTCCTCGTACCTCGATCTCGGCCCCCCCTCTCGTCGCCCTCTGCCTCTGCGCACCCTCCGCCACGCTCAGCTTCACCGCCGTCACTCGCCGACTTGGCCCAGCCCCCTCTCGCGCCGCACTCGCTCCGGGCCCGGCCCCCGACCACCTTGTGCATCCTCGTCGTCCAGGTCTCGGCCTCGCCTGCAGCCAGGTGCGTCTCTTTCTCTTCCCTCTCGTTTCCTCTCCTGCGGATGAGACTGTGACACTGACTCGCCGCCATCCACTGTGCAGGCGCCCGTCCAGGACTCGAGCCCCGACAAGCGCATCTTCCTTCGCCCGACTGTCGCCCTCGCCGCTCCGCCGCATTCGCCCGCCTCTTCTCCACATGCTCGCCGGCCTGTCCGCTCGACTCGAGGTCGATCTGTCGAAGGTCGAGGTTGTCGTCGCGTCGCGGTGGCAGGGCAGCAGGGCGAGCGAGCAAGGGAGGCGGGTGGAAGACGAGCGCAGGACGAGGCAGTGTGCGTGGAGACGCCGGGCGCGTCGCTGGATGTGGGGGGAGGGGGGCGATGCGGCGGCCGACGGCAAGCTCGACACGAGCCCGTCGCCTCACGCTGCCGCCCAGAGCCACCGCCGCCCCGGCCGACCTCGAGCGACTCGCCGCGCCTGCCGACACCCTCCCTCCTCGTCCACCGCCGCCCAGGTTCTCCTTCCCTCCTCTTCATCCTTCCTGCCCATTCCGCCACGCCGACCGACGTCCCCCAAGGCGCCGCCGCCACTGCCCCTTGCGTCGCCCCACCTCCTCGACTCGATCTGCCGCCGGCGAGCAGTTGCGCGCCCGATGCCCCGCCGTCGCCCTCTGCGCTCCTTCTCGTTGAGGACCCGCGCCGTCGCAGAAGGCGTCGATGCGCTTGTGCCGCCCTTGAGGCACCCACTGAGCGGCACTGGCCCTTCCTCCCGGCCACCATTCCCTCTCCCTCGAGCCTTCTCGCACGTACACCCCTCTCGCACTGTCGTAGACTCTCCTTGCAGTCTTTTGCGAATCGAGAGTCTCTCTCAGTCGTCGTTCGCAAGCCCCCGTGTCGTCTCCCTTCGCGAGAGCTCGCGTCTGCTCTTCCCCCCTCTGTCTCTTCCTCTCGCTCGGCCGGATTGCGAGTGCGCTCTCTGCTTGCGCATTCGCGCTCGCGAGCTTCCGAGCACGGGTGATCAGCTTGTTCGTGTTGCTCGCTCGATACGTTCGGGAGCCACTCTCGTTCTAGAGGCTCGAGCGCCTCGCAGACGTGCTCGATCTTTCGCTTGAGCGGCTCTCGCTCTCTCTCTCCCTCTCTCTCTCTCTCTCTCTCTTTCTCTCTCTCAGGGCTGCATGCTCGAGGTGTGCCGAGTATGTATGACACCAAAGAAAAAGGGTCGGGCCCGAGCGGGGCAGATGCGCAGAGGGGTCGTTCACTCCCAGAACCAGACGCGGAGCAGCATGAGGGTCACGCAAACGACGCCGACGGCAACCTCCACCTTCGGCGAGAACTTCGTGGGCTTGAACGCCTCCGGCTCGTCGCCGCCGACGTGCTCGCTCGCGCCGGCGGAGCGCGTGATGTTGCCCGAGGGACCTGCGCCGGCCGAGTCGAGGCCGAGAGCGTCGCGGCGGTACTCGCCGCCCGGCTTGCGGAGCTTCGGAACGAAGGCCGGGACCGATGAGGCCGTCTGGGTGACATCGAGGGCTGAGGCGGGTCAGCCCGCGCCTGCGAGAGAGGGGGAGGGGGGAGGGGAGAGGAGAGAGGGCGCACCTGGTCGTCCGAGGGCTGGGTTCCGCTCATCGTTTAGATGTAGTGGAACTGGAAGGTAGTTGGATCTCTGCGAGGCCGAGAAGAGGGCGGACGGGAGAGGTTTAGCGACGGAGGGAGATGAACGCGATGAGGCGACTGCCGCTCGCCATAGACCGTGGAGCGAGGACAGACCGGGACGCACTGGCTATAGAAAGGAGCGAGAACTCGATGTCGGCTCTGGTGGGCTCGTATCGAGGACGTGTGCAGAAGAAGAGGCCGAGAGCCTCGTCGCTGTTCGCCAGCAGCGGATAGCTCGCTGTCGCGCTCGAACGTCGGGTTTGCAGTGCTTGTCCTGGCTCTCGAATAGCTCGATACGCGTGGCACTGCATGTCCCGAGCAGCTCCTTCCGGCCTTGCGCACACACGGAGCCTCGGTCGTCGCCTCGTCCTCGACTCTCACTTGCTCCGAGTTGCTCTCGGGCTTGGCCGCGCGCCTGATCGGCTAGCGCGAGTCTGCTAGGCTGCCGTTCGTAACTTGCTCGCTCTCGCTGCCGAGTCGACTCGCGCGTCGTCGGGCTCTCCCTCGCTCGCGCCCCACGTCTGCCCCCGCTCTCGCTCTCGCTCTCGCACGGCGCACTCGCCCGGCCGCGCTCGACATGCTCGCCAAAGAGGGCCGTCGTTGCACGCAAGGGCAGACATCGCCGAGGCGGACGAGCGCGATGCGGTGGCCTGCGTCGAGCGACGACCGAGAGCGACGTCGCGAGCGCTCGGGGCGCCGGCGCACGCTCGTCGCGCAGCGCCGGGGCGCTCGCGTCGGTCGAGAACTTGCACAATGACCCTGTACGCGCGGGAACGAGTCAGTCGTGAGCGCGAGAGGCGGCACGACAGGCTCGAGGGCATGCAGAGGGGGGAGAGAGCGGGACGCACGGGCGAAGCTCCCCTCGACGACGGCGCCGTGCCCGTCGCCCTCGGGCTCGTCGACCCTCGGTCCGAGCCAGTGCCCGTTGAGCGACTCGACGGGACGAGGTGAACCGGGTCGGCCAGGACCATCGAGCTGGTCTCGCGCGGTCGTGCCGGTCGAGGAGAAGGCGACGCCGGACCGCCAGAGAGCTGCGCGCACATCGCCAAGAGACCAGGAATCGATCGAGTCAAGACGAGGCGCGAAGCTGGGCATGCTCGTGTCAAGCGACGCGGGCGATGAGGGCGTGGGAGGTCGAGTCGGCGAGGAAGCTGAGAGGGCGAGTCGAAGCGGGTGCGGCGCTGCGAGTGGGCGAGAGCGAGTCAGTGCGGGCGTGCGAGTACGTCCTCGTGTCTGTCGGGCCGCAAGACGCATGGCCTCCTGCGCAATGCCGCCGGTGGAGCGCTCGAGGGCTGGCCGTCGCCTCGTGAGAGGACGTGAGCGACCGGCTCGCCGAGCGCAGAGGCCGCCTGAGCGGCCGCCCGGTACGGACCTCGATCCGGGAGCGAACGAGGGGCAGGGCAAGGTGGACGGACAATAGTGCTGGGTGCGCTGCCTGTCGACGAGGCGAGGCGACGAGGCGAGCGAGGACGAGGAGGAAGCGAGAGGGGACGCACCTTGCGGCGGCCAGCCGTCGGGTCGTGGCAGATCAAAGTGCGCTGGAGAGCATCGAGCACGAGAGCACGTCCAGCCAGGGGATGCGAGCCGGTGGGGAGCGAGGGCGAGAGAGTCGAGGCTGGCGCCGAGTCGTCCTCGTCTCCGCTCCCACACCTCAGCCAGCCTCGTGCACTAGTCTATTGTGAGCAGTCTCTCCCCTGCGTCCCTGGCGACCAGCGCAGCCGCCCCGTCGTGCGAGCGCGGTCGTCGCAGCCCTCGACCTCGTCCTCCCCCGGATCCTCGACCGCCGGCTGGCACCAGTCGAGCCACTGACCAATCCCTTGCACGCCTGCAGCCTGCACACCGCCTCTTGCAAGCCACCTGTCACTAGCCCCTTCACCCCCCGTCATGCGTGAGTCCTCATCTCCTCCTCCTCCTCCTCATCCTCCCCGACTTCATCTCCCCCGACTGACCCTCTCGCCCTCGTCCCTCCCGAGCAGCTCTTCTCAGCTACATCGCCGGCTTCTCTGCCCTCGGGTTCGGCGTCCGCTGCTATCAGCTCGCCATCCTCAAGCGCAACATCTTCGACAGTGCGCCCTCCTCCCCTCCTGGATCTCTCGTTCGAACGCTGACCGCTCCCACCAGACCTCGGCGGCCACGCCCTCTCGACGGCTGCGTTTGCCGGCATCGGCTACTACGCCTACAACGCAGAGTCCGTCCCCTCTCTCTCTCTCTCTCTCTCCCTCTCGAGCTCTCGTTCTCGCGACTGACCCTCTCGCCCCGACCGCTCCGCAGGCAGTACCAGCGCGAGCTCATCGCCGACAAGAAGGAGCAGCTCCTCCGCATGCGGGAAAAGGACGAGACGCTCCTCTCGAGCGCGTCGGGCCGCGTCTCGGCCTCGTCGCACCACTGAGCGCCATCGACGAGCGGCGACGAGCGCGGGCAGGGGCCGAGTGGGCGCGTGTAGAAGAGTGCATCGGGATTCTCTGTGCTTCCTTTCCGTCGCTCGACTCGAGAGTCGCTCTCTACGTGCCCGGTCAGAGAGAGTGTGAGAATCCTGCTCGCTTTCGTCGCCTCGCGCTACTTCCTCAGTCCGAGCACCCTCGCGAGCCTCCCTCCATGCGGCTTGTCCTTGTCCGTCCCAGTCCCGCTCGCCTCGCTCGCCCGGTGCTGGTGGTGGTGCTCCTTCCGCAGCTTGTGCCCTCCCCTCGCCCGCTCGCGCTCCCTTTCCCTGTCCCGCTCCCGCTCGCGCAGGTCGTGCACGACCGCCTCGGCCACGTCAAAGCTCGACCGGCCCGACGAGCCCGTACCCGTGCCCAACGCCCACTCGGCGCTCGACCGCCCGAGCGCAGGCCCGCTCACGCTGCGCTGCCCGGCCTGCACGCCGGGCGGCACGAGGAGCCCGAGCGACGACGGCTCTGCCCCTGCGGGTGCTCCTGGGCCCTGGTGCGCCTGCGCCTGTGCGGCGGACGAGAGCGACGGCGCGTGGGCGTGCGAGCGCGACTTGCGCACGAGCTTGTTGTGCGCGTGGGCGTTCGCGAGGGCGTGCGAGGGCGAGGGCGGACGGATCGAGTGTGGCGGCGGCGGAGAGTGCGGCGGTGGCGGCGGCGACGGGGGTGGGAGGCGGTCGACCGGGATGGGAGGATGGGGTGGATAGGGAGCGGGCGACGGCGACGAGGGCCCGACCGAGGGAGGCGGCGCGCGCGCCGTCGGCGCGTAGTGCGCGATGACGGGCGAGGCGGCGTACGGCCCGGGCTGCGCGCTCTGGTACACGGCGGGCGAGAGCGAGCCTGCGGGGCGCCTCGACCAATCCGTGCTTGACGCCGGCGTGGGAGAGGCCGGCGTCGGCGTCGCCGTCTGGACCGAGTCGGGCGTCGCGTGCTGCTCCTCCCTCGCGCCCGAGTAGCCCGACGCCGGCGAGGGCGCAACGTCGCTCGTCCTCGCGCCGCCGTTGCCGCCGCCGCCGGGCGACGTGACGTGCGCTGCGCTCGTCGCAGCCGAGCCGACCGACGTGCTCGAGGCCCTCGACGCGCGGCTGCTGAACCGGCGGAACATGATCGGCGACAGCTTGGGCGTCGACGGGCGGCTCGCGGCGACGGACGCGGGCGAGGGAAGAGGGGAAAGCTGCGGCGACGTCGTGTTCGGGTACAGCGAGCTCGGCGTGTGAGGCTCGCTCGGCGTGTCGGGCGTCGCGAGGGGCGCCTGGCGCCGGAACACGCTCGCGTCGGCTTGTGGCGTCGGCGGGATGGGCGCGCCGAGGCGAGGGACGCCGGACGGGATGGCGAGCTGCGTGAGCCCGAGGCCGAACGCGGTCGGGTCGGGCGACGCGACAAAGCTCGACGAGGGCGACCGCTCGCCGTCGTCCTCGCCGTCGCCGTGCTCACTGCGCGACGGCCTGGGCGGGAGCGCGATCGAGAGCATCGACTGCGAGCCGGTGCGCTTGGCGCGCAGCGTTTGCGAGTTGGCGCGCGACTTGGAGCGGCGTGCGGCGCGGTCGTCGGCCTTGGCCTGCTCGACTCGTTGGCGGATGAGCTGCGGGGCGTCTGCGAGTCAGTGCGGGCGCGACAGAGAGGGGAGAGAACGCGATGCGCACCGTCTCGAGGTCCTTGAGAACGCCAAAGCTGTAGGCGAACTCGGCGGCCGAGAAGCCGTCGGCGTTGCGCATGTCGGGGTCGCAGCCGCGGTCGAGGAGGAGCTTGATGATCTGAGAGGGCGTCGAGAGTCAGTGAGAGGCTCGGCGAGAGGGGCAGACGAGCGGGACGCACCGAGACGTGCCCCCAACTCGCGGCAAAGTGAAGTGGCGAGTTGCCCTCGAGGTCGGGCGCGTCGACGTCGCTGCCGGCGTCGACGAGGAGCTGTGCCGCGTCGAGTTTGCCCTTCATGGCGGCGACGTGCAAGGGCGTCATGCCGCGCGAGTTGACCCACCCGAGGACGAACGGGAGGTGGTCGAGGTAGGCCTCGAGGATGGCGACATGGCCGTGCGCGGCGGCGACGTGGAGGACCGTGTCGCCGAGGACGTCCTGTTGGAAGAAGCGAGTGAGCACTGGCGCA